TAAAAATACGAGAACCAAAATGATCTCATGCAGCGAGACGGGCATCCCCGAACAAGTCGGTGAATGCAGCCCGACTGCGCCTCCCGCCGGTCCAACCAGAGGCAGTGAAAGGCCCCCGGCTGCGCCGTGATTGGTCTCGATGCGGTGGGATGTGGCTTGGACGACTAGTGTGGCGCGGTTCGATTCGCCAGTGGGCTTGTCCTCACCGATACTATTGTAGTCCCCTGGTGGACTGACGCCATGCCGAAGCCACAAGATTCGGGGTGCCCGTCTGTTATCCACCTTGCTGTTTTACGCGCTGTACCTACTCCACTGGTTAGGAGTGAGTCCGGACCGAAAAAGGAATCCCCCTTTCCTGTCAGTGTTGGCATGTGGAAATACAATGCAATTCATACAATTCCGACCCGACCCTACTCCCGATGGATCGATCCTATGCGGCTCTGGGACAACGACAGAGAGAGCCAAAGGAATGATCGTCGACCCGCCTACCACCGAAATCGCCTAGACCGTGACCCCGAGCGAGGCCAGGATCCACCATGGCCGCACTGTTCGGAAGCGATGTAGCGGCCTCGATTGGGACGAGAGGTTCTGGGCCTCATTTCACCTCCCTGACGAATCATTTGCCTAACAAGGGTCTTGGTGGCTGATCCCCGGTCCGATGCTTTTTTCTTTTTTGGGTCCTCATAGGGTTTGACCCAGACGGACGGGTTTTTGGGGCGGCCATGTAACATTGTCAGATGGTGCGATCGTCGTTGGCCGGACCAGGAGGGAGAGAACTCGACAGGGGACCGGGGACCAATTGACCATCATCCTGGAAGACTGAATCTCGTAGGGCGACAGGGCAGGACGTCAGTGAACGGCACAACCCGCAGCCTGGACGCCTGACACGGATAATGATTGGCGTGTCAGCAACGAACTAGTTGGCCCTGTCCCTGTCGACGCACAGCCCCCAGGCGGGCGCGGACGGAATTATTTTTATTTTTAATTTTAATTATATTTTTTGTCATTCATGAACTATGCAGAACTAGACCGGAACTAACGCGGTAGGGCGGGCTATCATTGTTGAACAATGCTTCGTTCTAGGGTTATAATGCCCAGTCCCCCCTCCCTCAGGCTCCAAACTTGACAGGTGCCACAACGGACTCGATGAGTTGTTTGTGAAATACTGCTTTGTATGTCTACCGGAAAGACAGCGCGCTAAACTTCCCGTCAAGAGTGGCATGCCCACCCCGGCCCTCCGTTCCAACATGCTGGCTATGGAGTCTACAAGATCGCGCCCATCGCAGCAGTATTTCCCGCAGATGGCAATGGACCCTAACCTGGTCGATGTCTTCGCCCATCCCATCGAGAACCCTTATACTACCTCCTACTACGATACCCCGGCGATCTTCGCCGAGTCCGACCTCCACAAGATCTCCTCGATGCCCACGACTCCACCTGCCGCGCAACCCTCAGAACATTTCTCATCCGCCCCTTCCATCCCCAGCGCCTCCTCCTCCGCCATCGGCTCGCCATACTCCGGAACGGCCCAGGCCTTCCAGGATAACTGGGTGAACACCGGCTACGGCTTGGGCTTGCCCGCGGCCGTCATGAATGATCCCATGTCCAAAGAGTACATGGGCGGTGCTATCGATATGGACGGGTTCTATCAAGACAAATTCCCGGACAATTTTGTCGTTGGTAAGTGATGGTGGTGGACGGCCGGGTCGATCTATCTCTAACAAGTGAAATAGACCCTTCATTGATCCAGCCCGTGCAATCTGGATTTTCCGCGCCACTCATCTCCTACCCCGAACAGCCCAACTCGACGTACACGGTAGTCTCGACCAACTTCCTCCCTCACTCGCCGGCCGGGTCACCGGTCCCCTACGGCGAGAATGGAGATCAGCTCTCTCCGCCGTTAAACCCCGAGCCGCGGCCGGGAATGCTGTCGGCAAGCTCTCACTCCCAGCCCGTGTCGGTATATGATCGCCGGTCCTCCATCTCCTCCATCCGCTCCCGGCGCTCACAGCAGAGCCCGGCTCTGAGCAGCGTCGAGCCAGACGAAGAGACCAGGGAAAAAGGCCAATGCCCGCACCCGGAGTGCGGACGGGTCTTCAAAGACCTCAAGGCCCACATGCTCACACACCAGTCTGAACGGCCAGAAAAATGTCCGATTGTGACCTGCGAGTATCACGTCAAGGGCTTCGCCCGCAAATACGACAAGAACCGCCACACTCTGACCCACTACAAGGGCACAATGGTGTGTGGGTTCTGCCCGGGATCTGGCTCGTCCGCAGAGAAGAGCTTCAACCGGGCCGACGTCTTCAAGCGTCATTTGACCTCGGTGCACGGCGTGGAACAAACACCGCCCAACTGCCGCAAGCGCAGCCCCACCGCCGCCACCAAGAAGGGCATGAACTACGGCAGCGATGCGACGGGCAAATGCTCGACCTGTTCCGCCACGTTCAGCAATGCCCAGGACTTCTACGAGCATCTGGATGACTGTGTCCTGCGCGTGGTGCAACAAGAGGAACCGTCCGAGGCCATCAATCAGCAGCGACTGGCCGAGGTGGCTGCGGACGATGAGGTGAAGAAGACAATGGAGAAGCATCAGCTGGTTGACGCGGCAGGACCCGTCGACCACTCGGATGACAATTACGATCACGACGATGATGACTCTCACGACGCCTCGAACTGGCGAGCTGGCCGAGGCGGCCTCAAATCTAGTAAGGGTAACACCTCTGCTTCCTCGCGTCCTATTATCGGCAGCGGTAATGCCGTCTCCAAGCCATCATCATCCAATCCAAACAGCAGAGGCACGCGTGCCGTACCAACGCGCCGCCGCAACAACCGCGGCAATTACCCGCAGTCCTGGGGCTGCCCCCACAACAGCATGAAGACTAAGAAGCGCGTGCTCTGCGTCTTCGACGGTCAGCGCCGTCTATGGAAAGATGAGATGATGCTGAACAACGACTTCGAGGTGCGACTCCGTCTCCCCGGCGGCGCCGGTGACGGTACAAACCGCGACGCCTACGTCACGGACCTAGACATGGAGACTATGAAGCGCGCCGAGGGCGTCCTCAGCGCCACGGATAACGAGCGGGGCCCCTGGTTTGAGGGCCCCGAGGCCCATATGATGGGCCAGCCGGCGATGCTACTGCCGGATCTGGGCGCGCATGATGACGAAATCTCCATCCATGACTTGATGGGCTGATACCTTTTTGTTACTTTTATTGTGTCTTTTCTCTTTTCTTTTGGGTTTCTTTCCGTATAGCAGCGGCGTTCTGAGGAGCGGATTCTGACTACCTGAATACGGGATGATTGATGGATGATACCTTTTGATCTTGTTATTTACTATTAGCCATACACCAACCTGTATAATGAATCTCCTGCTGGCACGGGTGATCAATCGAGACTTTCGAGTTGTTCCTGTTTCTGTCGTGATGTAACTTCCTCCTTCCTCGGGGTTATACATTGAACATCGATCTGCCGCCGATCCCCGCCCTCATCTCACCTTTCGCATCTCCTCCACCATCAGCCATGCAATTGGGCCTGTCCGAGAACCTCTCTGCCCTGGTGGCCCGGCGCTTCATTGCAGCCAAAGAGGGTGGCCATCTGGTCTTCTCTTCCACCCATCTGTCCATAATCAATGCCGCAGGGATATCAGTATGTCTATCGATCTATCGATCGTTGAACCCAGCTGCCACCACACCTTGAGCTAACACGACCGGCCACCCCCCAGTACCAACTCCGCTATTGCCCAGCCCTTGCAAAGAAACCCATCAATTCAGCTGCAAAGCCTCCCGCAACCCCCAGCCCCAAAACCCCGAAACCGGACCCCTTCGCAGACCCATCCCCAGATCTGCTGGTAGCGCAGTTCCCGCCCTCTCACCCAACGCACGCGCTCGTGCTGAATAAGTTCCCTGTTATTCCGAACCATTTCATTCTCGCCACAAAAGAATGGCGGCCCCAGACCGATCTGCTGGAGAAAGACGACCTCGAGGCGACGTATGAATGTTTGCGGGCGTGGCCTGCCCACAACCACAACCCCGAGGGGAGGTTATTTGCCTTCTTCAACTCTGGAGATGAGAGCGGGGCTAGTCAGCCGCATCGACATCTGCAGTTCCTCCCCGTTGAGGCGATGCAACAACAGCCCGAGTGCGAGGGATGGAATCCTCTCATTGACCAGTTCTCTTCTTCTTCTCCTTCTCAATCGCACTCCAACAATTCCGCCCCGTTAACACTCCATCAATTCCCAATTGCGGCTTACGCTCTACCTCTTCCGTCGAATCCGTCGCCAGATACCCTCTTCTCTATTTATCAGACATTATACCGCGCAGCCGTGGCCGCGACACAAGGGAGGGACGCACACCAAGGTCCTACCACACCACCTCCTACGACGGGATCGTCGATGATTAGCTACAATCTGGCCTTGACGCTCTCAACAATGATGATCTGTCCCCGGCGACATGAGACTGCTACCGTACCCATTGACTTGGATGCGGCGGCCGATATTCTTGACTCTGGTGTTGTTTCTCTGAACGGGACGATTCTGGCGGGCACGCTTATGGTTAAAGCTGAGAGTGAGTGGGATGCTTTGAGGGCGAACCCGGAGTATCTGACGAAGGCGCTGGAGAGAATTGGGTTTCCCAGGGCTGATCCGAGGGGCCTGTCTTATTTGTGATTATGACAAGGTGCTTGGCTAGGGGAGCAGAGCATAACTATAAACAGATAAAGCAAACTACATATGCATTGCCAATGGCTTTGAACGAAACAATGATGTGCATGGCGTCAAATAGCTCCAACACCAGTCTAAAACATATAAATGATCGAAGAAAAACGGACACAAATGGCAAAGCGCCAAAACACCACAGTAAACTGATACAACAGAACATATCAGACCAGCTGAAAGTTTTTCCAAGCGAAATGCACAGCAGGTATCGGGAAAAGGCAAGAAAAGAGACAAGACAAGACACCTTCCCACAAGCCACGCATCGGAGAAACATCCAGTGGGAAGATCACATCTGGATATTGTTAATCTCACACCACTTTTTCTTACAAGTCGCATTCCCAAAATGATACGATCCTCCATGGCTCCAGATATGCTGCGCGACTTTTTTCCACGACACCTTGGGCAGGATCTCTGCGTCCTTGCGCGGCGGGCCTCGAGAAGAAGAAAACCCATTGAATTCCGAGAAGCAGGCGTTGACTGCTTCAATGAGAAGCTTGAGCTAGCCCACCATGTCAGTCAGCCACTATAAGTGATCATACAAAAGCAGGACAGGGCGGGTTGGTAAACTCACATCCTCCTCGTGCCACTTCGGCTTCCTCACCCGCTGCTCTTTCGCTTTAGTGAGAGTGCGAAACCTGCCCCGAAGCGTCGACTCTGCTTCCCTGAACCCTCCAAGGCGCTTGATGTCCTTGTATGATAGTCCGCGCCGCTTCCAGTCAATCAAGAAGGCGTTGCGCGAGTCGGTGTAGTGCATGTCGACTGTGATTCCTGCTGCATCTTGACATGCCTGTGAAGAGGACGAGTGGATCTCCTCTGTTGACGAGGGAGTTTGTGTGCGCTGTTGTACTTTTTGGTCAAAGGTGTGAGCGTTACAGTTGTCGACGAATATCGACTCGGTGTTTGGGGGGTTGTGGTTGTTGTAAGGCTGCAGGTCCCATCCGTGACTGAAGGGCTTGGGCGCAACAATTGAGCGGTGGCTGTTATCGCTGGTTTTCGGCGGAGATGGGGACATGGAGGAGACGGGATACTGTTGTAGGGCGTGCACCTCGTGTGCACGAGTGACAACGGGCCTAGCCACGAGCTGCTCGCTAGTGGTGCTGATATTCGGAGCGTACCAGCCATCGCTGTAATATCCAGCATTTGCCAGCCCTAGATCTTCGGTTGAAGAGTCTGGGAGAGAGCAGGAGCGCCACGTCTCGTCACTGCTTGCCATTGTCCATGGAAGCCAGCTGGGACTGTCACTGTCGGCTGTAGAGCATGTCGAGCCAAAGCTCTTCTGGATTTCATCGTCTGCCAAAGGCTGGAACCAGGCACCATTGGGGATGGCGGGTATGTCTTGTGGCATGTCCACAAAATCAAATGTTGACGAAAGTGATGGGGTCTCCTCGATCTTGGCGAGGAAAGAAAAATCGTTTGGTGTTTGGTAGATGGGGGTTGGTTGTACTAGAGGGCAGGTGGTGCTTGCTGCCGTGGTGTTAAAGAGGTGGCCGTTATGCTCCTGAGATTCATAGATGTATTTGGCTTGAGGATAAGCCTTTATGTCTGGCTCGGACATCATAGAAGAGTTCGGAGTCTGCAAGGTTGGCTGATGGTGAAGAGCCAGATTTTCTGGAATACATGAAAGGTCCCTTCTCATTGGGAGAGAATATGGCCGTCCTTGAGACATTTTTGCCATGGTGTTGTTTCGAGGATAAAGATATCTTCGTGGTAGATGTTGTTGCTGCCGTCGATGCAGTGCAGTGTCTGAGTAGTGGTGGTATATCGGAGAAAATGAAGAAGCTCTACCGCTCAAATTCGTCCACTGGTCTATAGAAGAGTAGATAAACCCGGGGGCCTTGGCGGGGATTTCTTTCTGCCATGGATTTGGGGCCCCAGAGCAGCTTCCGACCAGCACGTCAACCATGGTCCGGATCAGAAAGAAGAACCTCACCGCAATTACTTGCAGATTGGTTGTTGTACGGCGGGTTGTCGCTGCGTGTAGACTACCGTCTGTACAGATGGTTGCGGAGGGACACCTGCAGGCCTGACCGTCATAAAAGGCGTTAGTGCCTCATTTTATATGGAGAGGTTTCACCTGCGACATCGAGGCAGGTTGCTTTAGGCACTTACTTTCTCTGGATTCCGCCTCTTGTTATGAACAAAGAGTGGTTCGTCTTCAAATGCCGCAATAGAGGGTACAAGCAACCCTGGCGCGAGCAGCGATGTCCAACTTCCCTCCCAAAGTGGCTCCCAAAGTGGCGGGGTGAATATCCGAAGTGTCAGTCGAGCCCTTAGATGCAATGCGGTCTCAGCCCTGTCGGGGAGTTTATTGACTAGCGGATGAATCAACTTTGAGTCGTTCTTCTGTGTTTTCTCGATCTAGTTCCCCCAGACTGTCACTGCCAAACGGGACGAGATTGTTTGAGAGACAATATGGAGAGAGATGAATTGGATGCACTGGATAGACAAAGATAAGATGTCGGTTTGCGGATTATATGGCTTGCTCAACACCCTGGATTATCTTCATCTTCTTGTCTGGTCCAGGGTGCTATCATTTCATCTCCTCCAGTCGGCCCGGCTATTGCCTTCCTTCCAGGCCCGTGCCTCTCTGAGCCCGATGAGAAAGCTCTCTATGATGTCTCAAGGGGTGAAGGCGAGAAGGAAGAAGACCATAGACATGGACATGGGTATTTCCGAAATGACGCTCAGTCCTGGCCAGGCCAGAAATCAGGAGAAATCCACTTGCCGTCGTTCGTTTCAGACCTTTCTCTAGATTTATTGTATCCGGCGATGTCTTATCGTGTCCTCGATCTGGGCTGGGGACTGGGGCGGGAAAAGTGGATGGAGGGTGTTGAGTGAAACAGCATCGGAGACAGAGACGGACAGGACCAAGTCCCAGTTCTTCAACGCCTTCGATGAAGAGAGTCTAATTAGGCCAGCCGATTCATTTCTGATGTGTAGCTTCTTTCTTGCTTTGCTTTTCTCTGTCTATTACTCATGGATTTGCACAGGGATTTCTAGAAAAGAGAACAATAATACTTGTTCACTTCCGTCTCTACACTGCCGAATACGTCCTAACAATTACCCCAAGAATAGCAACATCCCTAACCAAGCCATAATATACACGGCTACAAAGACCGCAGTTCAGTTCAGAAGCAGTAATATCTTGACGAACAGTCTAGAGTAGAGCTGTCTCCCTCTAGTGGCAGTGACCAGCCAGGTTGACAATGTTCCATCCTGGACGGTTAGCCACATAGGGCTGGTTCTTCCGGCCTCCCCAACGCCATCCGCGCCAATCATGTACACCCAGACCAATTAAACCTGGGTGCAAAAGCAAATTTCGCCAGGAAGCCGCTGTCCCGCTAGCAGCTTTTGGACATGGAGGGTTTTTTGTTTGACGGGAGGTGACCCGTCATCTGGGGATGGCAGTGCCATCCTTTTTCTTTCCACAAGCTTTTCATAGAGCGCTGATTTGATAGATAGCTTCTACCTACAAGTGTACGTGGGAGACAGTTCTTATATAAATACGGTGCAGACAGGCCAAAATGATACATGTCCACCTCTCATACTTGCAAGCAAATACCGGTCTCACTATGTCTGTAAACTATAGGACTCCACAATCAACCAGCACAACCAGGTCGGCCAAAACCATCAAGAAAGAACACAACCCGCCCTTCCCCCGACACAGCTGCCGATCCTGGGCCCGGAATCCAAGGCCCCAACAAGCAGACCCGTTTCAAAGAAGCTTCTCTCCCTTAGGAGGGATGGCACGGGTGGCGTTGAAACTGGCTTTTGCCTTTGCAACAATTTATCCTGGGCTAGGGAGAAATCACCGGCCTGACATCCACCGTCCATCCGGAAGAGAAGCCGGGCCAACAAGAAACCTGTGCGTTGTCGATCCCCCGCCGTCTATTGTCTTACGCCCTGTCCTATCCGCTGCAATGTTTCCGCATTGTGTATGCATGCAATATATATTACTGTGCTGCATGTTAAAGAAGTAGATAAGTGTGCAACCCTTACGGAAGTTGAGGGCTGATAGATGGGGATCTAGATAGCGAGATAATAGGTAGATCGGCTGCATATGCAGGTCGTTCTTGGTTTATTTTATTCCTCTACTACTTTTCCGTTGCCTCTGATTGTGTCTTAGCTATTTCTAGGTTCGGGTTTTATCTGAAACTTTAAGCCCCGGGGAACCGGGGATGCCAACGGTAGGGTTGTTGTAAACAGGCGAAACGATAAAGGGAATGAAGTCCAGAAGAATAGGCCGGAGGCTGGGGAGAAGCGTTTGAGATTGTGAAGTGAGAGATTACGTTCCATCCTCGTGCGAGGTTGGAGGTTTGGATATAGATTTAGGGCATGAGTGGAATGATTCTGGACCATGGGCAGACAGACCAATTCTCCCTCAAAGCCTCACCGAAGTCAAAGAAGTCTTTACTCCCACCGCCTATTCCAAGGATAATAATTTATTCTGACAGTGAAAATGTCCACCTACTCTACCCATCAACACTAACGCTAGCTTGGGATCCAATCTTTGAAGCCATCCGTCGAAGAATCTACCCTCAAGCAAAAAGCAAATCAAAACAACCCTTTCTCCCCAGACACAGCACAGCCTCGAAAATATAATTACCGAGCCCAGAAGCAACGCTCGTTCTAAAATTATGGCTCGCTGCAGATCCAACAACCCACAACGGCTGCGGGATCATGTCGGTATGCGTGCCGCGCGGGTTGCAGAGCCAATAGCTCCCCAGCCCGAAGCTCTCTTTGTCTCTCATATTCAGACCTCCACCGGAGGTCTCGGGCGGAGTGGATGCGATATCCAGCCCCCATATCTCAAGCGTCTATGATACATGCCCTTCAACCATATAGTTAACCGGCGTGGATTAGTCAATGCTAACCATTCCCGGTAGAAGAAGTCGACGCTTGAGATCTGCAACATCTCCCCCTTCTCCGGCCAGATGCATCTCCAGTAGCCAAAAAGTCAAAAAGTCGGTCAGCGAGAAGAGCTATAACCAATTAGAATACTTCTCTTGGGACAGGACAACAAGACTAACCCGTGGCAAGCGTCAACGTAAAGGCATATAATATAACCGGAGAAGTCATGAAAGCGTACGCGAGCGAGAAGTGACTCGCGAAGGAAACTAGACTAGCAAGAAACGCAGCGAGCAAGATCCGCGTTCCAATCGAAAGTCCGAGGAGTAGTCGCTGCTGGTGGCGGTCTGTTAGAACGAGAAAGGCGGCGAAAAGACACATACACAGACTGGCAACGGTGAAGAAATATTCGTAAACAAAAGCCAGCACTTTCATGTACATCCGCAGCAGTTGCTCGTTGTCAATACGACTACTATCGCCCTTGACTGTCGGTGTAATGCCCATGCTAGAGAAAAGTGCCGCGGTCACGTTGCCCATCAGGTCGTTGATCAAGTCCTCCGAATAAAGGAAATTGGGGCGCAACTCCGGTTCACGACACAGGGGATTCTGGGCGAGTTCATCCAGCAGACTTGATATGGCGGCCCATTCCTGTGTCGCACCGCGACTGAAGGGGATCTCCATGTCCGCAATTGTGCTCCGGATGAGCCCGACAGCCTTGTTGGTGTCTGGACGCGGCTCCTCGCATGCGAATTGAATAGTTTCCCCAAGATACTTCAGTTTCAGCGTGACGTCCAAGGTTAAAGCCAAGATCTGGGATCCCTCAAGAAGAAGAATGAGAGCCACATGGAACGGGAAATGCAGTTGAGCCCATGCATGCTGAGCCCTTTTCCTCATCCTGCCTCGAGCAGACAAATCGAAATACGCCTGCCACAGCAGATACTGCTTTTCTTAGTAATGGTCAAAAATCAGCAGGGCTGGATACTCACCACATTGGTAGTCACCCCTAGGATATGAACAAACGACCACTTGGTCCACCCGCCGGGCCGCACGGTCTTGTTGACAATACGAGTGACCGAGATGACCCCTTCACCGATAATAATCAGCGTGAGAAGGCCCATCCGCACGTTCAGATGTGTGTCTTGAAACCCGATCCCCGGGGATATACAAGAAACGCCCATGACAGCCCACATCTCGACGCCAAACAGAACAAACCAGACGGTCCAGATCCGGGTATGGAATAAATGGGCATTGCTAAACATAAAGTACATCTGTAACAGTGTCAGCGTTTTCTGTTTCCAGTCTTTTCAATAAGAACCATACCCCAAGGTAAAGGAGGCTCGTTGTCCAAAGTATAGCCGCAGTGACCGCAATCCCTTTTGCGGCAGGTTTAAGCCGATGATACAAAAACCCAACATTGATGGCATATTGAATAGCTAGCAGCATCCGACTGCCTGCAAGGATCAAGCTCAGGGATTGAAAAACCCAGATATTCTCTGAGTGAATCCGTGTCGTAAAACGAGTTCCGGCTGACGCGAAACCGACCATTGCCCCCAGTTGTATGGCCTTACAAATCCGCTCGAAGATGGAGTCTCGGGCAAATCGGATGTCAAACAGGGTGACTTGCAACCAGGTAAACCATATGACGCCGAGAAAACCGACATATTCGCCTAGGACTGCGGGCCATTAGAGGCCACTTAACAAAGGATTGGACCGGAAAACACAGACCCTTGACATTGTTGATCTCATGTGTATCGGTGAAGGTGGATAAGTTGGCCACAAAGAACAGATCAAAGAAGAGCTCGATGGGCGTTGAATCCGGACGGCGGTATAGTTGGGGAGGGTCTTCATCGTTGTCGATAGGGCTCGCGATCCAGGGCAATGCGATATGTTGTCTACAAGTCTCTTGTTTAGGTAAATAAACTTGGAGTCCATGGAAGAGAGACTTACAGCAGAGCATCGTCGTCATCATCGTCAAATGCAGGCTTACAAGGCTTAGAACGGAATATGGACAAGAAGCGTGAAGGAGGCATCAGGAATATTAGACAAAAAGACTAGCACCAGGGTATCAAAAGAACAACGACTCCACGTAGATCCAGAAGTATTAGAGAGAGAGAGAGAGAGAGAGAGAGAGAGAGAGAGAGAGCGCAGCGTGGGAGGAAAGAGCCCACGTCGACGAGGAAGTAGCGAGGCAGATGGACTTCTTCAAACTTCTTCATCGCTAGAACCAGACGAAGCCACCGGCGCACCGATACTCTCCAAGCCACGCGGTTGCTCCAGCGCACGCGCTGAGGCATCTCCATCAGCACTGGCGTCAATCCCGGCCTCTTTCTTGAGTCGTTCATAATTTTCCCCCGCTTCCTGAATCAGTGCCTGAATCTCCACCTCGCGCATAGAAACCTCTTCCTTTTCCTTCCTCAAATCTTCCATACGACTTATCATTTGCGTTTTGGATGTTTCCATACCAGCCAGGGAGGTTCGTAGTCGCTCTAGACTGTGGGCCAACTTGGGAAGAGAAGTCATCTTGGGAGGCGTCCGGGGCCGATCGAGACGGTCTGCACGGCCATTGCCCATCGCCTTCTTGGTCTGAGTAGCTTCATAGGCGGCCTTCTCCTCGATATCCGAATCTTCTTCGTCCGATACACCCTCGGCGTCATCAATAAGCTCACGCATGGCTGCACGCTGTTTCCGCTGTTGCTCGCGCTCTGCTTTTTTGCCCAGTGAGATTTTGCCGTCTTCAACATACTCCTCAAACCCCTCGGCAAAGTCTTCGTCGTCTCTGACTAGTCTCGTGTCTTTGACCTTCTCCCCTCGTGCCGCCACATCCCAGTCGTCATGATGGGCAACGCCGTCTTCATCGTCAAGCGCAATGTAATCCTCCTCCTGGGCACCATGTTCCATAGCCAGCCGGGCCCGGCGCGCTTTCTTCTCTCTGATCTCAGCTTCACTGGGGATCGCCGACGGTCCGGAGACGGTCATGACCTCGCCGAATTTGGCCGCCACATCCACCGCTCGATCTTTTTCGTCGTCCGTGCTCGTCTTCGGTGTCGAGGGTGTAGAGTCTCGCAATTCCTTCAGATAGTCACTGCTGTAGCTCGGCCGATCTTTGTCCTGGCTCACTCGCGTGGACAGTCGTTCTGACGAGCCTGTCCGCTGAAAAGCACTTCTTTCCATCGCCTTCCGGCCTAGACCATGTCGTTTGGGGATGACCACTTCGCTTTCTTGGTCACCACCATCATTCATCGACGTCTCCCCCGGTCCGAACGAGAGCCGCAGTTTGGATTTCTGCTTCGGTTTCGAGCTTGCTGGCCGCTTGACGACTGGTTCATTGTCTGCAACGGTCAGATAGGATCATGAGCTAGGAAGAGTAGACCAACCTTGTGTAGTGTCCTCATCCTCATTTTCATCCCCGCCAATCTTGCGCGGCTTTCGACGATTGGAAAACGAACTCATGTTGTCTACGATGTAAGAAAGAAGAAGAGAAAGTCGAGTGGCAGCTCTTATCGCGTATCGGGGGAACATCGTTAGTCCGGCCCAGCTTGCACCAACTCAAACTGCGCTTCTCTTTCCCTCTCGCCCATCAACCACCAACACATCCGCCAATATGCCTCAAGCTCAGCCAGAATTGAAGAAGGTGAGCCATTGATTTTGCGGCAAAGAATTTGGCTAACCATTTGCGCCCAAATAGTACATGGAGAAGCGGGTCTTCTGCGAACTGAACGGCAACCGCAAAGTCATTGGCGTCCTCCGAGGCTACGATGTACGTTCCACAACCCTCACAAACGCGACCGAGCTGCGATTTAGAACTGTCTGGCATGATTCCATGCTGTTCGACCTGAATCACACGAGGAGCGGAGGCAGCGCGTGGCCCTGAAGTGCGGGAACATAAACTGATCATTTCTTCGCGCAGGTCTTCATGAACATCGTCCTAGACGAAGCCTTCGAGGAGAAGGCAGGCGGCGAGAAAGTGGCCATTGGCATGGTGGTACGTATTTTTTCTCCTATATTGCGATGCGCACTGGAGTTGAACACTAATGCGTCGATTAGGTGATCCGCGGTAACTCGGTCGTGATGCTCGAGGCCCTCGAACGGATATCCGATAAATGAGAACCAGGCCATGATCTACGACGTGTCTTTGTTTTCGGAGAGATGGACTGGAGGCTACACTGCTGGGGAAGACAAGACAAGACCATCATCCATAATGATATAGGGAGTTTCTGGGTCGGTTGCTCATACGGGAACAATCAAAAACCGTTTCTTTTTCTTTTTTTCCCTAAACTGTTTGGCTCTTCGGCAAAAGCCATGTCTCGCAATATATTGATAAACCGGTTGATTGGATGAAAACTACTATTTTGCACTCTGGCTTAGAGGTGACAGTGGCCAGTGTAGTAGAAAGAAATATTGATCCTTGAATCAAGAATTAGAAACCACAAATGCATTGTCGACCTCACGCCAGAAGCCATGCGAAATTTGCCTTCTCCCGCCCAGCATCAAAAGGGACCACGACACAACAAAAGTGAGAAATTAGAATACATGGACATGTTGAAAAGTACATTGCGAATGCAGGAAAAGCTTATTTCGGCTTCGAACCAAACTTCAGCTTGAGCTTGAGCCCGCCACCGCTAGCCGGAGTTGAAGGAGTAGATGGAGCCGGAGTGCTGGGGGCCGCTGTGGGGGTAGACGAGGGTTTGGGGATCGTGATTTTGGGGAAGGGTTGCGGGCTGGGACGAGTTGAGCTCGGTGTACCCGGGCCAGCGACAGTCTTGGACTGTTTGAAAGTGATCCTCGGAAGAGGAGGAGGCATCCCTTGTTCCTCACGTTTGCGCTTGGTGGATGCAGAATCCTTGGAGGAGAGACTGCTGCGGACGTTAGTGGATCGGTAGAACCGCACTTTTCCATGGCCCATATTTTCCGCTTTCCAGAAGCGAGGCAGCTTCAGCCGGGCTACCTTGGATCTGCTCGGTTCATACAATGCCCGACAGATATCGTTTAGCTCGGAAAGTTCCAAGATTCCCAGACACGGGGAGTTGCAAGCGGCCCAGAGGTATTCCTTTAGAGACGTGTCAGTCGCAAGTTCCCGCTTGAGGGCTTCGATGGCACCAGGGACAGTTTGCCGGCGTGCCAGATCGGCTTGTCGCACGGCCGTGGATGACTCTTGTTCAATGATCAGTCCGCCAGCCTGTACGGTTTCTTGCTGGGGTCGCCCGAAGGCGATCTGCGCCAAAGCTTGACCAAACAGAGCCTGGCAGTGTTGACGAACGTATGCAGACGGATCACTCGACATAGTGAAGACAAGCCACCGCATAAGTTCGGGACTGTTAAACAGGTCGAGGTTGACGAGGCACTCGAAAGCCTGCAAGCGGAGAAGATCGTACGTGCCGGGCCGTGTGTAGGGAATGAATCGCATCGGATCAGGGTCTATCATTCGCGCCTTCATGAATTGCATCTGACATTGCAAAGCAGCCCGAGCGTATATATTTTGGAAAGAGCTAGACCAATCATCAATTCGCCGATACCGATCGATTTCTGCAATGGCGTCTTTCTCAAGCTGTTCTTCGGCTTGGGCTTCGAGCACGCGCTCCATGTCGAAATGATCTAGCTCTTCCTCCGGTCGCGGTTCGCTTCTACCAAGCATGGCATCGCATAGCGACCGCATCAGAGAGGCGACGTAGAAGTTATCAGAATACTGCAAGAGTGTTAACACCTGCCCGAGAACCCCCTTTAGTTTTTCATACCTCATTCGTGGAGTTGTCGTTGAACTTCAGCTTGTCAAAGAGGAATCGCTTCACCCGCATTGGCGTTTTCCCACCGTTGTCGCGCACCTTCGAAATCGCGTCTGGGATGACCTGTTGAAGTATGTAGGCAGCTCGATCAGAGAAATCATTCGACCGGGTCATGGGCGAATCGGGAAGACAGAAGAGTTCTTGGAATGCTTTCTCTAAATGGAACAGCCCAATCCAGTCAACTTCATCTTTGGCGTGCTTCACCAACGCCCGTGCCGCAGCAACGCGAATCCCGTGGAAGTATCGATTATCCATGAGGGTCCGGACAAAGATAGTGGAGATCAGAGGGTGTTCTCTTTGGGCAGCCATGTATTGCAGAGACTGTAGATGTTAGCTGAGAGCGCAGAAACGAACAGGAAGATAACAAACCTCCAATTGAGCAACAACATCTCGATCTTGCTGGAGTTGCGACAGGTACATGTACCCTGGCATGCCCAGCGAAAGCTTACATATCCACTCGAAATCCGCATCCATGCGAATCCACTCGTAAGATTCTTGGCCCATCCGTTCCTCGTCTTCTTTGCTCCAGTCCGCTAGACGCCATGCCTGTGTTTCCTCCTCGGTTTGAAGGACATCGCCTAGACAGTAGAGCAAGACGTCCTCTTGGGTATCTGCGGTATCGCCAGCAGCGACGGCTCGTTCTCTTTGTTTCTTGTTTCGTTTAAGCCGCTTGTACTTCGTGTTGTAGGGAATGTCGAATTTGGTCACCCCTTCTTTGATCTCGACGATATGCTCATATGGGGTGCCGTCGGCTTCGTGAATACGTAGGGTCATCGAGCCCGTGAAGACTGGCTGGATTGATCCAGCATAAACGTGCCGAACTTCTTCTTTGAGATCCCGCAAGAACGCATGCTTCTCCAAGTCACGAGGCCCCTGTTGGTCCCCTTGGACCTGTCTGATCATCATTTCAACAACAAGCTTCTTCTTGTTGAAACGCTGGGTGGCCTGGAAGCGCGGACACCCGGCCCCGTAGACCCACTGTTGAAAGAAGATATCTAACTTTGCGTGGCCAAGGCGTTCACATAACTTCTGGAACATCGAACTCGTAACGGCTCCATTTGGAATGTCGTCCATACGAGAGTTCAAGAAAAGCCGAGAGATGATGCGTGACATGGTGGCCTTTCCACTCGCCTTGGTGAGTCGTCGATCGAGAATGAAAAGGACTAAAGGTGCCTTGAGTGCAATAAAGCGGGCCTCCGACGCATCAATTTTCAGAATGGTACCCATCTCGTATATTGATGGTCGCTCGTAGTCCAGCTCGAGGACCTGGTCCGACATCTGCTTGAGCCGAAACCGATACTCGTTGTTTCCGCACAGCTTCCGCATGAACGTGTCGGTGATATACCATGCCACGCCAACTGTCACCCAAGTGTCTACCGGCTCGTTTGGAATGATGTTGATTCCAGTCCACTGACACGCCAGCGCATGCACCAAGGCCCGTGTCGAATCGTACATCGCATCGATAATCTCCATGGGGAAGAGAAGGTGGGTACTGCAGATTGACATGCCCGCCGCAGGCAGGGTGTCCTCTGCGACGTCATCCACGAAGCAGATTTTGTAGCTGGAGAAAGGGTATGATCCGTAGGATAGGGAAAAGAAATCAATGGCCTTGGCCATAGGGAAACATGTGTTTTGGACTTCGTCACCTCTCCCCGGAAGACAAAAGGCGTGCAAAGGGATGGCATTTTGCCCAAGCTGTTCATCTTGGTCGCTTTCACGGAAGTCGGCCAAATTGACATATTCAAAAGGCCCGACCGCGAACCCGATCTGCTGAGCGGAAAGAGGCGAGTAGCAAGCGAATGAAACAGTCTTCTTGCTTGGATTGTTCGGATCCACGATGTCGTCAGTAAGGTCGCCAGAGCACACAACTGACATATCCAGGCCCTCGTCATCTGCAGAAATGTATCTATTTTGCTTCTTTGCGCGAGATGGCGTGGTTGAGCCCGATCCAAAAACATCCCCCAGCGAGGATGGGCAAGTGATCAAGAATTCCCATGTACAGCGCGACGCTGGGTTGTCCACACATGGGAACAGAGGGCATCCGACTCCGGATTGCAGAGAGTTGGAAGTGTAGGCGTGTGGATATCGCCAGTCTCCATTCTCACACCCGACAAACTGTAACCCATCGCGAATATGATCCAGGCTAAACTCGATAAATACGGTGACCGCGGTGAATCGCGGGAGGTTGGCTTCGGGCACCTTGGCGCTTGCTGGCCCGTCCACGTCGTCCCCAGCACCCTGCAAAGCCATCTGGTCCTGAGCCTCTGCAGAGAACGGGTCCAGCTCCTCAATCCGGACGCTTTTGGGTATAGTGATGCATAACTCGGGTTCTGGTGGGCTTTGCAACAGGGCATCGATTTTGGGAGTCAGACGCTCATGGTAGTGCGGTCCGTAGAGCTGAAGCGTTTCGCATGGGTCTGCATATTTCGTTGTTGCTGCCTTCCCATTGACGTTCAAGCGCTTGACTTCGCCCTGTCGAAAGTTGAAGCGGATGGTTTTCAAGTCCTTGGTGCGCGGATGGATCGTAATTTCTGTCTTCCCCTTGAGACCCTTGTTCGCAAAGTCAATCTCCAGCTCAACCTTCTGATGAGCAACGCTGTATCCCAAGTCCACCGGTTGGGCCGCAGCCCCAAGTGGCATTTCGACAACACCGGGCATCATGAAATCTCCTCAGTGATGAGATGCGCGGGGTGCGCTGTGTGGACCATCCACCAGCATGTCCATCCGATTTAGCAGGCGACCATAGCAGACGATGTTGCAGCGCAGGGCTTGGGAGCGATGTGGATGCGTAGACTGCGCAGCACGCGCGCAAGCGAGGGCGCGGAGTGAGGGCGCAGAGGGATTGTGTAGCGATCGGAGTGTGAAGCAGTGAAGGATGGAGTTTGGCGGATAGCGTTCAGAAACAAAAGAAGGGACGCTCACGAGAGTTGGTCAGTGAATGAATCAGTTGCTCAAGTGAATCACTGATCGCGTTCCATTAGCAGAGGGTCCGAGTCACGTGGTCGCCGGACAGAAATGCGAGACCCGTTCATTCGTTCCTCATTCCTCTTTCCTTGACCACCACTACGCTGTTGTTTAGGGACCCAGTGGGCTGACCCGACTGAGTCGATCCTTTCTTTGATTGTCCTGGCACTTTGTAGTGCTCTGACTTGTCTGTGTACAAGACCCCGGTATACAGCATTGAAGCACGCGCGCCTGCGAAAGGGCCCTTACTGCCAGGATGAGCGCGATCTTTCGAATGGTCCAAGGTGAGTGACATGCAGAATGATCGGCATTTATGTTTGGCGACTTACGGAGGATATGTTTCTTGCAGAGACCCAAGACTCGCTTTCGGATGACGCCCTCCTACCCCTGCGGTCCTACAAGTACTCCAGCGTGGATAAGTCGTTCATTTCGCGGTATATTCTGAAGCACTACGTATGGCAACAACTCATCTAGATATAAGATCGGTGGTTGACCAGTCTTTTATCTAGTGGAATGCCTTTGTCGAAGTGTTGCCCATGTGGATGGCTCCCAACATGGTGACCCTTCTTGGGTTCGTGTTCATCGTAGTCAACGTGTTTTTCATTGGGCTTTTCATGCCAGATCTCGTGGGACCGGTAAGTTTATCTGATAAATGAACGAGCTGGGATGCTGATCTCGACGCAGGGTCCCGCCTGGTTGTACTTTAGCTTCGCCCTAGGGGTTTGGATGTTAGTGGAGAAAAGCCCGCGCCGTATGATTTATACTCACTCTCCACAGGTATTCAACTTTGGACAACGTCGATGGCAAACAGGCGCGACGAACGGGGACATCTAGCGGACTCGGGGAGCTCTTCGAGTTCGTACAACCTTCTCCCGATGAATTGGGCACATGCTGACTTTCGACAGCCATGGGATTGACTCTTTGAATTGCACTCTAGCCAGTCTGCTGGAGACGGCTGCTATGGGGTTCGGTGCCTCGCAACTGGGTGCCTGGACTGCCCTGGTACCGTGTCTGGCGATGTACTTCTCGACCTGGGAAACCTTCCACACGCACACTCTCTACCTCGGCTATTTTAATGGCCCAACTGAGGGTCTTCTCATCGCCATCGCCATCATGATTGCCTCGGGCATTTGGGGTCCCGGTATTTGGTCGCAGCCGATCACGAATTTGATCAACATTCCCCAACTCTTTGGCACCAACTCCGTCCGCGACCTTTGGCTCCCAATTCTTCTCGGTGGATTTTTCCTGGCCCACCTTCCGGGATGTGTGTACAATGTTGCCTCCGCACGCAAGAGGCAGGGGTTGCCGTTCACCCCGTTGCTGAAGGAATGGCTGCCCATGGTCCTGTTCACCCTGTGCAATATTGCCTGGCTTTTCTCGCCGTACTCGACTATTCTATCCGAGAACCATCTGGTCCTTTACTGCTGGGCCATCTCGTTTGTCTTTGGGCGGATGACCACTATGATCATCCTGGCGCATCTGCTGAAGCAGCCGTTCCCTTACTGGACTGTCCTGCAGGCTCCGGTCATCTTTGGAGCTGCGCTAGCCAACCTGCCGCGGATTGGGTTGCCAGCGATCAGCGCTGGGTTTGAGCTGTGGTACCTGCGCTTGTTCTGTTTGTTTGCCTTTGTGATCTATATGCACTGGGCAGTCCTCGTCATCAACCGCATCACTACGTTCCTGGGGATCAACTGTCTCACCATTCGCAAAGACAAGGCCGTCGCTCGGGAACGAGTATATCAGCATTTTGGAGAGTCCGAACCCGGCGAGGTTAGTGACAGCTCAGATGGCATCAAGAGCCATTAGGTCTTGTATCTTGGCTTGTTGCTAATTGCGACGCATGATGATCTCACCAGCCTTGACTTCTTACAGGCATCATCGCAGGCTTTTGATGATGCTCTCTCTTCTTCCTGTCAATACTCACCGCTGCATTGTAATTACGAAATCTTTCGGCCTCTTGACGTCTTTTTTTGTCCGATGTCCTGAAATGGATGGATCATGGTTATGGGAGATTTGTTGGCGAACCCTGTGACCGATTTGGGCCTTTGCATATATGTACGTGCGTTATTATCAATTGTAAATAGTTCTCAGAAAGCATCAGGATGTGTTGAGTCAAATTTGTACAGTTTCGAATCCGAACAAGAATAAGAAATTTTTGAATCTCGGCGCAATAGTTACAAGCCAACGTTAAAGAGACATCAGAAAGGAAAACATCGGAAAATCAGGACATTAGGGCTTGAACACCAGCAAAAGAAACATACATGACAGCATAATAATACAGACAAACACCGCTCATTTCTTTCCTAGTCCCAGGGCATCCGTCAACCCACCGAGTCCCAGACCCTCAATCAACCGGTTCAATCCCAGCGAACCGAGCAGACCATCCAACAAGCCGCCCAACCCAAGGCCGTCCAGCAGACGACCCAGCAGACCCAGAACACCGGTGAGCAACAAGCCCACTGCGGCAATTATCTGGAAAAGCGGCTCGGAGAGCAGACCCCAGAGCGGGTTCAGTTGCTTCTTGGCGTGAGGCATGTCGGCAATGCGCTTGCGGCCGTTGTCGATGGTCTTAACCACCGTCTCGGTCAGCTCCTTGAGCATATCGGCCAGGTGGTACTCCTCCGGTGAAGCCTCGCGCGAGGCAGCGCGCGCTTTGGCTGTGGCAGCGATGCGGCCGTCGGGATCGAGAGCGCGGATGGCCCCGTTGCACTCCTGAAGGATGCGGTTGCCTTCTTCCAGAAGAGGCTTGACATTCTCGACGAGCTTTTCCTCGTCCAGCTCTTCCTTCGGGGTGCGGTCGGCTTTCTCGATGTGCTGCAGGGCAAATATTAGTGGATGGTTAAGAGTCTGGGGATTCAACAAACTCACCTCGGTGATCATGTTGCACACCGGCTTGACCTGCTCCAGGGTGTTGCCGAGGATGCTGGACATCTTCTCGGCCAGCTTGCGGTCGGTCTCTGCTTTTTCCTCTTCAGGCGAAGGGCCCTCCGGCTCTTCCTCGGGGATGTTCTCCAGCAAAGTGCATTCTCCTAGCTTGTTGCCGTCGTTGTCGACAACAAAGCCGTTGTCATCGATGACTTTTCCAACCAAGGTAGCCAGGTTGCCCGAGGTCAACTTGCCGATGAGATTACCGTCGGCATCGCGCACCTCGCCCTCCTTGGTGACCTTGCGGCCGGACATGGGGTTGACATCGCGCTTCTTCTCCTCGGGCTCCCAGCGTTCAGCGTTGCCGATGGTGTTGCCGTTCTTGTCCAGGATGTCGCCGTCCTCATCGACCTTGCGACCCAGGAGGCGCTTGGCATCGCCCTCGGTCAGACGTCCGATGATGCGGCCGCCGTCGACGACCACGCCATCCTTGCCGACCTCTGCGTTGTCGAAGCCGAAGAACGGGCCCTCGGCCTTCTGCTGCTCCGCGCCGGGAATGAGCTCTGCCCGGCCGACGACCTTGCCATTGTCACCCCAGACCTGGCCCTTGCCATCGACTTTGCGGCCGGCCAGTCGCTTGTCGCCCTCGACGATGCGGCCAAAGACAGCACCGGTGGCAGGGTCCACGACGTTGCCCATCTTGTTGACGACCTTGCCTTCGAGAGACGACAGATCATCCTCGACGGGGGCTTCCTCCTCTGGCGGCTCGTATGGCTCAGCGCAACCCTTGACATTGCCGTACTTGTCGGTGATTTCTCCATCCTCATCCACGGCACGACCACGCAGCTTCTTGGGGTCGCCTTCGATGAGCTGGCCGACAATAGTACCGTCTTCGTCTTCAACGAACCCGTCCTTGGTGACAACGAGGCCCTCCATACCTGCGAACGGACCTTCGGCCTTGCTCTCGCGCTCGTCCTCGGGAATGAGCTCGACGCGACCGACAACCTTCTTGCCGTCGTAGATCTCGCCATCCTCGATCTTCTTGCGGGCCAGCTCCTTCGGGTTACCCTCGATAACCCTTCCGATGGGGAATCCCTCGGATCCGATGACATAGCCTGCCTTGTTGCATGAGAGGCCGTTCATAGAAGAGACATCAATAGGCTCCTCTTCCGGTGCGTCGGGTTCCTCCCAGCGCTCAGCGCGCGCAATGACATTGCCATGTCGATCGAGGACCTCGCCATCTTCATCAACGGCCCGCCCAATCACCTTCTTCGCATCACCGTCAATAAGTCGGCCGACGCGAGTCTGGTTCTCGTCTTCGATCCAGCCATCCTGGCCAACGACGAGTCCTTCAAGTCCTGAGAACGGCCCTTCTTCGTCGTTGTCTTCTTCAACTGGAAGCGCCTTCGCCTTGCCGATCACGTTGCCGCGGTTGTCCCAGAATTGGCCTTTCTCGTCCAGCGTCGCGCCCAGCTTGGATAGCTTCTTGGGGTCGCCTTCGATGATCTCGCCGACGGGCTTGCCGGAGGTTTGGTCGATGATGTAGCCGCGCTTGTTGCACGTCAGACCCTCCAGAGTGTCGATTGATGGGATTCGCTGCTTGGCTTCTTCGGCGGCATCTTCCCCTGTGTCCTTAGCGTCCTCGGCAGTGTCTTCCGCGGTGTCCTTGACTTCATCAACGTCAGGAACACCGTCCTGAGCTTCATCGACGGGGTTACCATCTTGCGCATCTTCAAATTTGTCTTCAGCGTCGCCCTTGAGGCTGTCAGCCTTGTCCGTGGCATCATTGGCGGCTTGTTCAATGGCCTTCTGCTGCTCTTCGACCGGGATCAGATCCGCGCGGCCAATAGCATCGCCTTCGTCATCGACAATCTCTCCTTCGTCGTTGAGAGTGTATCCAACCAGGTCTTCCGGGTCTCCCTCAACAATCTGACCGACAACATGGCCGGCGGCGTTCTTGATAACGCCGCCCTCGGAGATCGGAAGACCCTCCAGCTGAGCAAGGTCCGTAACCAGATCCTTCGCCTCACCGGCCTTGGACTGGGCCTCCTTGGGAGTATTCTTAGCCTTGTCGACGACGTCGTGTAGAATGTCCACACGGCCAATGAGGTCGCCCTCCTCGTCCAAGATCTCGCCATCATCACCAATGGTCTGACCAACCAGATCCTCGGGTTCCCCTTCGACCACTTCACCCAGGGCGTTGCCGTCCTTTCCTAGGACTTGGCCACCATCAGCGACCTCGAGACCCTTGAGCGCAGACAGGTCAAGCGGCATGGCATCGGTGGCAGCATCGGCACCATTCTGCACGCTATCCTTCGCCTTACCGGCGAGACCCTTTGCCTTTCCAGAGGCCCCAGACGCAGCTCCTCCAAGCTGAGCCGCCGAGCCAGACGCCTGAGATGCGGCGTCGTCAGGCGGAGAGATGGGACGACGCTGCTCCGAGCGACCAGTCTGCTTCTTCGACTTGGGCGACGGAGTCTCAGGCACAGACGTCTCTTCAGCGTCGTCGGGGATGGGCGCGGGCTCCTTCTTGCGCAGCGGAGTCTTCTTGGCGGACTTGGGGCTCGTGCCGGCTCTGCTTGAGGCGGCACTGGAGGCAGAGTCCTTTCTTGACTTGGACGAGGTACCGGCCTTCTGGCCGAGCTTCGGGGGTGCTGTGTTCACGGAAGGGGAAGCCATCTTGCTTCAATTGTTTAGGCGTGATTGAGTGTGTATGGGGTAGTCGTGGTGAGCTCGTGATAGAGAATTGATGATTCCAGATTGGTATAGTGCTTTTTCGCGCTTGTTCAATTGCTGTAAATCTTGAACGGAGAGTATGTCGAATGGTAGACCGTAAAGACGTATATACTTCGTGACGGTGCGTTCAGGTGCTTAGATGATAGAGAGAATCGAGTTGATATGTAGGAGAAATATTACGATATTCGAGAAAGGATAATGTAGAGAGTATTGGAGTAGAAAATAAAAAAGACCAAAGAAAAGTCTGATCTTGATATGGCAACCAAACCATCCCGGGAAGCACGATGCTATATAGCTACACATATTGCAGGCCACGCACCTACGTCATAAGATACTGATATCATACCCAGAGACTTCCCCTCCTGGTCTCAATATGGGGCGTTGATCAACCAGATTATGATTCTGTGCATGGTGCACGGTGCCAGGACTGGGGTACGTTGCGTTGTGGACACCCCGCCACACTGAGCCGGCGTGTAGCATCATTGGTATCATCATTGCGGGTCAAGATGTGTTTAACAGGCACCCCTGGCCAGAGCTGGGCTGGGGAAACGCCACATGGTCTTCGCGAATGATAGTGGATGATGGTTAAACGGTGTGGCTACGATCAACTAGCGTGTGGGCAGGATTGTGAGTGGAGCATGGTATAGTAGTACAATTTTATTTGTACTGTGCTGAGTTGGCGAGTCGCTAAACGTATCATTTGGCTGAACTAAGAGAGCTAGCTGTAGAATTCGGGGTTGTGGTGATATCTTACTTATACGCCCTAAGTGTTAAAGAGAGAGAGAGAGAACAACTACATAAACGCAAAACTCCTTTCAGTCTCTTTTGACAAGTACTTTGTACTTTGTGATACCACTGCCAAGTAACTACAACATGACAGGTTATCCGGATGTTGCGATCCATGGTACCCCGGCGTCTCCATCAATATCAAACATGGGTCGGCAAATCAGCGTCTGCAACACAAGAGGCCCCTGCCCTGATTTGCCTCCGACTGGGTCTGTCAGGGCGGCCAGTGTCTGCCGCTGCCCTGTCGTGTCCATAGATTAATTGTTTGTGATCGAGGGAACACAGGGTCATCATTACATCAGTATCGATACCCATCCAGACAAACTGTTGGAAACCGTGCGACCAGACGATACCAAACTGCAAACTCGCATTTCCCTTTTCAAGCACTACGGATACACGAGAGGCATAATAAGAAAATTAAATAACTATGACGATACCCGCTCAGCCACTGCTGATGCGATACGTGCCGCGCCACCTCGATACCCACCGGAGAGAGCACAATGCATAAAAAGATCGCAAATCGACCAGGATCACTCTTACCGGATCGCCAGCAGGTGGGGAAAGGTGACAGTCGTGCTCCCGGATAGATGGCCGGGATGAGATCATGATCGATCGCCCGATTCATCATTTTTAATCTATTTAAAGTGGAGTGCCCAGCCACACAGGTCATCCCGGGCGGCAGCTGATATCATTGGAGAACTCTACCATACAACTTGCTGGCAAGGCAGAATGTTTATTTTGGGATATGCCAGGACAAGTTATCGCTTTCCATTTTCTTGTAGTGCTGTGCCACAGGTCGTGGCTCTCTATGACGTCTGGTTATAATAAAGCGACTAAATACGTCTCACACCCAATAGGAATCCCGCAGCCGAGAAATTCGAGAATGCAATTGAGGTCTTCAAACGAGTATTTATATCGCAGCTGTATATGCGCTTCTAGAGCCTACCAGTGATATAGCCAAATTCGGCCGAAAAATCCTAGTACCAAGGATACCTCCCTATCCGGGTAGGTTACTAGTGAGAAAAGACTAAGTTTGACATTTAACGGCTTCATGATGATCGATCGGTTTTGGTGCCGATTCGCGTCGATAAGTGTGGGCATGACGTCAGGCAAGCAGAATTTCATCTAGAAGCATGTAAAGAAACAAGTCAGTGCAGCGATCAACCGGTAGATCGAGTTACCCAATGCAGCAGGAGTGTATATTACTTGCTAGCCCAAAACTTTGATCTCATCGGAGGATTTCCCAGCGGGTCATTAGCAGCCCCAAAAATTAAGCTGCTAAGCCCATTTCCACTAGGTTACTACTTGACATAGTTAGCTCCTGTTTGTCTGATTCACGAAGTCATTTGGATCGAATGTATTTGACGTTTACTCGATAATTTGGTATAGACATTACCAGAGTGAGTTTGACGGTTGTTAAATTGAGGCGAGCTAAGGAAGCTATAATAAGCAATCTGTTTCAGAAATTATTAGTTGAATACCTCTAGGTGCGTTGTGGTCTAAGTGTTCTTGCTTTTATTTCTGGGGTCCCCCGCTGCTTTTGCGGTAAGGACAGTGAGTAGTCCAGTCTCCCATAGTAGTTAAGGTTCTGTTGCTCTCCGGCTGAACACAATTATTATGAGTTGGATGAATAAACGACATAATTGGAGATGCCGAGGTTCACAAGACTAGCAGCCATATCATTCGCTGATGCGCTCTCATTTCTCCCAACGACCCACTTGGGCGCGCGCTCAGAGATGAGTTAATTCCCCAACGGAACCTGCACCCAATGCTGTAGGACCTGCTGCTCCGGATAAGTTTCTACATTAGGACGTTCTCCTTACGCTCTGCTACGAACCTCGCCTTTCTATCTCTTCTTTCCTTTTAGCTAGCACCCAGAGAAGAGGACCACGCGCGTATATATCAGGTTTTGCGCCACAAAAACTTTTATTGAGGAAATCCGTCTACCTCCCTGCAAGTCTTGATCACTCCACAATTCACACTTGCCACAATGGCTCCTCAGCCACTGCCGTTCCCCGGCTTCAGCCCGATAACTGATCGGGTATATCTTCGCAATGGCCAGGAGAAGACCAGGCGCGCCCCAGCAGACGAGCCGACGACTATCATCATTTTTGGATGGGGGGACGGCATGCCAAAAAACGTCTCTAAATATGCCGATGGCTACCATGAGCTCTATCCATGCGCCAGAATCATCGTTGTCCTATCGGGGACATTCCAGGCATCAAACCAACCCCTTGAATCTAGAATTGAAGCCATGATGCCTGTTATTGATTTGGTGTTTCCAACTCCAACGGGCGACGGCACCGAGGAGGAGCGAGTCCTATTACATGCCATGTCAAATACTGGCGGTATCTTCATGGCCGCATCTGTCGTCGCATATCAACAGCGACACGGCGCCGATAAGAAATTTCCTCACAAGCTACTCGTCTGCGACTCTACACCGGGCAGTTTGGACTTTGCATCCCAAGTTGGTCGCTGGTCGCGAGCAATGGCGGTTGGAACGTCTAAATACTTCCCCTGGCCCTTTTGTGTCACCCAGGGCCTGTGGTATTCCTTCCTTTGGGCGAATTGGGGATGGGAACAACTGCGCGGCTCCGAGCCGTCCGGTGTTTGGGCCACGAGGGTAATGATGGATCATTCAATCGCTACAACCGATTGCATGAGGGTCTACCTTTACTCCAAGGAGGATGAAATCATTGGGTGGGAGGATTTGGAGCAGAATGTTGCTCGGGTCAAGGCCGGGGGTTACTCGGTCGACCTGGAGATGTTCGAGGGCTCGCCGCATGTCGGACATATGAGGCTGCACCCTGAACAGTATTGGAATAAGATATCCAATAGCTGGAAAGCGGCGCATGGTACATAGTACATTGGATGTGTTAGACTGTCTTAGATAGCGTTGTATTTAATTCTCATCTACCAGGTGGTTGGTAATTTCATTGCCAAAAAGGCCGTCAGAAGCCTTGCTAATCTCGAATCCATTACTCCATACCGGGTTGTTCGGACATGTATACATCATCCTTCTGATATTTTTTTTTGAGCAGGTACTCTAAATGGAATAGACTGTTCGCCTCTGTAGCCCTACAGATAATAGTGGGGCCCCACGCCCTTCCCTTGACATCCGAGACCCTCCGCCTCCGCACTGTAATTTTCCATATTCTCTTCACAAAGGCATTTATTCTCAGTCTATATTGTACCGTATAGCCTAGAAGAATTGTCTAAAATTGCATAATGCACCGAGCCGCCCGCCCGGTCAACTATGAGCTGCCCGAATTGACACGCGAGCTTGACACCGTACCCATCGAAAATCTTCCGGATAGTGGCGTGAGTCTGGCCTTCCCTGAGGGTGGCCGGGATGCCTGGACCTGTCTACTGGGGTCATTCCTGATCCTCTTCCCTTCTTTTGGATTCCAGACGGCAGTTGGAGTAGTCCAAGACTATATCAGTACTCACCAGCTGGCTGACTACAGCGTTCGCGATGTGGGCATGATCACTGCGGTTTTAGTCTTCCTGACTCTCTTCCTTGGAGTCCAAGTCGGGCCACTGTTTGATCGATATGGGCCACGAGGCCTATTGATCTGTGGCTCTCTTGCCAGTTTTTCTTCCTACATGCTTCTTGCGCAATGCTCCAAGTACTGGCATTTTATGCTTTGCCTGAGTATCCTTGGTGGTATTTCTTCTGCCGTTGTGACTACTGTCGCCATCGCTGCACTCAGTCACTGGTTCTACCGACGCCGTGCACTTGCATCCGGAATATGTATGGCAGGTTCGTCAGCTGGCGGTGCCATTATCCCACTGATCCTGCGAACGCTTTTCCAGAAGTTCGGCTGGACATGGTCAATCCGGATTATTGCATTTATGGCCTTGGCCTGTTACGCCACGGGGATCATACTCGTAAAAGGACGGCTCCCAATCAGTACGCAAAGTCGAGCGGTTATTGACTTCAGTGCGTTCAAGTCACCGCGGCTCTGCTTTCTCGCCGTCGCTGTATTTGCCTTCGAGTTTATCATTTTCGGATGTGCTGCGCTGCTCCCCACCTATGTCCGCTATACCGGTCTTTCACTTGACGTCCAGTTCTATTCGCTCACGGTTCTGAATAGCATGAGCCTTGTTGGAAGAATTATTCCAGGTTTCGCAGCCGACCAAATTGGCCGCTTTAACATTCTCCTATCATTGGTGGTGATTACCTTGGTGGTCATGGCGGGAGTCTGGTTGCCCTATGGAGCGCACAACGAAGCCACCCTTTACGCTGTTGTTGCTATTTATGGGTTCGGATCTGGCGGATGGGTTTCTCTCGCCCCTGTTTGTGCAGGCCAGCTCTGTCGCACTGAAGAATATGGTCGTTTCTACGGTACTATATACTGCGTGGCAGCATTCGGGGTTTTATTGACTGTGCCAATTGGAGGAGAGTTGATTCAAGCGACCACGCCTAAAGCTCTTGTGGGATTTTACTCTGCGGTGCTATTTATTGGGTTGGTTAGCATTACCCTATCTCGTTGGGCAGTTTTGGACTGGAACTGGAAATGGAAGGTAAAGGTATAGAAGGTCGAGGTCTTGTCTGACTTGAAGTTGCAGCTCAGAACAAGAAAGATTCAAATATATCCAATTCAAATACTATTTCTCAGGTACATGGGTAGAAATGTCTCCATCTACCTCTCTAAAATTTTATCTCTGTGCTTAAACCGTCCATCCCGCTTAATCTGCCCATAGAAATCCTTCGCCCAGTGCAAATGATAAGAATCCCCTAACTCCGTAAACAACTTGACTGACATCTCCTGGTCCTCCAGATTCTCAGAGTGATTGAACGGCGAGTACAAATATCGTTTCTGTATATCTGGCAATCTCTTATCCCAGCCCTTGTCCACTGCGTGTCGCGCAATCCCAATTGCTTTGGAGTCTGTCGCATATGCCTGCGGGGTGTCTCGGAAGATGTTGCGGGGTACTTGGTCGAGAAGAAGAATCAGAGCTAGAGCCCCTTCACCATTTCCGGTGTCCTTCCACTCGTCTAGAGTGCCGTTTCTGGCTGCTTCGTAGCAGTCACTTAGGTGCGTACGCACGTAGGCGTCGTCTGAAGGACTGCCGTACCAGAAGGACTTTGGCTTCAGATAGTCGGCGGATGATTTAGGACCGAACCAAAAGTCAAGAACTTTATCGTAGGTTTTGATTGTCATGATTCGTTTCATTGAGGCGGTAGATAGCTCAGGAAAGAAAGATTACGGTCGATAGAAGTTCACGCTCTGTCACATGACGTCATCTCGCTAGCCCTAGACCCCCGAGTCGTCTTGCGTGTATATCGCGCTCTTGTAGTATGCCTTCCAGTTCTCACAAATTGTTTCAAAATTATCTGATACTAGTCCTACCAATTTTGGTATTTCTGACTGCCGCTCCACAAATTGAAGTGCTAAACTTTGGCTCGAATGCCAGGCTATATGGCAGTGCATGAGCCAGGAGCTGGTATACTGTTAGCTTTCTGAGATGAATACTGTAACATAATTCTTACATACCCTGGGTTGTCATTTTTAAATGCGATGACAAGATATCCAGATCCGGCCATCGTAGCCGTGTCTCGCCGGGGAGGGTTGTTGCGGTTCAATCTGACAGTCAGATCGGTATACAGTCCGATGCCTTGGGCGAGAATGTAAAAGTCATGTCCATGGAGATGAAAAGGATGGTATGCATCCACAAGACCCAGATCCTGTATTACCCAGTACGTCCACTGGAAATTGGATTAGCCCGAGAGTGAATCAGAAGAGAATCCCTTTTGATACGCACCTCGTTGTCACTGGGGATCTCGTACACATTGTACTCTGTTGGAAACACCGACTCATTATGATATATCATCAAATTGGTCGGTCGCTGCCAGTCAATATCCAGTGCCTTGGTATTGATCGCCCAGTGGTAAACAAGGTCTGTTTCATAGAACCACCCGATGTCGAGGTTCTCCTTGTGGTCGGCGCTCCCAACATCCTTGGCCACGTATGGCACCAGGCTCTCATATGGCTCATCACCACACGAATCTGTTATTGTAGGCCATTTTTTACTAGTTGGGTTGCCCTCATCAGTTGCGCTTTCGTAGCGGATAATGCCGCGAATATCATTCCTTTCAATCTCCTGCTCGTTGCATGCCGTCTGGAATATTGCGCGCATCCAGTAACTCCCAATGCCCTGGTCAGCTTCTATGACAATATCATACCGCTGTCCAGAGGTTATTATCACACTGTCGGTCTGATAAGGTTCAATGGGAACGAAATCCGCTGCAATAACCGTAAGTTTATGCCTGTCAATAGTGAACTTCATCCATCCATCAATCTCAGCATCAATCAGCCTGATGAGGTACCGTTTTCCCTTTTGAATTACAGTCTCTGAGTGCTGCCCCGTCCCCAAACATGATGGGTCATTTGAGTCTTCGCATGGATATGTGTTTGTTCCGTTGATGAGTCCGTTCGCGGCGATGGCGTTGGATCGGACCGGGAACCCTCCATACATGGTCTTTTCTGTCCATAATTTAAACGCGCTCTGGTGATACCAGTCTGTTATGACAACAGGGCCCAGATCCACGTCGTAGTTGGCTGTTGCGGGACCGTGAATGACGATTGGTCCGTATAGCCCATCTGCCAGTTGCAGGCTCCAATGCGAGTGGTACCACGACGTTCCGTACTGGGTGGCACGAAATTTGTACGTCATCTTATCGCCAGGAGCAATCGGGCATTGAGTGATGCCAGGGGTGCCTAAGGCTTCAGCTCAGCGGTTGTCCATTTTGAGAGGGAAGGACTTTGAATATACCGTCGTGTTCGTTCGTGCCATGCTGTCGCACGCCGTGCCAGTGGATGGCAGTACTGAAATGTTAGCTGGTAATGAAAACTATTTGGCAGATACTTACCCATTATCCGTAAGTTCATTCCTGACATGGATAATCAGTGTATCGCCCCAGTCTGCCTCTATTGTAGGCCCTGGGTAGCTACCGTTGAACACCAAAACCTGTCGCTCGTAGCCATCGGGTGCCAACGTACAGTTCTGCACTGATAGCCAGTACTGAGAAAGCGAATGTTAAAGACAGGTCAGATGCAATCAGGAAATGGCCAGACATACTTCACGAATAACTCCAGTATCAGGCGTTACAGCGTAGTAGTCCGTGGAAATATTATGCTCGCCCCAGCATCCCCTTGATGTTGGTGTATTTTGGCAGGGTACAACAGCGATAGAACGCGAAGAGAATATTGGGAGAAGTAGTGGGGATAAGCTTAGGAATGTTCTCATATTGCCGCAAGATGATGATTTTCTCTCGCCTTAACTTGCCCAAAGCATTATCGGTTGTTTTTTTTAAAGGCAAACTTAATTACTTTTATATGAATTTAGACCAATGAGTCTTAGTATTCCCTACTTGACTTCTTCTAGACTGAATGAGTAAGTTATCCAATCTGTTCAAAGATGACTGGCTCATTCATACCATCAGGCGGAGAAAAAGGTGGGGGATCATGCAAGAGCCATGCTATAATCGGATCGAGGCACTGCAGCCGTTCCTCGGTACGTATTTGCCTTGCGGCACTTAGTTCGCAGAGATCGCCCTAAACCCCGCATGGACATGTGCCCGCACTCGGAGGAGACGACTACTCTGATTGTGAATGTCATCACTTTACTTGTACATCTATGACCCCACGGAGAGACTGTGGCTACACATTCTTGTCAAATTACACTAATCCGTCGGAAAGCGGCGTTGGAAACGAGTCATCCATCCCTGATCTCCCTTCTCCGCTCAGTGGCTTCCCATCACTGCCCGCCAGATTACAGTTGCGACCGTTATTGCCTTCCGTGTTGCCTACTTACCTAAATTGTTTTTATATTGTTTATGCGTAGTGAAGAGCGTAGTTACCTAGACCATAAGGGTATGATCCCTTAAGGAAGGAGGATAATTGTGAGGGTAGCTATACTATACCGTTATGCTACGACTATATGCCTAATCCTTAAGGCTATTGCTGCCTCACAACTGCGCACTAATCGCACGCATGATGTCGTGGAGGAGCGGTGTAAAATGCCTGTATATAAAGGCCTCGCTAGCACCTGAGTTTCAGGGGCCACGGATTAGTCTTGGAATCATACTATGTCGCACCCAAGTCATACAGCGACTCTATTGCCCAAATCCGTAAAACCTCCCTATCAGGTGTATTGTGAGACTACCCTGACAGTGACTCTGGAGTTAACGCAGAGCACCCTCTAGTTGAAAACGAGATGAAATATAAAAAGCCTACAACGATATAACAGGAATGATTGTAGGGTGTTGGGTGGCCCTTCGGGTATGGTATGGTACACGGTAGGTTTCAGTTGGCGCTTTGGGGCTGAAATGAGCGATGTGATATGCAGGTGGATCCTGGAGTGACCTTGGAAGTCCCTCAGCGCTGGTATAATTTAGGCGCCTGGAGGCTCCACCTTCCCAATATCTCCCAGACTAGCAGATTGCTCCTTGAATTTTGGCAGCCGCTGGAAGACGCTAATTTCTCGACACCCAGAGTTGATGCCTATAGATTACTGGACGGGGCTCACAGTGTGAAAAATCTGTGACTACCGTCAGCTCTCTACCTTATCCCAGTAGAGTAGAGAGTGGGGCAGAAGTCCACATATTGGTTTTGCTGCCCGGTTCATTTAATCAAGCTCACAGGGCTACAATAGCCATCGGCTGGCATACGTGAAATGACCGCATGCAGGTGAATGATTTTACATAGGCGCCCGTGCTACAGATCGTTGGAGCTACAACTTGCCTTCTATCGTTAACTTGGTTGAACAGGCTGACGGGGTGATTTCAATGTAGGTTTCATTTGGCACAAATTGACCCAAATATAAAATCAAAAATCGTACTGCATGGGGGACTAAAACTAAGGCTTGACACTCAATTAATTAGCGCCCTGGTCCTCGCCTTGTGCATCTTGCATCACGCTAGCCCTTTGTTACACGGTTTTAATACGCAGGCGCTTTGGCTCAAGAGATGATTTGCCGAGCATAAAACCTCAATTCCAATCGCACGAAACAGGTAGGCGCATACTCCTTGTGGTATTTTTGGGATCTTTTCGAGGCCTGTCATATAAATAGAGCTGTCATTCCCCCGGGGAAGCAACATTTTTTTGACACCCCCGCAAACAAAAAGTAAATCCAAGAATTCGAAACAGAAACCAGGTATCGTTTACCCCTAGGCATGTCGAGACACCGGGCTAAATTAAATGCCCAGAGCTATCCAATCATGGCATACGAGCTGTCTATAGAGATATTCGGGACAGGCGAGGACCCCCAGCACCGGTCTCATTGGGGATTTGTGGTTCATAGGCCCTCAAGCCTTGTTGGCGACCTACTCCATGTCAAGGTGATCGACCTCGACAGATTATGGTACAATTCGAACCGAGAATGAGTATCCCGCTGCGCACCATGCAGGCCGTTGGCAAGGTCAAACTTGGCGATCTTAGTGAACAGCAGCGTCAACATGCCATCCAAGTTATTACATCTTCCCCTGCACCAAGGGATGGAAAGAAAAGATGCCAGGATTGGGTTTATGACACCCTGCTGTCACTTGAGGTTGAAGAACTTGTCCCGTCTGGTACATGCCACTTCTGGAAGGGGATGGTTGGGAAGTCGGCACGAGCTGTTCAGGCAACACCAGGTGTCAATTGGACGAGTCTGAAATGAATATAGCATGTATATTTAGCTCAGATCCCAGTATAATCTAACATGGATTGATTGACTTCAGCCCAAAATTCGTACTCATCGGTCTCGAGTATCGTGGATATAAGATCCCTCCATTCTGGATCCAACGCTTGCCAACGTAAACAGAAATATTCCCTTGCCGATATACTATAGCCAGCTGCGCCCCAGTCTATGATTCCGGTGATGATATTGCCGCTTACAATAATGTTGCTTTGATGCAAATCACCATGCGTGAGCACCTTCCTCTCATCCTGGTCACCCGAGACAAGAATTTTCTCCACTAGAGGCTCATCTCTTTTCGTGAGCTGCGCATTGGGTCTGGAGTAACGGAGAGCCTCTACCACTCCTTGATTGAATTCCTTTCTTGTTAAGAAGGGTCCATAGTGCCGAGATTTTGCATCCCAAGAATGCTGGAAAAGAACGTCCTCGCATGGGCCACCATCAATGGATCCGAAGTAAGGTCCCTCGATCCGGCGCCACTCCTGAATAAAGCTTTGAAGCTGTCGGATGATAGAATTTTTGGAGTCCCGAGTCAAATTTTGCCAGCAGTGTTCTAGGGTGACCCCTGAAATTTTCGACATCAAAATGAATCCGACATCGCCGATTGTGTAAGCATTGAAGACTTCAGGGACGGGAACTGACGTCCATTTCCTCAGAAGACAGAGCGCCTCTGCTTCTCCCATCTGAACCATAGGTCCGACTTTCAATATAGTCGGTGCGTTGATCTCCAGGATTTTGCAGCCTCCCATACTATGAGGACATAGATCTTTGGCATTTTGAATTTCTTCCAGTGTCACAATCGGAGGCTGGTGTCTCATAGAGTCAGGAAACCGTATTTCGATATTGGTTGAGAGAATATAGGGAATATAGTTGAGCAAGTCCCATTTAGAGGGCTGTCAAAATGTTAGAATGTTCACAAGTTCACCCTGAAGAAGGATGCGCGCACGGGATTATTGGTGATAAGATCCTCATCCATTTTGGGTATTGCCCCAGGGGGGTTGTATATGGAGATCCTCTGCTTGGGCTTACCAAGCGAACACTCCTTTCGCGCAGAGCGAATGCTGTAGAGGGCAAAGGGGCTGGACAATTGTTAGTGGAATTGGGAAACTGGAAGTGTTAAATATCTGTCCGTGATTTACAGGTTCCCCTATGAGTGGGCCTATGGCTTGGCATGTTTGTTTCATTTGCACCTCTACGGACCTGATTTGGAATGGGGCGCTTTGAAAACAGTGTGGGGGAGTTTGGAGACATAACTGATCTCCAGATCAAAATGCGTAGATCACGTTTGTACTTTCTAGCAAGAGTAATAATTAGGCTTGACGCTCAGAGGAGAACCTAGTATTCAAACCTGTGGAAAGAATTCACGGCAGAGCAATTGTGCATCTAAGCCACAGACGATAAAGCATTTTTTTTGCCCAAGCCAGACTGATTCGCAAGCCTGAAGGTTTCTCACTGGACCCGATTAAAATTCACAGCTTTGTTGTTATCAGATCTAGTCCTTTTGCGATTGCGCCTACCCCGCCTCTCTGATATATCGATCATATGTTCGAAAGTTTCCTCAACACAGTCCGTATAGCTAGAAGCCCCGGATCAACCTTCATTAAAATACCAAAATCAAAGACAGCGAGCTGGACATTGTTTGATTAAGGTTTTGGTAATGCCATGGGCTGCTGCGGAGAATATTGTCTGACCAAGTGGATCCTTGATTGGCCACTCATCACCTGATGCGGGATGTGGGAATGTGGTCAAAATCAACAAGATAGAAGATCCTGACATTCTGAATATAATCGAGCTATCTCTTTAATAGTACAAAACGTATAATAAGCGAAATCAACGCACAATGACAACGATGTCAGAAAACAAATGCGGTTTAGCGTTGCATAACTTTTATGGATCCATCCTGGAATCCCGACAAAATTCCTAAACTACAGCTTACCCCGCCTCGAAATACGAAATACTAAGCCTTTCTTTGACATCCGGAATCAATTAATGGCCAAATAGATAAAACACTAAATCTACATCCGTGAAAGCCTCCAGCCCGTGAAAGCCTCCTGCCCGTGAAGACACTCCTCCAGTCCCCAGTCAATACATCCCAAGCCAAGGGAGTGATCGATTTGCGAGCGACAATGGATCCTACCCAGTGGATCGAGATTCAATCCTCTATGTCCAATTCCTATTGCAATGTCTGGTTAATGCAGGCAGGCAGCATACTTATTCCCGAAGACTTCGTTCTCTTACCAGACCCAAAGTCGAAGAATGGGTCAGCGTCTGAGCCGCCGGGACAGAGGAAATACGTTGCACCCGACTTTGTGTTCCTGATTGAACACATTCAAACTGGAAATTTCTACCTTTATGACCTAGGTATGCGCAAAGATTTACACAATCTCTCTCCTTTCACGCGCAAGTTCGATCTTCCTTTCTATGATTGCATTCCCGTTCTCCCATCAGAGATACTATCCAAACATGGTCCGTCCGCGTTTCATCCTTTTAAGTTGCACGCTATCATACTCTCGCACCTGGATTTTGATCACATTGGTGACTGTGGGAAGGAGGCATTTCCACACGCTGAGATTTGGATGGGTCCTTCAGCTTGTTTGAAGGCTAGGCCTGGGTACCCGGAAGACCCTGATTCGACGGGACTATCAAGTGACTTTCCTTGGGATGGTACTCGGAAGATTGTCGAGTTTACTATCCCCGATGATGTGCTTGAGAGCAAGGGAGATGCCAGGGTTGACCTTATGAAAGAGTGGAAGACCAGAGGATATTATACTGCAATCGAGCAGCGGATACCAATTAATGGTTGGCACCCGTTGGGAAGCTTTCCGTTGGCTTGCGACTTGTTCGGCGATCGATCTGTCTATCTAATAGACAGTCCTGGGCATGGAGCCGGGCATCAGTCGCTCCTGATTCGAGTGCAGGCAGAACCGAGGGAGAAACCGTCAACTACACCAGATTCCGCAGGATTAGACCTGCCGCTCGATGATTTCGTTCTATTGGCCGGTGATACGTTCCATCACCCGGAGTTGTTACGAAATCCTCTTAGGATGTCTCGTGTCCCATACAGCCCGAGCAGCGTGCACGCTAATGACGACTTGGCAATTGATTCAATATATCGTACACGAGAGTTTGCAAAACGCGAAAACTGCTGGGTCATAGCTGCCCATGACTCTGATATACAGGCTTCCCTTGCTCCCGGGCAGAATAGTGTTGAGGGATTGGTTCTTCTGAATAACTGGAAGCATAAAGGGTGGAAGGGCGAGCAAGGTAAAGCATAGCTGGCACCTTGGAAGTTAGTAATAACGGTAACTGGGACATCATTCTTGAAACTGGCTTCGAAAGGGATAACAGGAGCACACAGAGGGTTATTATATCTAGCACCTGTAAATCATTCTGAGGTATCCAAATACTAGGTAGTCAGGATGAGAGCATCGTGAAGATAAACATCAACAGACCGCCACATATTCTACACTACCAGAGTGATCCGTGATGCCTTGGCAGGAGAGCAAGTCTCTCGGGCAGAAAGCAGCCTTAAATAAGCAGTCTTACCGACCGTAGGGAAGGAAATGCTACCTTTAAATTCTTCAAATTGCAGCGACGTAACAAATCCACACAGACAAAATGTACAACAGGTACCATAAAACCGGGTATCATCATTCGAATAGAGCTTTTCTCAAGCTTTGATAACTAGGTACCAGATAAGTTATTATAAGGCGAAGGAGAAGTTCGAGCTACCGGTTCGACACAGAATCTCAGTGCCTAACCTAAATCTCTAGACGGATGGAATTATCACGGGAACTGTCCCAGGAATTGCCCCTGGAGTGAGGTGCATAATTTCAGCAATCTCTTCATCTATGAGCGGACCGTCATATTCCTTCCTTGCCCGAAGAAGATACCAGAGACCGCTCAGAATCAGCACACCACCGGTGACAACAATACTGTAATTCATGGTCGTATAATCCACAGGTGTTTCAGGGGGCCACACACTCCAGAAGAGGACGAATAACATATAAATGCAGGCATAGGCGTTGTTAATAGTTCCAAGGGCGCCAGGAACTTTCCACGGTCCCCAAATTAGAGGAGCCTGGGAGATCTGAAACTCCCTCTGGAGCGTGATAGGCTGAGGATTGTCGCATTCTGATTCTGGGCTAGAGGATTGTCTTGACGTCTGGAGGGTCTCATCAACATGGCTCTGGGGGCGCTTGGGATCGGTCTGTTTTTCCTCAGTACTAGAAGTGCCGCTGGCAGCTGCATCGGGAAGGCCATCGAGCATGGTTCCGTGAGGCATGACGTGGCCTTGGATCCTGTGGTAAAGGAGGAACGCGCTTGGGAGGAAGTAGGTGCTATAGAAACCAGTCACAACCAGGGAGATGACATCGTTAAATGCAGTGTCGGAGCCGATGTAAATGAGGGTTAGGATGCAGGCAAATCCACAGACTACGGTGACCGATATGATAGGGACTTTCGTGCTATTGTTCACCTGTTTTAGGAAGCGGGAGAATGGCAGGCCCTGGTCGCGCGCAAAGGACCAGGTCATTCGAGACGCCGTAGTGGTGATACCGGTGGAGCAGGCCCCGGTCAGGACCATGATGATGGCCGTCATGATGGACGCGCCTGTGTAAGATGCCGTACTATTGTAGAAGATCTGAATGAAGGGAAATCCTGTACTTTCAGGAACATTGACGTCTCCCAGACAGAACAAAACTGTGAGCATCATGGACAATCCGAGGATGCTGTTGACGGACATGCCAGTGATTATTGCGCGAGGAATGACGACGGCGGCGTTGGTTACCTCTTCGGCCATGTGTACACTTGCATCAGCTCCAGCAAAGGTCGCGATGTTTCCGATGAAGCCCACGCAGTACGACAGGCCTTGTGTGGGCCAACCTCCTTCATTCAACGACGTGCGGAAGACGAAGGCTGCCGATTTCTTTGGCGACATGGCGAGAAGTGTTGCTGTGATGGCTATGAAGCCAGCCAAGTGCAGCACCAAGATGAAGATCTCGAACCTAGGAAGGATGTTTGGCACGACGACATTGATGAAGAAGGTGCCCGCCACACTAGCCCAGGCCAACAGAGTGTTCTGCCACCGCTGTTGTGCAAAATCAGGGTTGTTCAAGGCAATCAGGCCTTCGATCATTGTTCCGAGAAATATTGTCTCGGTTGCGATTGTCGCGATCCATGCCATACAATTGAGCCAGCCGATTAGATAACTGGACATCTTCTTCCATCGCAGCGGGGCCAGCATGTACACCCAATAGTACTGCCCGCCTGCGATTGGAGCCATAGATGCCAGTTCTGCGATGACTGTATACACCGACAGAGTGGAAAGACAGGCGATGACGTAGCCATAAAAAGCACCTGCGGGGCCACCGTTGTCGAATGCTTGATAGAACATGGTGAGAACAGTTTCCCAAGTAATCAGCTCAGCCATGGCGAAACCGACGATTGACACGAAACCGAATCGACGTTTGAGTACTTGTTTCTTCCCAAGCCGGGCCAAGGCCTGTGCATCAAGCGGTTCGGGACCCTTTTCGAGCTTCATTGTGAATGCTCGCTTTGTGGGATGTATTGACTGCGTATAGGGATGCGGAGATAAAACGAACCTACTGCGTTCATGTCCACCCAAAATTAGTCAGTAGATCTAGTTCCAGCTGATTGTGCAAGGTCTCTGGGCAGTTGTCGCACTGGTTTCGGGAATGCGGGGTGGAAGTGCCGAAGGTTTTTAAATCTTGTCCACGCCGTGACTATGTATTAGTTGCCCCTGTAAATCTACTGGTCATTCATCTATTGGGTATTCATCGATCCAATCACCTGAGCGGTTATTCACACTATAAGTTCGAGAAGTGGAGCCACCGGCTATGTACCGACAAGCCAGAGACACACATGTACACAAGCAGCCTAGAAAATTGCTAGTGAGCGGGGAATATCCACAATACTGATCCTTCGAGTTTAAGAGGAGGGAATTGAAGTAAAAATCACATTTCGTAAGGTGTTTGTGGAGAGGTTGCGGAGAGGAAGCGTAGGCTGACAGACTTCGAGGAGATATCATTCTTGTCAGTCGGAGATCAATTGACAGGGTAACGCTGCAACTTTCACTTTTGAGGCCCTTGCTCCGGGAAGGGGCTCTGGATGGGATGATGCGCCCGCACGAGTCAGAGGAAACCGGTTATTTGAGAATTGGGCCTGTTTGCCTGCACATCAATTCCAAACCCAGCCAAGATCGTGGGCCCAAGACTAGATTCCCCGATCAGGTAAGGACACATCAACCAACCCCACCAGGACATGATAAGCCCCGAAACAGCTTGCGGGCTTTCACGGCGATGGCAATGGTTGCCCCTGCACATCACCCTTGCCGGACAACCGCCATCCCTCGAAGATTTAGCACTGATCCAGCATAGCCCTGTTGCCAAATATTAGTCATCTGGAAGGGAATTTCCGTTTCGTTTTCGGAGGAGACGACTACTCCGATTACGAATGTCATCGCTTACTTGTACAGAGCCATGGGGCCACGCATTCTTGTCAAATCCCGCTAATTCGTCGGAAAGCGGCGTTGGAAACGATCCATCCATCACCATAGATTCCTTCTCCGCTCAGTGGCTCCCCATCACCACCCGCCAGAGTACTTAAGAACCTGCCCAGATCCTTAGTAGGCGATGTCTGATTGGACAAAGTGCTGCGGACAGCAGGCCCAAGAACATTACGGAGCAGCTTTTTCGAAAAAGTCTGCTGATCCGGTCGTTGTAGCGCATGTTCCAAAACTCTTGCATCAAGATGAGCGTCAACAAATGCCGGCCTAACAGAGTATGACCTGAGACCAGGAAACATATGGGATAGGTCGATCAGAGTCGATTCGCATTGACCTTTGACGCGGCCGAACAAAGGCGTGAACCTTCCTGGTTCCTGGGTCGCCTGGGTTTGAAATTAGCTATCGGTGGTCGATATCAAGTTTGATAGGACTCGAGAGTCCTTACCCCTTCTCCAGATACGTAAACAAAATTGAAGGAATCAGATAACCCTGAGAATGCCTTTGCGGCAGCCAAGGGATAGTCAAGGGTGATTTTCAAATAGTCTCTGTTCATATGTCAGGGAATGATCCATGTTTACTGTCGATAAGTAAAGGCCAAAAACAATCAAACTCACTCTTTCGATACCTGCGTTTGAGATATGCCTTGGGCCCAAATACAACCATTGGTGCCTTTAAGCTTCTCTAGCAAGTCGGCAGGGTAATGACTAAAGTCCTGGTGCATAATGACGGTAACATTGGGTTGATTGTCTGCCATGGGAACGGGGCTTCTACTAAGAATGAACAGTTGTGAGACTTGTTTCTTGGGTAACGAGAGAATATGCGATAGAACGGCCGACCCAACCAGGCCTGTTGCTCCTGTCAATATGAGACGCATTTCCTCAAAAGGTACATGCCCTGGTTGCTGAGGGAGGAGGAAACACGATAATCAGCAAAAATTTAATGTGGAAAAGAAAAAAAACAATTGATGATATTCTGTTGTATTCGTGCTCCCATTTCGTTTCATTCGGAATTTGCCTTTTATATCCGTTAAGACCGCGGGAGGGCCCATTGTGCTTACAGATGCTAGTCTCATTTAGTGTGGCCGGTATCTATTAGCCAATGAATAGTTTGATGGATTCTCAGTCTATTCCTGCAGCTTTTCGAACAGTTCTGCAAGACCGTTTGGCCACTGTCATTCTTCTCACGTCAAAATCCGGGAAAAGGGCACGCACTAAGCTGGAAAGCAAATTGTACCAACGATTAAAGAGAGCTCACGAGGTATAACCGGAAATTGACGACATTGATATTGTATGTACCTGTAATATGGCTTTACATTTTGCTTGGCATTCTCATGCCTCCATCCAGCCGGAGCACGACGCCATTCAGCATGATATTCTCTATGCTCTGTATGACCAACTGGGCGAACTCATGGGGCTGTCCTGGTCTCACTATTCATAGTCAGTAACCACCAATCTTTCGACGGAATGAGATTATCCTACATGGGAATTCCATGACTCTAGTCAAGCTTGCGCGAACCTTGTCAGACATCACCGAGGTCATCCTGGAATCAAAAAGACTAGGTGCAATTGTGACAACGCGGATCCCGTATCGAGCAAGATCTCTTGTCAAGGGCAGGGTGAGAGATGCGATGGCACCCTTGGAGGCGCTGTAGGCAACTAAAGCATATTGTCAATATTTTCTAGGAAACTGAAGAGAGGAGTAGTACCCTGTCCCGGTTGGCCGTCAAAGGCAGCTGACGACGCTACCATGATGACGATTCCACGTTCACCGTCCTCCCCTACTGGTGTGGTTTTGGCCATGTGAGGGAGACACTGGCGAACGAGGTCGATAGTCCCTCGGACGTTCACATTCATGACAAATTCAAAATCATCAAGGCTAAAGGGGTTTCCATTGCGGTCGAGAATCTAGACATAGGATCAATCTCAAGTTCCATATTCAATCGGTTGGGGGCGTACAGAAACATACCTTTGCTGGGGAAGAAACACCGGCGCCTGCAATTACGCCCCCAATCTCTTTGCCAGTTTCTTTGGACCAGGCTATAGTCCCTTTGACAGCGGCGGCAATGCTTTCGGTCTCTAGCACATTGGTCTCAAAAAACTTGGACTTTCCTGCTCCGATCTCTTTCACGAGCTCTTCAGCAAGTTCTGCATTCATGTCCAGGATGGCGACATAGCCACCGCGGCGACATATGTCCTGTGCACATGCTCGGCCGAGGCCGGAAGCTCTGCAAAGTGATCCATCGGTCAGCCTTTGCAGTTCACGTTGGGGAGGCCAGCACATACCCTCCAGATATGACAAAAGTTCTGCCCTCGACCTTCATGCTGGATTGAACAAGGGATATATTGGTAGAGGAAAAGCGCCAGCAGCTTTCGAAAGCAATCAGGTTGTCGGTAGCCCATAACCGAGGCCCGGGGTCTCTGATCCACATTGCCGTACCGACTTGGTTAGCGTCGTCCTTTGGGCTTCATGGTCACGTGGTGGCAAGTAAATATATGATCCAAAAAAAGTAAGGTGTTTGAGAGAAGTACATTTATCAAGTTCTATGACCGCGCTGTTTGCTAGAGCTTGTCTGTTTTCTCGCCTTTCTCTGCTGTTTCATCCTGCGGCGATCGATGTTGTTCCCATCGCCTCCCTGTTCCTTCTCCCAAGATTTTATTGCCATGTGTACTCTAATCTCGAAGTATATCGTTTTTATTAACAAAGCCATCAAAATATACCCGATCCGCCTCATGATGTCTCTCCGTTGGGAGATACATACATCCGCATCACAGAATTGAAGACAGCCAACGTCATAGATAATGAGGAATGCGAAATGTTGAGTGCACATAGTAGAGAGATTGCAAGGACATTATACCTCCTTGAAAATTTCTCGCCTAACCGGGATTTCTGGAGCTCAGAAGATGGAACGGAGATTGGGAAAATGAGACAGCAAAAAGTTGGAGGCCAAAGTATTTAATAATCTCTGATGTTTGGCACGGGTGGTTCCTCCGCGAGTTGGGTCCCACTTAGACACTGCTACTTGTTACTTTGATAATTAATAGTATTACAAAGGCTCAGAGTTGAGAAACCTATAGTTAGCAGGCGAAGACCCATGAAATACTTGCAAAGTGATAAAAGCGCCCTCAAAAACGTAAGATAAGAGCTGTAGTCGACGTCCGACTGACAGAGCCAAGAACGGAGATTTCGCGACAAGCATTCCCGGCCCGGTTTGTAGATCTTCTTCTGTCACTCGAGGGAACACAGCTCGCAACCCCATTACTTGGCACCGGCGAAACTCCTGATCGCCGGCTGCTAAAGCCCTAGAGCCCTAGGGGTCTACGCAACCCTAATGGTGCAAGCTTCCCCGCTTTCCGGGTATTCTGCCGGCAAACCCGGGGTTTGTCTCCCTGCGGTGTGCAGCGATAAGAAATGTTGCGGTGCCTGATAAAGACCGCAACACCGGTATTTTTAAGGGTCATTGCGCCCGTGTCTTGCTAGGGGCAGCTACGCGTCTACGTTTCCTTCTCGTGACCAGCTAGCTCTATTTTCTCTACGAAAGTGATGAAAGATGGCCGCCTCGGACATCACCGACGCTGCTCCGCAGGCGCAGGTTGCCGACAAAGACAATGACAAGGTCATTCGAGTCCAAAATCAGGACGAGCTGCGTCTGGCGCAGATGGGTCAGTAAATCACTTATCTTGCGGCTTGGGTCTAATCTCCGGATAGGCCACAAGCAAGAACTCGTGCGACACTTTTCTGTTTGGAGCTTGATCGGTCTAGCGGCCAATTGTACGATCTCCTGGACAGGTGAGTTCAAATCATTTTTGAGAAAAGACATGTTCGTTTCTGACCAAGGCATAGGTCTTGGTCTTGGATTGATAACAGAAGTCAACGCGGGCGGCCCTGGTGCGGGTATGATAAAATCCAAGTCCTCGCATAAGTCCGTGCCCGATTTGACTCTCCTCCAGTTATCTACGGCTTCATATTGGTGTTTATTCTCCAGTCCTTCCTTGGTGCGTCTCTGGCAGAGTTTGTATCTGCATACCCGACGGAGGGGGAATGTACCATTGGATTGCAGCCATCGCACCGAAACGATACAACAGTATTCTGAGTTTTGCGACTGGGTGGTCTACGGTTTTTGGGTGTAGGTTTCCCATAAACGGAGAAAAGAGGACGATTCTGACTGGCTACAGGGATCTTTACTACCGCCTCCACGAACCTGATCTACGCCACCACACTGATGGCTCTGATCGCCTTATACCATGATGACCTGGTGCTGAAGCCGTGGATGACATTTGTGGCTTATCAAATCCTGAATATCTTCACTTCAGGGATTGTCATGTTTGGAAATCGTTTGATTCCAACTATCAACAAGTTTTCGCGTACGTGAGCTTTATCATATACGTCCCGCATTGACTAATGCAGCTACAGTGGTCTATCTGCAGCTGGCATGGTTTATCACCATGGTCACTGTGGCTGCGATGGCCCCCGCTCATAACGACAGCGAGTTTGTATTTCGAACCTGGATGAATAAGACAGGATGGGAGAATAATGCGATCTGTTTCATCACGGGCCTGGTGAATCCGCTTTATTCGCTGGGTGGGTTGGATGGGATTTCGGTATGATTTTCTTTTCTGCTTGGAATCAAAATCTCTGCTGACTGAATCTAGCACATCACTGAGGAGATGCCCAATGTAAGCTGCCATTCAGGGTTACCACGACCTTTGCTAATACTGAACAGCCCGGACGAAATGCGCCTTTAGGCCTCGGTATGCTAGAACTATTTTCATGCACACTATTGCAGCGCTGACAAAGTCTTAGCCATCACGCTCTCGATTGCATTTGTAACAGGAATATCCTATCTGATCAGTCTTATGTTTTCCACCCAGAACTATAGCAAACTCGCCACCACAAGCACCGGGCTACCGCTCGCCGAGCTATTCTACCAAGCCACTTCAACTAGAGGAGGTGCATTTGGACTAGTCTTTATGATCTGGGTTGCTCTTGGTCCCTGTGTCATTGGCTCCCAGCTAAGTCAGTGACACGGTCTTTGGTCAAGGTTCTTTCTGACTGAGATAGGTACCGGACGAGTATTCTGGGCTTTTGCGCGAGATGATGGTCTTCCGCTGTCCAACGTGTAAGTTGATATTCACTCCTCGTTGATCCTGCGACTGTATAACTGACTTTTAGCAGTTGGAAGCGTGTTAACAAGCGGTTCGGCACTCCTTTTAATGCTCAGCTTTGCGTTGACGTGATCGTCGCTCTTCTGGGGTGCATCTATCTAGGATCAAGCACCGCGTTCAATGCGATGATGAGCTCTGCAGTGTACGTGTTGAACCGCTTTGGAATTGGTGAATATGCAGAACCACTGACACCGGACCAGAACAATCAACAACATCGCATATCTCGTCCCAATTCTTACCAACGTCCTTCTGCTCCGGAAAACCATGCACCGGGGGCCTTTCTTCATGGGTTTCGTGCCTGGAATGCTCGTGAACACTATTTCCGCCGCGTGGTTGGTTTTTGCTATTGTTTTCTTCTCTTTCCCATACTACAAGCCGGTCACAGCGTCAAATATGAACTATACGTGCGCTGTCGTTGGTGGATTTTTGATCATCGAACTGGCGTGGTGGCTTATTGCTGGCAAGAAATACTCGAGGACTGTACAGCGAGCCCGAGAAGAAGATCAGGTCTCGCCGGTGATTGTTGATGGAAAGAATACAGCATGAATCAGCAACATTATCATGAATGGAGTGGAATTATGTTTCGATTATCTATCAAGTACATACATGTAGTGGAGAGGGGTGTATCCATACACATCTTTCGAAGCAAATCATCACCGCCACCGATTATCCACCTGTCTGAGGTAGGGGTATTTCACGGCCCACTCATCATACACTGGGTAAATTGTAATACCGCGCCGCCTGGAAACCTCATAGAGATCCTCACAAGCCTCACACGCCTCACGGAGAGCATAGTCTGGTGCTCTGACCTCCTCCTTTTTAACCCAGTCACTCTCACGGGGCTGATAGTATAGATCAAGAACAAAGCCTAGGTTCTGCAAATTGGGAAGGAAATCCGTTGACTCAAAAGCCTTCAGCCAATCCCCCCAGCGCTCGGACCTACATAGCGACACCGGACCGCGGAAAGACAGCGAGGTCAGGTTCGGTGGGAGGTAGTCGTATAGTGTAGGCAGATAGGATGGATCCCTGAAAACTTCTCCCACTGTTAATCGCAGTGTCTTCAAGTTGCTCAGTTGGGGCAGGAACTGGCGAAACATGCTCTCGTCAAGATAACTAAAGTCGAAACCATTTGTCGAACGCAAATTCAGCGTGTGCAGATTGGTCACAAGATGGGGCAGTGCCATTATCATCCGCGAGAACGTATCAAGTGCGTCATTTTCCAGAATCTCCAGAGTGTGTAAGTTGATAGGATCAGAGGTAGGCATATTGTCCGGTTCCACTGTGGCGTCTGGGCTCGAGTATTTGTTGTTTAGCCACTCATTCACCAGTTCCGGAATCAAAACAACGCTGATCTTTCTCTCCTCGGGTGTGCCTTCCTTGACGGTGAAGAACTGCTGTTCTTTTTCTCCGCGTGCAATTGCTTCCTTGTTCATGCGCTGCAGCTCCTTGCTTGTGGGACCTTCAAATCGAAGGCCATGTGTCAGGTACATGATCAAGTGGGAGATTCGGCCCTGCCGCACCCAGGGGCTTTCGATGATTTCACCGCAAGCTGAACCTAGCAGCAATCGTTGGAGAGGCCAATGTAGAGGCATGTGTTTATCATTGAGCTCTTCGTTAAACCCTGTATCCATTTCGAGGTTTTTGATTTTGGAAAAGTGTTTTCCAAGCAGTGCCCATTCTGTGTCAGACGGAGTATCGTTGTTAATCTTTAGAGTGGTGATATCCGCAGGGATAGACTGGAGTTGATTTTGTAAGGCACTCTGGTGACCATCTTTAGCTTCCTCGTGAAGGCCCTGGACATTGACTGTGAAGAGAGGTGGTGGAGTCGTATCAGTGGATGCGGCTCGAGTCATTTTAGCGGCAAAGTAGCCACGGGCACAGGGGCGGTTGCCTCTGAGAAGAGCAAAGGATATCGTGGGTAAATAACGCTAGTCTAGGTTAGTTGTATTTGGCCCTTCGCGTTGAATCGGGCATACCATCTGAGCAGTAGCTGGGGATCGGATGGTGTGGATCGATGGATGTGATAGCAAGTGACGGCAGAAAGCATTCTTTGTTGTGCATGGTAATTCTGATAGATCACATGATATTTCTAATTAGATTAATTCCTAATTATTACGCGACACGAGTTACAGATGAGCAGGGCCTGTTGAGAAAGTAGCCAAGATTGGATTAGCTATATGTGGCGAACTGATTTCGAATCTTGCTATAACGACATGTGGAATATTGTGGGAATCCTGGCCCGAAAAGGGAGCAAATGAGGTTCACGATAACATGATATTGATTTCAGGAATCGCAAGAAAACGTCGCATGAATGGCAAGGCAATATTTTCTACATATGTTGAGCATATCCTCTCTTTAATATGGGTAAAAAGAATCGCATAGCTGCAAATGGTCGGATACAAAAAGACCTATAGAACTTGAAATCCTCGCAATCCATACAATCAGGGTAGAAAACAGATTCGCGTTTATACACCGACCAATTGTTTCTTGAACCCTATCTTGAAATACCCTAACTAATTCATATTTGGTTTAGTAGTCAACATACATTTCCGAAACATAGAGACTATTTTTTACACGACAGCGGAGTGGCGTAAAATACTGTATGTGTGCCTGAAAACAGATTTTCACTTGCAACTGCTGCCTAGCTGTCGAATTTCCAAATCGTAATAAGGGACCTATCCAGTCCGATCAAAGAAAAGGGCCCACTGACAAGTGACAAAAATCGGGGAATATTGATTAACCCCCAGAGCGAAGACGAGGCGAGTATGTCTGAATAAGGATGCAGCAGTTCAACCAAAACAAGCTAGCCGGGCCGACTGACCCACTGGGATGGTGGAGCTGCCAACTACCTACATCGTGCATACAGAAATCTTGTTTATATCACCTCCCATGTGTGGTCAGAGAATGGTACCATTTATGCAGACAGGGGTCGAATGATTAGTGTACTATGGATATATTGGTGGGTCGTGACGCAACAGGCCTGTCATCGCAGAGGGTTGACGCTATCCAAGGTGTCAGCTCTACACAGTATGGCTTTACCAGCGTGCCATTCTATCTATTTCTCTTCTTCATTGATCATGCGATGTAGATATTTGCGGAAACACTGGGACTGGCCAACTCGGGTCGACCACCGCCATCAGGCGACAAGATTCTCCGTCCGGCTAGAATCCCAGCAAACCATTGTTTAAAGGAATCAAGCTCATCGATCTCCGGGCAGCCATGGTATGCCCAAAGCTTAACTGTCAATCTCACAGTGGGATCCGTGTAACGGTCGATCGTCAGGCATCACCATTCCCATGGAACACATTCGGTCGCAACCACTCATAGCACCCCTAACGACGTCAATTCCTCTAGCACCAAACGGATGTCCCCCTGGGTGTGGCGGTCCAGGCAGCGAGCTTATTTGGGCAGGCACGAGTCCGTCATGTCATGTTTGCTCTCGCTGAACTCTAACCTCCTCGGCCATACCTCATGACATTCTCTCCCTCGTTCCCCTCCAGCGGTTCACCCGCGTTTTACCATGCTCACCTCAGACCCGATCGCACTTCGCTCGACGAGAGACCTGTCAGTCGCAGCTAAGGACAAGAAGAAGCGACCACGGCGTGGCCGGAAAGCCACGAGTATGCCCAACGTCGAAGCAAAGCCAAAGAAAGCATTGCTCCTCGACGAACTGGGTGATATACTGGTAGAGCAGCTCTACGCCCATCCTAAGCTGGTGGAGCCTCTCAATGCCCCCGTCGCTGAGGTCGATCACTTACGCAGCACTCTCGCTGCAATCATCACGGCCTCATCATGTGCCAGCTCAGGCAGCAGCAGCAGTCGTACGCTGACCGTATTCAATGGCACACCACCCACCAGCTTGGACAGCCGCACCCCCCAGGAGTCCCCGGCCTCAAAGAGCATAACCCCAGCACCCCCCACAGGCGAGAATCTTCGCAGCAAGACCAAGCGCCGACGACATGCAGATGTCTTCAGTCTGGACGACTTCTCCACGATGACCACCATCGAACACCTGGCGGCGCAGTACGGTCGAGTGGCGCATATGGGCATCCTCGACCGCAGCTATCGCTTCTTTGTTAACCAGGCGCGGACCGCTGCTCTGTCCTTTAAAGTGCAAAATCGTGTGGCAATCGTGGGCGGCGATCCGCTGTGTGATACTGATGCTATTCCAGATCTTCTGGTAGAGTTCGCAGTGTACCGTCGACGGCATCGTTGGGGTATCGCATTCATGGGCGCCAGCGAGTCCTTCGCTCGAGGTTACGCCCAGTTACAGGGCTGGACAACCATCCGCTTCGGCACCGAGCGTGTACTGAATCCACAAACGAACGACGTTTTACTCGAACGTGGCGGGAAGCGGATCACAGTGCAAAACCGACAGTTGCTGCATCGGCACAAGGGCGGGATCACACTGAGAGTATACTCACCCGCGACGCACGGCACCGACACCGAGCTTCAAAGCGCTCTAGTCGCCATCTACGACGCCTGGCGCGCCGAGCGCAACCGCTCCGCTACCCCGCAGGCTTTCATCACGGTGTACGAACTGTTCGCACTACCCAGCCTTATGACTTTCGTGTATACCCGGGGCCCTGACGGCCAAGTCAATGGATTCGCCGCTCTCCGCCGGTTGGCCGCTGGTGGCTATCACATCGATCCGTGCATCGCCGCGCCTGATAGCCCCAAGGGTATCAGCGACTTGCTCCTCATCGCCACCATGGCTCTGCTCCACCGCACCGGTGTCTCGTATCTAGGTTTCGGCTTCGAGCCCCTGCACGCTCTCGATCCAGGCGAGATCACCGGTTTGCCTCGTCCATTTATTCACCTCGCCCGCGAACTGTACGGTCATGCGTTTCATCGCCTTCCAATCCACGGCAAGAAGGCCTACCACGATAGATTCCACCCTGATCCACCCCAGGACTCGGGTCTCTACCTTGTCTTCCCTCGAGGCGTCCCCGGCCCGTTTCATTTGCTCGCCATGGCTCATATGGCCAACATCAGTCTGCGCAAGATCATGTGGGCCGACGTCCGCGGCTTGGTTTTGAAAGATGCCCGCAAGTCTTCGCAGAAGCCTGTAACCGCTGCAAGTGATGCTGTTATTACTGGGGAGGCTTGACCTGGAGTCGGTTTGTAGTGTAGGGTATTTGGGTTGTTGTGCCAGCGGAAGAGTTGGAAACAGAAGCAAAGGGGCACATATGGTCGAAGTTGTGGGGTGGGCTGGTTCTCGACCTGACCTCTCTCTCTCTCTTTTGTTTTTAGATGCAGTAGCACCGGCGCAAGTGATTTGTGTCATAGGCAAGGCGTTCCCCTCATGGCCCAAACGGCGTTGCTTACCTCGATCCACACTTTTATCTATATTGTTCTTTCTGTCAGTCCGTGTTTCCTAATTCTCATTCAAGTCATCGAGAGGATGAGTTCATTTTTCTGTCTTTCTGCTAGGAATAAGATGTACAGTATCAATTGTTGATTTCTGAAGGGTTTGAAAAAAAGGTATCCATTTGCATAAGGCACTGCCATATGTAGTCAGTATTAGGTGACCCATGCCAAAGACCAGAGTAATTATTGTCCAAAAGGCTATAAGGTAGTATACACATTGTCTTGCTCAGAGGACTAGATGCGATGAATGACAGTCCTAAGAGACACGACCGAAGAGAAAGTCTTTGACAATAGGTGAGCCTGAGAACTCCGGGTTCAGAAGGACACAGCTATAAACTACGTCAGTCAAGCTATAACCGAATTGTTGTGCAGTCACCACTCACTTTAAGAAATATTGTAGACCGACGCGCCGATTTTCGAGAAACTTGGGCCGGAATTTGTCTGCAGGTAGTCTATGTTAGTGGGAAACACGGAATGTAAGTTTTGAGAGAGCATACAGATCACGCTCTTGGGCGGCAGAGCGGGAAGAGCACTTTTGGCGTGGGGAAAAGAAAATTCTAGCCGCTGGCGCAGGTCGTCAAATTCAGAGTATCTGATTACTGTGTAAGTATCTCCAAACAACTGCCTTGAATACACTGAATAGAAACATACCTCATCCGAACAACAATTGGACCTCCCTACACCAAATCAAATCATGTTAATTTAGGAACCCCTAAAATGACATCGCCAAACTCACATCTAGTGTTTGTATAGTGCAATTCCACACCACATACGAACCGATCCCCGTCATACCCTGCACAACGACATAGTCATCAATAGAGACACTCCGTGCCCACAGTCCGCGAGTAGTTTCCGAGTCCGGGTCTGCCGTGTGATCCTCCAATGTGATGAGCGTGGACCGTGCCAACGAGGTCTGCGATGCACGGGAGGCATTGCGCTCGTGACGGCGCCAGTAGGGAGGCACTACGCCGGAGAGCGGGCGGGACTTGGTGGACGAGGCAGGGCTTTGGGATAGCGGCGGGAGGACTGCCCCGGTTGCATTGGTGTTGGTGATATCGGTTGTTACATCATCGTCGGCTTCTGCGGGAAATTCTTGGGTTTCCTGTTCTTGTTGTTGTTGTTGGAGGTCCGGGGGTGGGGAGAGCGGCGGGTGCGGCCGAGGTGCCGGACCGGCCTCCTCAGTCGCTGGCTCCATCCATCAGACAGTTGAGGCGGAACGCACGGGATGTGAGACTGTTTCCGCTATGCTGAAGTTAGCTCGCTAGTAGACTGTCAGCCCACGATTGGTAATTATAGAAACAGGTGGTACAAGTTTCTGGGAGGGGGGATTCAACGCAAGGACTTGCCCTGGGGAGCGATAGCGCCGGGCCAGATTGTGTGAGGACAGGATATGTTACAGGGATGCACTGACCTTGCGGGGCGGAAGTAGATTCCGAGATATTGAATCGAAAATGGGCGTGGCGACAGCTTCAAAGGGTAGAAAATCAAGGGATTCGGGGACGAAAGTAAGACATGGGGAGGGTCACGGGGCCCGTTAGTAAGCCCCGCATGGACCACCTCTTGTCTGGATTTAGCATTGTGGGAGGGAACGGAGTGAACAAAATATTGAAGAATATGAAGTAGAGACTGACATATTTCTATTTCTAGGTCAGAACCGACGTAGGGAGATATCTCATATGATCAATCACATATCTTCATGTCAGGGCCCTGTCTGCCGAACCCTAATCATGCCAAGCTCCGGACCATCCCCGAAACGCCAATCGGCTGAGACAACTGAGACATATCTCCATTCTAACATAGTCCTATCTACTTTCCATGACATTCTCTTTCTCAGGTTGTAGCCACGGCCAACCGTAAACAATAACAAGCGGGTATCCACCCTAGGACTGATGGCAATGGACAACGGCCTGGAGACCCTGACTGGTACTGAGATCCCCGGATGGACACGTCCGTTTCGATTAGACTTGAGAAAAGAATGTGGTGGCCAATAGTAATGTCCGTGCCTCGCTTGCTGCAGCTTGTGTACAGGCTAGTGTATAGATAGCGAGCGAGGTGCCACCGCAGAGAAATCAGGAATGCGGTGGTCTTGCTTTTTTCTCTTTCTTTTTTACCATCAGATGATCTGCCTGCGACCCGCTCCTCTCTCTCTTTACTATCCCACTCTCGTTCCAGAATTCACTCGTTTCTTCTGCCTGTTTGCCTATTTCTTCTTCGTAACCCTGGGAATCCTTGTAAGTCTTTTTTCTTGCCCGTTTCTATTTTCAGTCGGCTCCTCCTCCCCCTTCATTCCTCCCGCAAGATCAGCAGATCGTGGCTGGAATCCACGCGAGAAAACAAAATTTCTGACATTTACAGACCTTCCAGCGCCTCTCTCTTTCGAATCATCATCTACCTTGACTGTCACAATGCTGTCGCAGCTCTTGCTGGTTCTTGTTCCGGCCATCACGCTGGTGTGCGGCCAGTCGGTCGTCACCATCGACCCTAACACGGTCCCTCTGGCGACTAGACGTGAGTATTCAAGCTCCTTCAATAAAGCTCGACACTAACAAGTTCCTCTCAGAGTCCTGGTGCCTCTCCCAAACCTCATCGTGTCCACTTCTCTGCCTGCAAATGCCCGGTGTCTCCTCAGCTCCGCTGGCCAACAACTGCTCTGCTGTAAGTCAATCCATCAAAACGGTCTATACGCTTGTTCTAAACGAATACCTCCAGCAAACTCTCGACTACTACTGCGTCTGCAGCAACAATCTCTCCCCCAACGCGTCGCAGTACTCCGAGACGATCCCCTACTTCGTCTGCACCGAACACAACAACCAGTGCGTGAATGCCTGCAACTCCGGTGACTCTATCTGCCAGTCCGACTGCCGGACTCAGAACCTGTGTGGCGCACAGTCTCCGACTCGTGTCAATGTCACTACTGCTACCACAACCCACGCTACTAGCGCCTCCTCGGCCTTCGTGTCCAATACCATGATAGGCGAGGCTACTGGTGCTGCTCCCAAGCTGGTTTCAGTGGAGATGGGCCATGTTTATGGGCTTTGTGTTTTGGTTGCGGGGTTCATTGCTGGGTTTACGGCTCTTTTGTGAGGGGATTTGAGGTTATGATTTCCTTGGCGGGCGTGATGGTTTAATCTGGTCATCCTAACTTTGTTTTTTTATCATGATGTGCATCTGAGCTGCGTCAACATGGTGAGTTTCCCCTCTACGCCATAGCAATAATAAGAGTGTGTGATATTGTTTTATGTTTCTGGCATTACATTCAAGTATTGTACGACATCTGATACAAGCTCATAAACTACACCTGATGTATGCTCTCTCACGACCATCCACGTTACATCTTCGCTCTCAACTTCGTACTATCCATGCGCTGTCCTTCATCATCCTGTTCTGCAACCTCCAAGACTGGGAACTTCTCCGGCATGATCCGCCGAGGCTTCGACCCGGGCACCACCGAGTATTTTGAGAAATCAGACACGCCACACTTCTCTCGAAGAAAGTCCTCGTCTGTGTCTAGCAGCCCATTCACTTGGGCTGGAGGTGCACGCAGCATGCCCAGGATAGCATCGGAGAAAATGGTCTACAGAAAATGTAAGCAGCTGGGCGACCAATTTCAGCACATAACCTACCGGCTTTCTTAGATCCTTCTTGTGAGATGGATCCGATGCTCTGTTGTGTTCTGTTGCGGCTGACTCAATCGACTGGTAGATGAGGTCAGCCTCGGCTTCAAACAGCTTCTCCATGTCAATCACATACCGATGCAGGCCAGATACTCGTCACAGCCATCTCACTATGGCCTTGACGCACAAAATCCATCGCGAGACCCTTGACTAGAACACTCATTCCAACCTTGCCTATAGTCCCGTCCAGTCAGCTTTATCATCACAGTCTAATAATTCAAGCCAGCCTTACCCATTGCATACGCCGTCTTCCCCCGAAAGAACCGCGAATAAATCGGCGGCGAGACAACCACAATTCTCCCCTTCCACCCATTCCTCTGAAACTGCGGTAAAGCCGCCTGAATCGTCGCATACAATCCCTCGGGGTTAACTTGTTGCATCAGCTTAAACCGCTTGAGTGGCGTATTCTCTACAGAGGACCACCAGATCGCCCCGGAGTTGTAAACCAGGACATCTAGTTTTCCGAAAGTCCGCACCGTCTCATCGACTGCGTGCTGGATCTGCGCTGCATCGCGCACGTCCACGGCGACGCAGGCGGCGCGTCCGCCGGCTTCGTGGATCTCTCGCGCTACCGTGTTGATGGTTGACTGCGAGGAATTGGGATCCGGTGGGAATGGGTTGGATTTGTATGCATCTGATGTGGTTTTTGCGGCCAGCATTACTGGATGAGACGTTAGGATTGTTGATAGAAAGTGGCTGGCTGCTTCGTACCAGCGTAGCCATTCTTGGCTATATCAATGGCAACTTGGCGACCGATGCCGCGCGATGCGCCGATGATAAGAGCAGTAGGTTGATCGCCCATGCTTGTCGCGAAGATATAGATGTGAACAAGTTATCTGGGGAGTGGTGGATGTATTGGAGGATAAAGGAGAATGACCGGTTCACAGCTTTAATATATGTATCCCGGAATGAGGGACGAATTAGTGATCAATTATTCGGTAGGTCATCAAGATAATAATAATCCGGGGAGAGCGGAAGATTATCAAGTTCGGTAGGTCGTCATTGCATTTCGTGATTATTCACGCTTCCGCCGAGGCATGACATCCCCGCCTCGGCGATGATCTGCTGTTATGACTAAGCCCCATTGAGCGGCTCCAACAAGCTGATTAGTTTGCCTCTAAAACACACCCTCTTTTGAAGCTAAGTATTACTTCATTTAATGATATCTTTATTTCGCCGATATTTCGTAAACCTCTACGGCCAGTCCCGGTGGCGGGCGGTGGAATAGGCGGTGGAATACTGCCCTCAAGGCCATCACTACAGAGGTGCGGCTCGTTGTCTCTTACCAACAACACCACCACTACCTCCCTCTTCCTGGACCTCGACCTCACCAACCTCCCCTCATAGACCGGTCTCTTCCTAGATATCCCACCTAATTGTTTTGCAAATTTCTCGTGTCTCCGGAGCTGGCGGTCGTTTCCGGCGGGTTTTGGCGAGATGGACACAACATTGCCGGACGCCTTTGCTCCCCCGCAATCAAGCTCTTCTGCTGCACAGGGAAATGGGGTCCCCGAAGACGCCGTGAACGTCAATGGAGCTGCTCCCTTCGTCAAAGTCGATGGTGTGTTGATCTTACTCCCCCTGCCAGGCTTTGCCAGAGCTGACAACTTGATCTCGATAGATCCCCCGAAGTTTGATCTGGAGTCATATATCGCAAATTACACCGGTCAGTTGAGACCTTTTCGCTACGTCTCTTCTTCCTAACATATATCCAGGCCGAACCCGATTTGATCGTCTCTATCTCATTGGCACCTGCTCCACGTTGCTATCCACCGACGCGCTCAAAGTCGCGGTTGCCGAAGCTAAATCCGGGAAAGATGTTGCTCGTTACGAAAAAGCAGTCCGAGCCCTGTCGGAGGTGGCTCCGAATGAACCTGATGCCAAGCTGGACTTGGCGTGGGTGAAGGACACTCAGCGACGGGTGAGGGCCGAGGGCGATCGGCTGGAACTCGAGTTGCGAGGGTACAAGAACAACTTGATCAAGGAGAGCATTCGGGTAGGAGGCTCCATCTTTTATACTTTTTGAAATTTTTCTAATGTCATGCAGATGGGCAATGAGGAATTGGGAACTCACTACCACCAGACAGGAGACACCGTCTCAGCGTCGAAAGCGTACTCCCGCATGAGGGACTACTGCACAACACCAAACCATATCGCCTCTATGCTGTTCAAATTGATCAACGTGGCGGTTGAGCGCGGGGAGTGGCTGAGTGTGCAGTCCAATGTGCACCGACTGCGCAACGCTCAGTCCAAGCCGGAAGACCAAGCCAAGAATCAGCCCAAGATTTCTGCCGCTCTTGGTCTGGCACAGATGCACTCCGGATCGTTCCTCGAGGCTGCGAATAGCTTCTTATTGACCGACCCGAGCCTGGGCGACACCTATAACGAAACGATCACCCCGAACGACATCGCTGTCTACGGTGGCTTATGCGCGCTGGCTTCCATGGACCGAGTCGAACTTCAACGTCGCGTGCTGGAAAATAATTCCTTCCGCAACTTCCTTGAATTGGAGCCGCACATTCGTCGTGCGATCACCTTCTTCTGCAATTCTAAATTCCGGCTCTGTCTTGATATCCTGGAGGCCTACCGGGCTGATTACCTTCTCGACCTCCATCTCCAGCGCCATGTCAGCGCTCTGTACTCCCGCATCCGCACCAAGTCTATTGAGCAGTATCTAGTTCCCTTCAGCCGCGTGACTCTCGAGTCTATGGCAACCGTCTTTGCCCCCGAGGTGGTCGGCGGAGAGGCTCGACCAACCAGCGCAAATTCACCTTTCGTGCAGGAACTCATCTGTCTCATCAAGGATGGCGTGCTGGATGCTCGAATTGATTTGGAGAAAGGGGTTCTGGTCTCAAACCAGACTGATCTGCGAACAGAGGTGCAGCGAAACACGCTGGAGAGCCTGCGCAGCTTTAATGAAGAGGCTCACATGCGGATCCTGCGCACCAGTGTTCTTCACGCGGGTCTCGAGGTTCGGTCCCATGACAGAAAGGAAGGTCAATCATTGGCAAAGGGACTGTCAGGGAGACACTCCCGCGGCGCCGGCATCCTTGGTTAGGGGAGTTCGAGAAGAACTCGCGCCTCATGAGCTGTAAATGAGGAAACGAGACGATAATGCCCTGAAAGCTGCAAATGAACATTTGCAGAGATGAATACATGACTCGGTAGAGAAATGCAACTTTATTGCTGGTTCACCAGCTTTTCTCGCTTGATAGCCTATCTCATACTGGAAGAAAATCCACTGCGAAACATATCATCGTTCTGATTCAACTGCTTTGCAAGTTAATAAGCCCTATTCTTACGACATCAAAACAAGATGAGATATCGCACCGATTGCACACCCCCGGCAAATTCTCAATATGACCGCCGACCCAATCCAACCCCCGAGCCTGCTGCTGCACAAAATGCTACACAATCAGCCGGGCTGAGCAGCGATGCCACATTCATGGCTTTGCGTAGTACAAATTCCTCATATTATGTCAATCCTCACACCCTTTGAATGCTGCGCAGGAGCTGGAAATTGTGGAAAAAGAAACGTGTTTGGAAGAACGGGAGGAGAGGCCGTTAGGGTTACGGCAGGGTGGGTTGCCGCATCACCGGTCCACTGGTCTCTAATCTTGTATAGATATGAAAGAAAAGTACTTACCTGTCAGATACTTTGAAAGAGTTCCTAGAAGTGTACTGCCCACACTCAACTTTGCCTACTCCTTTTTAGTGATTTCCGTGCCCTGCATGATGACTGAACCCAAACCAACCCTACCCTACCTACCCTTTCTCTCCCCAGTCTAATAATGACCGCGTGGGTAATTTAATTTAAATTCATTTTACTCGCCAGCTCTGCCGGTCATGTTCGGCATTCGCTTGTTGCTGCTACTATTGTTGAACAAACCAATCCTAACGGCCACCCTGTGAGACGCGCATGCGATAAATTAACTTCGTCCCCCATGAACCACCGCGGAACGTTTTTTGTCTCTCAATCAGCTGCCTCTATTAACTTTTCGTCTCTATTTGGCATCCTCTCTTTTGCGACCCTGCACGAGCCTCGAACAAAATGGGCTCCTCGCATTCTTCGCCTTCGGGCTCTACTCCCGAGAAAAATGGATGTGCGAGCAACAAGGTTACGGAGTCAGAGCCACTTTTGCAGTCGCGAGATATTTCGGCCTCGACTTCACCGTCCAAATCTTTTTTTCGTGTTGAAGATGTTCCGCCAGATCCAATGGACTTGCAACCCTCGCCGCTCCAGTTGCACTCTCCACTCGAGGTTTCGCCGCCAGGGTCAACTTTGGTGCTGGACGATACTCCAGAAATTACGAATTACTCGCCATCTCCTGCTGTTATTGCGGATCAGGCAAGTGACAATGGTTATGTGAAGCCGGAAAATTTGGAATTGCCGCCATCGCCTTTGATAGAGCCAGAATCAGACACCATTCTCGATGGGCAGGTGAATTCCGAAGTCAATATATCAATACCGCCGCCGGAAGATGCATTATTGGAGGAAATGTTAGAAGAGAATTATTCTGAGAGAAAGGACCCGGAAATCCCATCACCGCCATCAGATTCGATGCCAGACGCGAGAATCGCAGGGCAACATGTCCCGCAACAAGCTCCTGCTCTCGAACGCTTACCACCCATTCCAACGCCAATGTCGACCTTACCACCTGAATATTCTACGCAAGAAGACGCAACAGCACCGTCCGATGCACAGCCAGCAGTTGTAGAGCAGCCAGTCGTAGAAGACGTCGGAGATGGCTCCTCCACCATATCTACAAATAACGAACACGAAGACAGAGAGCCTATCTTTGATGAGGACTACCACTCTGACACCTCCAACTATACCGCATCCTTACTGTCGGATGTGAAGAACTACACCTATGAGAATGGACGGCGCTACCATTCATATCGAGAAGGCCACTACGTCCTCCCCAACGACGACCAAGAGCAAGACCGGCAGGACCTGCTCCATCACGTCCGCAACCTAGTCCTAAATGGCGCACTCTTCCGCGCACCACTCGGCGAGCACGTCCAACGAGTGCTAGACATTGGCACCGGCACAGGAATCTGGGCGATTGACTTTGCAGACAGCTTCCCCAGCGCCGAGGTAATCGGGACCGATCTGAGTCCCATCCAGCCGTCGTGGATACCACCCAATCTCCGATTCCTGGTGGATGATGCCGAATCACAGTGGCTATTCAGCGCAACCCGGCCCTTTGATTTCATCCATGCTCGCGATCTGGGCGGCGCTATCGCCGACTGGCCGCGGCTGCTGCGGCAAGCCCGCGAACACCTGCGGCCTGGGGGCTGGGTGGAATTGCAGGAGTTTGAGGTGACGCTTAAATGCGACGACGAATCGATGCGTCTCGCGCCGACGTTGTGCGAGTTCCTTGGCAGGCTGCATCAGGCCAGCGAGGCGTTCCACCGGCCTATGAATATCGCCGAGGGACACCGGCAGCGGCTGATCGAGGCTGGTTTTGAAGAGGTCAGAGACGAGATATACAAGGTGCGACCTGCCGAGATTGGTATCATATTGCCTCCTGCGCTGACAGATAGTTCCCCAGGTCCCTAGTAGTGGTTGGTCGAGCGACCCTGTGCAGAAGCAGATTGGTCGGTACAACCTGTGTTCACTGCTGATGGCTGTGGAGAGCTATTCTCTGGCGCTGTTTACGCGGGTGCTAGGCTGGTCGAATATCGAGACGCAGGTGTTCCTGGCGGGTGTGCGTAGAGACCTGAAGAACCCGGCCGTGCACACGTACTGCATCTTGCATGTTGTATACGGTCGAAGACCATTGGGGGACGAACTGGCTGGGTGAAACCAACTGTTGTAGGTATGTGTAAATAAAAGACATTTCCATTTCGGCCAGAAGCTCATTTGTGCCACCGCATGTACCCGCGCTCTTTCCTTTTCCTCATTTTTGCCGGTGCAACTTCGGCTCTGTCTTAGCTCGGCGCTCAATCAATCCAGTTCACCGGCCCTTGAGCGATACAGGGGACAACGTAGTCAAGAAAGAGCAGACAAAGGGTCTGGATGGGCCCCAAAGCAGTAAATATTATGGACAGAGACAATAGCGCTCTCGGGTCCATTCCCCTTTCCTTTAACGTCACGATGCTTCTCTTGTCTTGGGCAACCTCGAGCAGCCTGTTCTGGTGTGTGTCTGCAGGAGTCCTGGTAAGTCGCATCCGTACGCCCTCGTTTGTAGCAACTGCAGGACCCTACATGTACTTCCTACCACTCAGCGTCTAGAACTGCCCTAACCGAAGCTCCCAGGTACTGTTCGGGGTGTATAGCATCACCTACCAGCTCTGTTGGTCTCCCCTGAGGCGGTTTCCCGGCCCAAAGGTGTGGGCCATTTCGCGCATTCCTTCGCAGCTCTCGGTCCTGCGCGGTCATACTCACCTGGACATTACCGCCCTCCATCACCGGTACGGCCCCGTCGTACGCATCAGCCCTAATGAACTTGCCTTCAACACCACGCAGGCATTCCGCGATATCTACGGTGCTCGTCCTGGCGGTTGCTTCGCCAAGGACCGCAGCCACTACTTGCCTCCCGCGAATGGAGTCGACCATCTCGTCTGTGCGGTCGACAATGCCGTACATGCTCGCCAGCGGCGATTGCTGGCACACGCCTTCTCGGAAAGGGCCTTGAGAGATCAAGAGAGTCTGGTGGTAGGATATGTCGACACGCTGATCAACAAGCTGCGAAATGAGATCACCAAGCAAGACTCTCCCCACCTTGATATCAAGAACTGGATGAACTACACCACGTTCGACATCACGGGCGACTTGATGTTTGGGGAGTCCTTTGACTGCCTGAAGGACAGCCAGCTGCACCCGTGGATCAAACTGATCTTCAGTTCCATCAAGGCCCTCTCCATCAATGGAGTTGTGCATCAGTTCCCCTGCCTCAGTTCTCTGCTCGACGCCCTCGTCCCGCACGAGGTCAAGCGCAAGGCCCAGGAACACTTCAACCTCGCTGCCCAAAAGGTTGACCGGCGCTTGGAAACAAACATGTCTCGCGCAGATTTCATGTCTGCAATTCTGCAAAATGGATTGAGTGAGACCAAGGGCCAGTATCGCGAGGGCGAACGGATTATGAGCAGGGCCGAGATCCATTCCAACGCTTTTATGTTCGTCCCCTCCCTTTCTTTCCCTTTGCGCTTCTTCAGAATGCTGACCCTGTTTCACTTCCGTTAGTCTCATCGTGGCCGGCAGCGAAACAGCCGCAACCCTCCTAACAGGCTGCATCTACTACCTCTCTACGAACCCAGCTGTCATGAACCGACTCGTCACTGAGATCCGCTCCGCCTTCGCCAAGGACTCCGATATCTCCTTCCGCACCATCACAAGTCTACCCTATCTAACAGCCGTCATCGAGGAGTCGCTGCGATTGTACCCACCGTTCGTGACGAGCCTGGCACGTATTGTGCCTGCAGGAGGAGCAATGATAGATGAACACTTCGTGCCAGAGGGTGTAAGCACAGCTCAAGTCCTATATAAATACCAAATTTTTTCGTTTTTCTGACTCGAAATTCTAGACCATTGTCGCCTGCCACCATTACGCCTCATACCACTCCTCGTCCAACTTCACCTTCCCTAACGACTTTATCCCCGAGCGATGGCTGGGCATCGACGCACGATTCAACAAGGACAAGAAGGACGTCCTACAACCTTTCAGCTTGGGACCCAGAAACTGCCTAGGGAAAAAGTAAGTTGTTCCTGCTTGGCACCATTTTTTTAAAAAAAAAAATTTATCTTTCTGCAACTATGGTTACTGATTCGTTACTTACGCGCTGACTATCTGTGTAGCCTTGCATACTGCGAAATCCGCCTGATCCTCTGCAAACTGCTGTACCACTTCAACCTGGCCCTGTGTCCGGAAAGCGCCAATTGGACAGATCAGAAAGTGTATTTCCTTTGGGACAAGCCCGCTCTCCTCGTGACACTCACAGACCGTCTTGCCGGGCAGGAAATGCATAAGTCGAATGCCGAGTAGTAGCTGGTCTTTCTAAAGGGAGAGAGGTGGTTTAGTTACTCGCGTGGTACAATGGGCTTGTTTTGTTCCCTTCCTAGGAGAACAAGCCAACGAAAACGATGTTTATTCCTACTTATTGAAGGGTCATGACTGTCTGTTGGCTGGGCAGTTCGAAAGCTTCTTGTATACGGAGTTGTGGGTTACCGGGAGGGCTTTTCTATTTGGTATAAGTGCTGAGGTTGCAAGGTATCAGAAATAGAGTTTTCGGTTCAGTTATGGTGCCCACCCAAGCCAGACCATTGTTGTAGAAATAGGAACATTCATGGCCCCAGTAGTCTGCTATGAGGCAAGCCCGATAGGCATTGTTCGTGAATACGCCATGATTCGGCAAGAGAAGTCAATCGTACAATCTTGGATCGAATTAAACTAAACAACCTCGCTCTCGTGACAGTAATTCGTACAGGAAGCAAAGGTATCATAGAGAGAAACAAAAATGGCAAATACGGATGGAAATGGTCTGAGATAAGGCCCAGCGCGGGGGGTGGAGAGACATAAGAGAAAATATGGGAAGAAGGGCAATCAATGGAGGCATTGGAACTCATTCATACAAGCAGAGATGTAGATAAACGCAATAAACCGCTGCCCTTTTTTTTGGCTTTTTGGTTTCTTTTAAATTCATCGGGTATCGATACACATTGCTTTGCTCGTGGTCGGTCGAATCGGCCGTGCATTGTCGTACAGTAGAAGGAAGTAATAACATAAAGAGATGGTGGATATCATGGAGCAGTTTACTCGCCGTTCATCGACCAGCTAGGCTGGTTATGGTTGTTGCGCTTGTCGTGATTGTTGCGCGAGTAAGCAGGCTTGCTGGGCTCGGGCGACACATCATACGATTCCCAGTTCGCCTCCATCATCTTGACGGCCTTCTTGCGGTCCTCGGGGACAGGGTAGTTCTCCGAATCGCCGGTCGTGCTCGGGGGCGGCGAGTCATCGGTCATCGCGTACTGCGAGCCAAAGTCCTTCTGGCGGCTCTGGGTGTTGGCCACGTTGGACAGGGGCTGCTGGCGCGTGATCTCCTTCTCGGTGGGCACGGCCTCACCATTTTCATCCCACAGGCGGTTCTCGTACAGCTTCTGGCCGCGGTTCTGATAGGCGGTGATGATACGGCCCGAGTCATCTCCCGCGTTGTCGTCGGTCATTTCGAAGTGAATATCAGCGTCACGGCGGGGCTGAGGGACGGCGGGCTTGCGTGGCGGGGCCTCGGTGCCCTCGTCCTCATCACTCCAGCCGAAATGGCGTACTTCCTGGGAGTGTGGAGCGCGCGTTGCGGTCTTCTCGGGGGTCGTGAAGTCACTGAAATCCCACTGCGACTGGTGACGCGACTTGCTGGATCGGGAGGTTGCTTTGGCTGGGTTCTCAACGGCTTCGCCGCCAATATCGAAGTGGCTGTACTTGCGGGGGTCGCTCTTGTACATCGAACGTTTCTCGCCCGGGTTGCGCTCGTCAGGTGTCACGTCCTCATCGCCCCAGATCCGGTTGGGGTTAGATCGGCCCGCACCGGCCTTGGGAGCAGCCGACCTGGTTGGCGAGTCGGGGACAACAGGCTCGTCATCACCGACGAACAGCTCGCCGTATTCACGCGCAGCAGGCCGCGCGGTCGAAGGAGCGTAGGGGCGCATCGGCTCACGGGACTCGGCCTCCTTGTTCGGCGACAGCATGTCAAACAGGGACTCTTGAGCGTATGGATCTCGGGTAATCCGCTTGTTGGAGGAGGATGGTCTGGCAGCCTCCGGAGCATCCCTCTGGGCAGGAGCGGGTTGCGAGGCAGGGGCAGGAGCAGACGCATTCTGTTGCTCACGTGCCGCATCCGCCTTGCTGGGGGACAAGAGATCGAACAGAGAATCTGCCGCATATGGATCCTTGATGTGTCTCTTCTGTGGGGAGGCCGGTCGACGCGGCAGGTCGCTCGTCTCGCCACCCTGCGATGGCGGCGCAGCCGACTTGGCAGTATCAGCAGCCTTGATGTAACGGATCTGGTCCTTCGCATCACGAATGGGCCAGGTGCGACCCCGCGCCCCGATCACCTCAACCTGTTTGAGCAGGGAGCCCTGGTCCCAGTAAATGCGGACCTGCTGAATCTCATTCTCGGAATTGAAGTTGACAATGTGGACCTGCAGGCAGATATTAGTGCTGCGCGTCGGAAATTATATCTTCCATTTGTTTAGTTACCGTGGGGAAAGTGGCGATGCGATCGACGATGAAGTTATCATCGATCGAGGGGAGCCAGGCCCCGCCGCCCTCTAGGAATTGGACCGTGGTTTCGATATCCAGGCACAAGGAGCGGGTGCCCTCAACGACACTGAGGACGTTCTCGGACTTCTTCTTGACAATGCTGGCTTGTCGCGACAGGTGACTGATGACGGCGTCTGGCTGGTCGAACTGGGTGGTGGAGGTAACGTAGATGAGCGAGATGTCCGCCGCCAGCGGGGCCGACCGAGGGCTGGCCAGGAACCGCTGGTAAACGTCCTGAAGGTAGGTCATGGTGCTGACCGGGGGGGAAGGAGATGAAACAGGGGAAAGTAAGTCGTGGTTGTAGACACGAGGAAAGGGAGGGAAGAATAATGTGGAGGGGGGGTGTTGTTGTTTACAATCAGGGGCAGAAACGCGGGAGTTAGCGTGGAGGGGAATGACGAACTGCAGAACTGCCTACCAACACAACCGTTCAAAAAAATACGCCAGTGTTTCACCCGTGCCCGGCAAGACCGTTTTAAGGTCGCACGGGTCTCTACGGCAACCCCCGTCTATTAATGGCCTCGGTAGACACTACACTTGCCATGCTTTCTACCATCAGACGAGAATCTAGGATCGTGCCGAAAAAAAGTTTCAGTAGATAGTATTGTACATTATTCAGGCCGTGGACTGTACAAAACAGAGAAGTGGTCGCACAGGTCCTATTGCCCCACGGCTGATCAACAGGGCCCCGTCCAGCGACCTGCTCAACAGAGGTCGGCTATATCCGCACGCGCAGACAGAAATCAGGACCGCAAAAATGAGCCAGAGCCAGCAGTGTACCTCTTTGCGACGCCCCGAGACCGGCCAGTCACTGTGAGCACTTACTCGCTCGTCCGAGATATATGTCTTTTTGCGTGTCATTGTCCGGCCCTTTTCCTTTTCCTTTCCGCCGCGTCCTTGAGTGTCAAGCGGGACTGCATCGTACATGATCGTAATGAGGAATGTGGCTCGTCGTTGTTCATTAAAGGGGACTATTCGTAGCCAAGGCGTCAGTATCAGGTCGTAAAAATGATCCCGGTCCACTTACCCAAGATAATCCTCCTTGATGGTGCCAATAGCATTGATGGCTGCCACGTCGGGTTTCACACCAAGAATCTTCAAACGCAAACTGGTTCCTTTCTCGATCACTTGGTCTGCGTGGTCGGTATACTGCGGAGGCACGGTGTTGGGCTCCCACTTGATGTCGGAGGGAATATTCTGGTGGGAAAAAAAAGTCAGTGCGGTCTTCCCGCGCAAGAAACGCAATCCCATACTTTTCGCGCAATGAAAACGGACAGCGGTCCGGCCAGAGTGAAGATGCCCGTCGGCTTGACAGAGGTGACAATGGCATCGACCTGCAATGACTGGTCAGTCTTTTGCGACCCAAAAGCTCGGGTCTCAGTGCTTACCGTCTCGCCGCGGAAGGGTTTCCAGATGATCGCACGGTACTTGATGGTATATTCAGCGTGTCCGCTCGAGGGCATCACGCGCCCCTCGCCAATATCCACCATGTCCATCACACAGATCACGAAGTGGTCACCGGTACACCGTCCTTCCTCCTCCTCATTCAGCCGGGTGATGAGGTATTCTCGCACATTGGGTCCAAAGTAAGATGGGTGCAGGGAAATAACCTTGGTCTCTTCCTTGAGGAAGAACATGTTTGCCGCAGGAGAAGAACGTCGGGTCAGCAGCTGAGCGGTGACTGCGCCTTGATCGTGCAGGAAGAGGTCACGAATCCAGTATCCCGCTGCTCTGTTTCATCCAGTATGTGCTGGCAGGGGTTCAAGAATCGCAATTGCTGCCCGTCAACGGGGATGCGGTGCGGTCAATGGAGGACAAGCGACGGTCTTCCACCGCAAGCTCATGACCCGGTGTGGATGGAGCAAGACGGGGAAAAATAGGACCAGGCAGCAGACAAACGAGTGGCGATGGCAAAGATGGCTGCCTTTTGCGCGGGGAGGCAGATACAGTGCTGCAGATGCTGGCTCGGCAGGTCGAGACAGGTCGAGCTCGCGCTTGGGAGGTTTGGCGGTGGGTATCACGTGATCTGGCCAGGTATAGATGGGACCCAACCCGATTGTTTGTTTGTGTGTGAAGCATAATGCCTGGTGAATGGTGTCGATTTGAGATGAATGAATCCCTTCTATGGTTTGTGTGAATGTTTCTTGATCTGACATCTATTTTTCTTCGGATATGAGTGATGATATATATCTCTGCGACTCCGGTGTGCGGTGGATTGGCACACAGGTTCTCTTTTGAAACAGTTGACTGACAGGACCAAGAAGCTACCTAATCTTTCCAATCTATTTCACTTCACTCTCAGCCATGCTTTGCCTTTTCCTTTTCGCATAGTTCAATGCCAGACCGAGATGACCATACTGTACGCCATTACCACCGCCATGATCCGCATAACCATCCACAAATACGGTATCAAAACACGAATACCGTACATATCCTCGGTACAGCACATGACGAAAGTCGCGCAGGATAGACAACCATAATCATTGTTCCCCCACCTTCACCTCTTCCTCTCTTGCGTCCATCACACTCAGCCAGCATGGCCCTCAACCTAGAAAAACAGTTGCTCTTTGTGAGTCTTCTTCCCAGTGGTTCCCTGGCAAGACGAGAGATCACCACTGACCCCTAACAGTATGGAGCCTACCACAATAACCCAGTATGCATTCTGGCCCACCAATCGCCAACCCTTTCTTGCCCTAACAGTCCCAGGTTAATGTCGCCATCCACATCACTTGCGTCCCGATCCTGCTGTTCACTGGCATCATCCTCGTACGTGCTCTCCTCCCAGCGAACCCACTTGGCATCCTATTGACACTCCCCAGGCCTGCAACTGCCCAACCCTCTTCACCCTCCCCGAAGCCCTCCAATACGAATACCTTCCCGCAAATGCAGGCACAATTGGCGCCCTCATCTACGCCACGTTCTACATCCTCCTCGAACCCGTCGCGGGCGGCCTGATCGCGCCGTTAGTGGTCGGCTCTGCGGCCTATGGCAACTATCTCCTGGGCACCTATGGGAGTGTCGTGAACTACTACGCCGGCGGCATTCACGTCGTGTCGTGGCTGGCCCAGTTTGTTGGGCATGGCGTGTACGAAGGTCGCGCGCCCGCACTGCTGGATAACCTCGTGCAAGCGCTCCTGCTGGCGCCGCTCTTCGTCTGGATGGAGATCCTGTTCTTCTTCGGGTATCGGCCGGCACTGAAGAAGCGCTTCGATGAAAGTGTCGAGGTGGAGATTGAGAAGTTTCGCCAGCAGAAGAAGCAGCAGGGGAAGGCGGGTAAATAGTCCGCCAGGGCTGTAGTGACATATTGGGGCGCAACAATTCCACCACGCGACCATGTTGTCTATAAGTCGAGTTGTTTCTCGGCAGAGACTATAGTCCACTCTGCAATGACTCGACATGGCTTGACCCAACATGGCTTTGAATCTTCAAATCAACGAGGTCGGAATTGCCAGGCAAAGTTCTCCACTGTGCATTATGTGAGGGACCTCCCTGAGCGGTTTTCTAGGGCATTGCGTGGTGTGTAATTTCCGAGGTGGAGTTTATTGTGATAGCTTGAATTTCATTCCATTGCTTCAATCTGAAGTATGTTATATCCAAACCATCTGGCATCATACACTCCGGATGATGGTTACTAAGCAGCGGAAGAAAACGGGTAGCTGGTGCGCAGATTTGTGCGTCGACACACCGTCGAGGGCTAACAGAAGCTGCCACGTCCTGACAGCATGGAATTCATAGTCAAACGGACTGTCATGGTCAAGATAATTTTTGAATGTAGTCATTGTACCTAGACGAGAAGAAGAACAGTGCTGCCCTGCCGGACCGGGGCACCCAACCCGTCCGTCCAAACAGGCTTAGCGCGGTGCTAAGAATCCAACCCCCCCCGAACAAAGCTCTCCTTCCCGTCCACAACCTCTCCTCTTCTCTCCCGTCTTTTCTCTCCCCTCCCCCCAATTCCATCTCTTCCCCAGAGAATTTATCCTCCAATCCTCTGAACCCCCGAATCACAATGTTCAGAAACGCTCTGCGGCAGTCCAGCCGCTCTGTCGCGGCCGTCTCGGCCACTGGCCGTATCGCCTCGGTGAGTCCAGTCCCAATGGCCATCCTCGTCCATCGCCAGTCCGACCCATTCCATCTCGCCCTCGAGCTCGATCGATGCAGAGGACATGCGCCGACCCTGTGACATTGGATTGAATGCCTTTTTACCTGCTGGTTCGGTCATTGACAAGTTTTTCTCCGCTACCTGGCAGGCTCGCGCGGCTGTTCCCGGCCCCCTCTCCGGTGCCTCGAAGCAGGTTCGCTCCTATGCCGCCGAGGCCAAGGCTGCCCCTACCGAGGTCTCGTCCATCCTCGAGCAGCGTATCCGTGGTGTTCAGGAGGAGGCTGGTCTCGCTGAGACTGGTCGTGTTCTGTCGGTCGGGTATGGTTGACCCCCTCAAGAAAAATTCGTCCCTCGGCGCCAATCCCTTCGAATCCGACCGTGATGAACGCCATTCGACATGGAACACGAAACTAATAGAACCTCGCATAGTGATGGTATCGCCCGTGTCCACGGCATGACCAACGTCCAGGCTGAGGAGCTGGTCGAGTATGTTTCAGCCCCCGAAAAAGTCTTGGCATTGCTAACCACTACCCCTACAGGTTCGCCTCTGGTGTCAAGGGTATGTGCATGAACCTCGAGGCCGGCCAGGTCGGTGTCGTGCTGTTCGGTTCCGACCGTCTCGTCAAGGAGGGTGAGACTGTCAAGCGTACCGGCGAGATTGTGAGTTATGCTATTGACCACGTATGACGAATTTTTTTACTCATGATGGATTAGGTTGATGTCCCCGTCGGCCCTGAGATGCTTGGCCGTGTTGTCGACGCTCTGGGTAACCCCATTGACGGCAAGGGCCCCATCGCGACCAAGGAGAAGCGCCGTGCCCAGCTCAAGGCCCCTGGTATCCTGCCCCGCCAGTCCGTCAACCAGCCCGTCCAGACCGGCATGAAGTGTGTCGACTCCATGGTGCCCATCGGCCGTGGCCAGCGTGAGTTGATCATTGGTGACCGTCAGACCGGTAAGACTGCCGTCGCCGTCGACACCATGCTCAACCAGAAGCGCTGGAACAACGGCAACGACGAGGCCCAGAAGCTGTACTGCATCTACGTCGCCGTCGGCCAGAAGCGCTCGACCGTTGCCCAGCTGGTCAAGACCCTGGAGGAGAACGATGCCATGAAGTACTCGATCATCGTCGCTGCCACCGCCTCGGAGGCCGCCCCCTGCAGTACATTGCTCCCTTCACCGGTTGCGCCATGGGTGAGTGGTTCCGTGACAACGGCCGCCACGCCGTCATCATCTACGATGACCTGTCCAAGCAGGCCGTTGCCTACCGTCAGATGTCCCTGCTGCTGCGTCGTCCCCCCGGTCGTGAGGCCTACCCCGGTGACGTTTTCTACCTCCACTCCCGTCTGCTGGAGCGTGCCGCCAAGATGAACAAGACCCACGGTGCTGGTTCCCTGACTGCTCTGCCCATCATCGAGACCCAGGGTGGTGACGTGTCGGCCTACATTCCCACCAACGTCATTTCCATCACTGACGGCCAGATCTTCCTGGAGTCCGAGCTGTTCTACAAGGGTATCCGTCCCGCCATCAACGTCGGTCTGTCCGTGTCCCGTGTCGGTTCCGCCGCCCAGGTCAAGGCCATGAAGCAGGTCGCCGGTTCCCTGAAGCTGTTCTTGGCTCAGTACCGTGAGGTCGCTGCCTTTGCCCAGTTCGGTTCCGATCTGGATGCTTCCACCAAGCAGACTCTGAACCGTGGTGAGCGTCTGACCGAGCTGCTCAAGCAGAAGCAGTACAGCCCCATGGCCGTCTCCGACATGGTGCCCCTGATCTTCGCCGGTGTCAACGGTCTCCTCGACAACATCCCGGTCGCCAAGATCCTCACCTGGGAGTCTGACTTCCTCGCCCACCTCAAGAGCTCCCACCCCGAGATCCAGCAGACCGTCGAGAAGGAGGGCCAGGTCAGCAAGGAACTTGAGGGTCAGCTCAAGGAGGTCATCGGCGCCTTCAACAAGTCCTTCAGCGCATAGATGCGAGAATTTGAGGTGTGAGGCTCGGAAAATGGGGTCGTACTTGTTTTCCTGATCATCTCCTTTTTCTTCTCTTCTATTGCTTGCATAGACTTGGGTGAAGATAGCCTGTACAATTTTGAAGCCATTTGTTCTTTTTCGTCGTCGTCCTCTGGTGCGGGTGCCCATTAATCGTGTAGCGCCTCTCCGGAGCTGAACGAAAGCTGAAAGGAGCAGGGCTGCCAAAATGTGATTATTACCCTGTACGTTTAGATCGTCTCGCGCTGAGGTGGCCGCGCAGGATCTCTATCGGTTCTGTGTCTGGTCGCCTCGCGTCCGCATGTTGGTACCGCAATCGATTTCTTTTGTTCTTGAATTAAACGTGCTGGAGCTGTAGATCCCCTTCCATAAAAAGAAGACTTTGTTGTCAACAGTAGGTAGATATTGTTTGCTATTGCAATCAATGCCTGTCTTCCTTTGGTGACAGCCTGTCTGACAAAGGTATAAAACCGCCCTTCTCCACCAAACCTCTTCTTCCTTCCTCTTATTATACTTCTTCTGCTATATACATATACAACCATCAACAATACCATTTAATGGGGTCAACCACACTGGCCAGGTCCATCATCAAAGCTCTCGAAACAAGGATTAAACGCCACACTGGAGGTATGTTTTGTTTTGCCTCTTTTCCCTTCTCCATGGAACCATCTCTCATCTTTAATTACTCGACAGAAATGGAAGCGACTGGTGCTTTGGCCCACCGTACGAGCTGCTGGAACCCAAACAGTGGGTGAAGTTGGCCACTGGAGGCTATCTCAGCGCCACGGTCAGCCTAAAGGCGTTGTCTGTCACCTTACGCCTGGTGCTTCTACCACGGAATATGGGCGATGCAATCGATGCAGGCGATGGGCGTACGGTGCATGTCGGAGGACGATACGAGCTTGCACGGAGGCATTCTAGGAGATGGATGCGGCCTCGGGAAGACCCTGACTGCGCTTGCGGGGATCTGGTTCGCCGCTGCGAAGCAGGAGGCCCGCGGCGACACCGAGTTTCGCTCAACCTTGGTTGTATGCCGTGCGCCGCTCGTCGATACCTGGATCGACCAAGTCGTGTCATACTTCGGTGATGCCCTCACGCTGAGACTGTACCACGGGAACGTGACGACAGTCCGGGATGCGGACCCCCGAAAGGAGCGTATCATCGATAACCTTGGTGATTGGATGGATTCTCTCGACATTGCCAATCCGCAAACCGCGCGTACGTTGATCCTCACGTCCTACCAGACGTGTCGGGACAGATATCTCTCCGGTCAGACTGATGACGACCGAGCTTCGGCCTACACCCGCAGACCAGGCGGCCCCTTGCACTCATCCTTTCCGAAGTTCCCTGCACCTCTGAAATGTGGGAAGAATTCGCCAGCTAGATCGATGATTCGTATCAACTTTTGATCCAGCGGGTTCAAAACATGGCATCCGGGTCGGACATTCTCAAAGCCCAATTTGTCACGTTTCGAGCCCTTTGGCCGACCCGTGCGATTTTCTTCTAAGAGAAAAAAGGACCAGAAGACATCGGCTGTACAGAGTACCGACCAACAAGCCCTCCAGAGTTTGAAAAACTAGAGCGCCGTGGCCCTTCGAAATATCCACCAATCCCTATCGAAGGCCAAGACGATACGAAAACCCGCGCAACGTACGCCTGTGCGGCAACTGGACTGAACCTACATGCTCACTACGCCCATGTGCTACTCTTCGAGTCTACCATAAACCTGAACGGCGCATTTCAGGCGGTTGACCGCATGCGCCGCCTCGGCCAGCGGGACCTGCAGAGGGCTTATCTCCCGGTCATGGACCATACCTGTCAGTGGATGCAGAAATACAACAACATGATGAAGCATCTGCCTGGCTACGTAGCCCTGCATAAGGACACCATCGAGGCCGCCTTGGCAGTTGTAGAGCGGAGACGTGAGAAAGATGCCGCCGCATCCACGCTGCCTATCCTAAAGGCTATGAGAAACAGATGCTCCGCCTTACACATACCCTCCCCCGGCTTCTGGAAACCGGCGAATCTCGGCGAACAGATCTCAGCACCGAGACGACCACCACCACCGGAGAGACTGAAAGGCACGGCCGAGACCTACGAGGGCATCGAAGATTGACGTTTACCGATTCTGATTCTACCTGGTACTACCACGGCGCTTACACTGGCATCTTGCTTTGCGTTTTGGACGCTGTTACCCGGACGCTTGCTGAGGGTGTCATTCGTCGATCTTCACTTGCACATGGTTAAATCATAGGGAATTGAACCATCTTCACACTCTCCCAGGCTTCTTACACTAATCTATGATACTCATGGTACTCTTGCCGTAGGATGTGGAAGTTGCACGTTAGGAGGGCGCGACTTGGGTTGGTCGCTGTCAATACCCTTCCATCGGCAGACTACTTTTTATGATCTTAACGGTCATTTCTTACAAGGTCTCGCCGGCCCTCTGTATGGTCAGCATCTGCAATCGTCCGTGCAATTTTCTTTCGTCCCTATGCAAATGTCCCCATGGATAAGATACAGACAGCACGCTCGCGGGATGATTTCTATCGAGAAGTGGAACCTTCAGCCTACCTCTACCGGAAACGGTACAGCTTCTTGTCCTACACAGAAGATCGAGATTGACCGAAATACTGCACCGGATTGTCCTAGACAGGGGCACGACTGGGCTTATCAAAGTGAGACCGTCTGGCAGACACGTCGCCCCCACCGATCAAATAACCGAATTATCGACATGCACTGTATCACAATGGGGATAATAAAACCGGCGGACAGACTGTGGGTTGCGATTGTCACGTATAAGCCCACCCATACACAAGGAAGGCACGGGGACCAATGCTTTGTCTCGTCATCTCGAGGCATTTCCGCCATGCGGCCCCGGGCTGCCCCCACCTTGGTGATCGAGACAGGTGCGTCAGAGTCACTTCCTCGTCTACGCGAAGACGTGAATTGGTGACTCGCTGCTTCTTCCGGGGATGTCAGAATTGTCTTGGTTGTCAGCATCAAGAAGGCCATGTTTTGGGTACAGGCGGTTTCCCGTGTGGGCCCCGGCATCAGCCTTGCTGTTTATGAAACCCAAGCAGATCGAAACTGGCTCATACGAGTCGACGTGCCAACAATCATCCTTTGGGGTCTTGCGCCGGACGTGGTTCCAGACGAACCCACTTCATACTTCATGGAGAAGATAAAGGAGACATACTTTGCGAGAGTAGTCATATCGGCAGGATATTTCAGTCCAGACACTCCATGAGAACCAGAAACTGCCAAAAACTGGATGGTCAAGCGACACGTCAAAAAAGTCAAGCATGGATACAGACAGCATGCTCGTGGAGGGTGTCCATCGAGAAGTGGGACCTTCAGCCTACTGCTGCCGCGCAACTTATGTCGGATCAGGATGCGGTCGCTCAGTCGACCCCCGAAAGGTCTTGGCTGATGTGGGCGCGGTGATCGCGGCGTCGCCCAGAGCGCATGGCTGGGCTTATCAAAGTGATTAGGCAATATTTTAAGTGGTAGATGTATTGGCCTCAAGCTTTGGCTGAGCAATAGCCAAGTGGTCACTACCTGACACATAGGTTTCTAACCCATAGATCGTCAAATAGAATCACCTGGAGATTCCTCGAGTTCTATGCGAGAGGCAAGAAAGCCATCGAAACCTTCCGCCGCTGACCCGAGCCGTCCAAAGCAGTTGGTGCTCCCCCGATAATGGAAACTCTCTGATCCGAAAAGAAGTTTGGCTCTGTTCTCCCCTTCACGTACTCAGCCGATGCCAACGACTCCCACTGGAGGGAAGGGGACAGTGACACCCAGCAGGCCATGTTTTGGTAGGAGCTGTCTGTGAATGGCAGAATGACTACGATGAGTCGGAGACGGTTATTCCTCATACCCTACTTGACTTGTACATACCGAGCGCACGCTCGATGGAGTCCCGTGGCCACATCACGGGGATCGGGAAACCCTAACAAATGCCGCACGAACAGGCACACCAACTTATGGTCACTCCAGAGTTCATGTATGCAACAACGGTATCATATTTAATATTAAACAGAGAATATTAATCACCCGAAGTAATTACTCCGTCACCATAGAAATTATAAAAATCCTCTTACATCGAACCCAGCAGCTTCATGAGAGTCGGCAGCAACTGTACAGCATAGTCAGCAAAACTTGTATCAAACTAATTCATAGAGAAGGAGATAACGTACGTCGGAAACGTCCTCAATGAGAGTGGACGTCTCGTGGACAAACTTGCCGGTCAACAGGTCGTTGGCGTTGCCCAGCAAGGCACCCAGCTCCGAGAAAGTCGCGGGCTTCAGGAAGGACTTGAGCTCGGGCATGATCGGAGTCAAGGCTCCCAGCAGCGACTTCAAGTCACCGACGACATCAGGGGTCAGCAGGCTGTTCGCGTTGGCCAAGAGACCGCTAATTTGCTTAACGGACGCAGGAGTCAACAGAGCATTGGCGTTAGAGAGCAGACCAGACAGCTCCTTGAAAGTCCCCGGCTGGAGGAAGCTCTTGAGCTCGGGCATGATAGGGCCCAGGCTCTGGAGCAGGGACTTCAGATTACCGACAACGGCGGGAGTGAGCAACTCGCTGGCTCCAGAGAGAAGTCCGTTGATTTCCTTGACCGAAGAAGGAGTCAACAGGTTGTTGGCGTTGATCAGGAGAGAGTTGATCTCCTTGATGGTCGCCGGGGTCAAGAGAGACTTCAATTCCGACACAACCTCAGGGGTCAACAAGGTGGTGGCGCTCTTGAGGAGGCCGTTGATCTCCTTGACGGATTCGGGGGTGAGGAGGTTGCTGGCGTTGGTCAAAAGGTTGGAAAGCTCCTTGATTGTCTCCGGGGTGAGGAGTTCCTTGAGTTGGTCGACGAGAGCAGGCGTGAGGAGATCGAGCAGCGAGTTCAGCTGGGTAACCCTCTTCGGGGTCAGGAGTTCAGAGGCGGCGCTGATCAGAGACTTGGTCTGGTCCGTGCCCTTGTCATCCAAAAGGTAGGCAACGTGGTGGAAGAAGGACTCGATATCCTCCAGAAGAGTGGGCGAGAGCAGGCCCTTGAGACCATTAAGCTCATTGGTGAGGCCACCGAGCCCATCCAGGAGCGTTCCACTAGGATTCAGAATGCCAGCCAGACCACCAGGGGGAGTAGTCTCAGAAGGATATCCACTGCTAGTGCTGGTGCTGGTAGTGTCACCACCAGTGCTTTGGGTGGCGGCGTTGGTGTCAGAGTTACCGCCGCCGAGAATGCCGCCAACAATACCACCAGCGCCGTTGCTAGCAGGCTTGACAGCGTTAGCCTCAGGCGTTTGCGTCGGAGCACTTCCGGTAGATGAAGTAGATACCTGAGACGGGCCAGCGAGCGCGGTGCCAGAAAGGACGAGCGTGGAGAGGAAGGCGGTGGTGAAACGCATCTTGACGGATTGCTATACACACACGCACGATAACGAGTGACTGAAATGACAGAAATGGACGAAAAGAATGGACGTCTTGGGGAGCAAAACGGGCGGGCGATATGGGGCCACTCCCCTTTTATGTGCCCCGGACATTGCTCTCCGCAGATCTCTTTGATGGAGCAGACCGAGGAGCTGGCAGCGGCACTCCACATGTGAAGCCAATGCAGGTCCGCTAAGGTCTAATTTGCCCTGATGTAAGTGGCAGGAAGCGTTTAGGCCCGTTCAGGCGGAGAACAACCCCTTTTCGTTCCGTGTGTTGATGCTAATTTCCCCTTAGGTTGACCCTCGCGGAGCCGCCCTGATCGTTTACCTGGGCCTCAGGGTCCAGCGGAGGCTATTGTTCCGTTGCAGCCAATGCGAGCCTAGCATGACTGCAGCTAACGGGCTGGGAGCGAATGATAGGAGTGGGAAATTGCGACGTGCGATATAGCGACTCGTTCGGTCTAAGCTCGAGGGCCGGGGGCCTTTCGCTCGAAGATCGGCAGGGGGAGGCATCGTGCTGGGCATAGCGAGCACCTGTCCGTCCACTAAATCTCGTCGCGACCATGGACGGACCCGCTCCCTTGACTCGCTGATCCCGGCCCAAGCGGGCGCATTGTTTGGGCCAGACCCGGCAGGAAAGCGACTTTTTCTTAAGTATGAGATACAAATGCACTGAGGTAGTGTCCCGGAGTCCACTCGGCCCCCGGAACGCGCCAAGTTCGCTTGCCTGGAGGCGTTCGGCAGAGTGCAATCTCTGTTGTTCGTTGCGGGGAGTTGTTGCCCACGGGGGAATCCCAATGCGGTGGGGCCGAAAAAGACATCCCCTAAGCATGAGTTGGCTAACAGGCTCTGCTGCTAGATTTTTATTGAAACTCTGACCATGGAACGCACTCCCTAGTCTCGCAAACTGGCGTTCATCTGTTGATATTACCCCTGAACGCCTCACGGCATCTCGAACTGGACCCTGCCACCTCCCCGCGGCCGTGTCATGCAGGGTCCCCGCCAAAAGTGCCGGACAAAAAATTAATTTGGTGGACCCTAGGGCTTGGATCTCTAACCATGCTAGCAAGCCTCACGGGAGTTGGTCTCTTTCGGCGACATGTGAACTGAAAAGAAAATCAACAAGAACCGCTAACTTAGGGCTTCTCCCTAGCGCACAGATCGACAGGGCAGGTTTGCGGGTTGCCCTGATTTGGTTCGAGAACGACCGAGAATCGAGTATGATTTCATGGCGTGGATAGTCTTGTTCTTGTTTATTGTTGACCTACCAGTAATAACTACATGCGAGCTACGATAAAAATCTTCAAATCCCAAACCGTTTGATCACCGGTAACCGTCGAGAGCAAATAGCGCCGTTAGCCCGTGGAGCGGGCACCCACACCCCCAAAATGTGACCGTCCTCCGCTTAGAGTAGTAGGGGCGCTTAGAGTTTTCTGCTGCGTCTCCCATCGGACCCTCATATTTTGTACCTGGCCGATCCTCATAACCTTCATCGTTGCGGACCACGGGCACGGAGGCCAATCTAGCCCCGTCCATAATAATAACGCTGTAAGACTTTTTCTCCAGCCCGGCTCTGCCCCGAGGCCGTGAGAGATGGCTTGTGACGAGATGCCTTTCTCGTATTAAGATGGAGGGAGGGCTGGCGGATCCTTCGCGGTGCTCTATAATCCCTGTCCGCATCCTGATGTTGGTTCACCAAATAACAACATCCTTGCCCCGTGAACTGGTGTCCTTAAATTAGCGCGCTTTTCACGTCATAGGGCCTTTTTTCAGAATTGTAATCAATCGATTGAACTATGGGTGCTTGCATGTCGATGCTATGATGAGAATAACACGTGACGGCGGAAAATAACACTCGCTTAACCTCGTGGCATCCTTCCGCCCCGAGGCGTGGGTCCAGGTACAGCCCGGGCGTGGTGTTATTCTATGACGGCGACAGTGTCCAGATTCCCAGCGAACGGTCGCAGGGCAATCCGTCGCGAGGTACAAAAATTTGAGGCTCCATTTCTATTCCACTTCGGGCAATACATAGGCGTAGGCGAGCTCCGCCTGGTTTGCCCTGTCGATCCTCGTCTCGGTGAGTGAAGTCGGCCGGCTGTCCGAATCCTGTAGATCTCCACCTGCCATTAGAACTATTGTTTTGCAGCTCTGCAAATTATATTAACGCTCTAGCATGCTAAGCGAAGATCATTGGATTTAATAAGGCTACTGATGCTCTAAATCAACGCCAGGACCAGATATTATCCATTGCACTCGATTGGCTCAAATAAACTTGCAACTGTTTCCCGCCATGGTGCCGTCCCATGCGGCAATTTGCATGGAAGATCATCCTTGTTAGATCTTAACAATTCAGGCAAGTACTGGTGGGCACAGAAAAGCCTCTCAAGGATGATACATACCAGCCCCTACAACGCGGTGACTGTTGTTTGACCGCTGTCGTAATCTAGAACTAGCACAGTTCCCCGTCACATTTCAATTCCGAGGCTATACAGACAGGCCTGGCGGCACTCCTGCATAGCAGCTGGACTTGAAACAGCAGCAGCATCAATTTATTGGGGAAAAGACTTGGACAATGAATGAAACAAAACCGGCAAAATTGAGCTTTGTATGTGCCTTTTTGACATTCTCTTTACTGACACAGTATGTGATGTCAACGAAGATATCAATTGACGACATTGACGTCAGGCCCAGGTGTTCTATTTGTGTTCCTGGACTTTAACTACGTAATCGTATTTCCTCCCAACCTATAGGTGTCACGATGGAGTTTTTGACCACCTGGTACTACGATAGTCGTCGCCATTCCACAACCCGAACCCAAAGAGAATAGAGAAGGAGGAATACATTGTATAACTTTTCGAGACTAAAGAGGCATTTCCCGACCCATTCGTCGTTCTCACTTCCGGCAGCATTTCGTGGAAATCTTGGATTGATAACGCTCTACGACCCGAGAACTTTTGCTCGCCTTGCCCAGACCTTCAAATCAAGATAGGTACGTTCTGGGCCTTCCTAGGCTTCATTAAGACATGGTGTTTTCTACATATCTTCTAGTAGTCCTTGAAGACAGCGTACCAGACTGCCGCAGCGCAGCCCAAACAGGTCTTCAATACTTGTGCACGGAAAGAATTCTTGAAGTTTCTCGCTAGCAGCGTTCAACCGTCCTAATAAGCGGTCCAAGCTATTGACCTGACCAGCATTACTCTTTCTCCGTGTTCGTTCTTTTCTTCAAACCAAAGGCTTTTATTGCCTTGTCCTTCCCGTTATCTAGCATCGAATGGCCACAACTTGTCTGCTTTTGCTAGTCAGACCATTACCGTGAGACTCTGATTTTCTGGCCGTCTGCATCCATTCATCATACGCTGCGCGATGGGTATCTCACGCAGCGTCCCATACATCATTCGGAACCCACCCGTCCGAGTTCGTATGGAGAGACCTTCTGAGCCATAGCTTGAGTTTTCGGACGATCTCAAAATCTTCAGTCTCGAGTGTGCCCTTCAGTTCCTCTTCAGTTGGAGAAAATAGGCACGAGCACTCCAATCCTCGATTTATTAACTTGGACTGTTATTCATTTTCATCTTCACTATTCACTAACTCCCCAAACAAGCACTCTCTGCCTCTTGGAACTTGGACATAATTTCCGTCACTCTCTGTAAAGGCAAAGCCTCGACAGTGCGATTCTGGTTTCCCGTCATTGTCTCTGCCATACAAAGGGCATTATATATGGCTTCCTCTGTAGCATCTGCCGCCGCTTCAATCAGCCCATTGATCGACTGGTCATCAATGAAGCTCATGTTCAACTCCCTAGCTTTGAAACGATCGACCTGATCCTTGTCCGTTTGGACCGGAATCGCATTGCCTGTTGAGAATGCAAGGAAGATGTCTCCGGATGGGTTATGGCCATAACCGCCCACGCGAGCAAGTCCGACTGTGGCTCGCTTAGCGAGACGTTGGAGCTGGGTGGGATGTAGCGGGGCATCGGTAGCAAGGATGATAATGATTGAGCCGTCTTTTTTATCTTTGGCAGCGTCATACTCGGCTTTTCTTGCTGCCGAAGCCGCGTCTTTCTCTGCTTCCGCTGCAAGGATCCGCCCAACTGGGATTCCGCACATATGCAAGTTGCGCATTCGCCCGTAGTTGGCCTGCACGAGAGCTCCGATGGTGTACGGTTTGCCATCGGCGCCAGGAACCACTCGACTGCTAGTTCCTGTTCCCTCCTTGAACCCTTGACACAACATGCCCGTACCGCCGCCAACATTGCCTTCGGGGACTGGGTCGCTCGAGGCCTCTGTCAAACTTTGAACAACATGGTCTGGGGTAACGGCAAATTGGCTAATATCGTTGAGGTGACCGTCGAATGTCTCTGCTACCACAGGGAGCAGAAACCAGTCTACTCCAGACTCCTCCTGCCCGTAATGTTGAATAGCATATTTGTAGATTCCGGTATAGCAGGCACCAACCGAAAAGCTGTTGGTGATCAAAATTGGCGAGTGCAGGAGACCTGTTTCTTCAATCCAATGTGTGCCCGTCATCTCGCCAGAGCCATTGAAACGGAAGATACCCGCCGTGCAAGCTTGGTGGAACCAGTCTTTTCGCGGCACGATTGCTGTGAGGCCTGTGTTGATGGATGCGCCATCGCGGATGGTAGTGGTTTGGACCATCACACCTTCAACGTCTGTGATACCATTCTTGGGACCGGGTTTCCAATTACCAAGGTTCGCACCGGGAACGACATCTCGAAAGCGTCCTCGGGGCGAACTCGGCTGGGACGTCGTCAAGGCCATACTGCTTTCTTCGAAGACACAAAAGGTTGTTGGAAGAAAAGTAGCTTGCAACTTCGAATATTTCTTCGACTTGGGTTGACTCATGAAGCGGGGTCTGGTAAAAAGTCGGTGCAACGTGGGCGCACAGCCACTAGCGAATGCCACGGGTCGTTTGTTTGGCTATCATTATGAACTATTCACACCCTTCTGAACCCAGCGGAATGAATCTGTCTCGATGGTTTGTTCCGTTCCAGCAGTCTCACACATGTCGGTGGTCTCGGATCCGAGTCACTTTGATTGTTTATTGTGATTTTTAGTCATCTAGTGTTCGGAATAGATTTTTGCCAATACTTTGATCTGCATGACCGCTGGCTCTGCTATTATTTCTTCATCTCTGGAAGCACCGTGAAAACAATCCAGGGACTGAGACAGGCTGATCGACAATCACAGCCACCGTGTGGCAAAGGAACGTGGCGCAGCCTGAATGGAGCCACGAAGGAAGGGAAGTGTGGCCAAGCAGATTATCCCCCGACCGACAATACCGGGTCGCCGGTTTTTCTATTCCTTCATGACCATCCATCTGTTGCGCCTATCCTCTTCGAAACAATCACTAGCTAACCCCTTGCGCTGACCATGTGACCGGACTCGTCTGCATGACAAAAGAGCCCGTGGAGAGCCACAAAAGAACCCTGTACAGTATTCTGTATGTAAGTAATGACGGTGGCGCCGGAGAAAAGTCTGGTAGATGACAGTGCGTTCGACCGTCAGCCCAATCGCAGATCGTAGCAGGGATTGTTCAGCTTCAACGCGTCGGCCGGACTCGGTTGCCGTCAGCGAATCCGATCGCTGAAGCGGCCCAAGACCACTGGTGCCCCACGTCTGCTTGACCCTCCATCAGCTGAGGTCGAGTCCCTAGCGGCAGTTGATACATCGGAAAGACATGTTCTCCTGTAATTTTTCTTTTCATCTGCGAATTTCTTTCGAGAACGTGTGGTTGGGAACTGCACGTTTAGATAGGGCTTCTCTCAGCGATGGCTTACTCAGAGTTTACACGAGGCGATCTGCGAGACCGGGATGCCTTCGATCTGGACCGTACAGGCTTTCCCTTTTCGGGCATTGTACATGACGGTAGAACACTGGGGTGCAGCATCCCGCCCAGTGGGATCGACTCGTCCGATCGTAGATGCCAGCTGAGGGCGACTCCTTTGCGATGCAGCCAACATGCCCGCCGGGAGTGCGGATCATTGGGGCTGAGCAAGTTTGGTTCTGCAGACGCCGACGGTCCTGGCCAAATGAATGCACAACGCGCGGTCCCAGGTGAGACCAGGAGACTGTTGCGAATTCGGATGAAACGGGGTGTCGAATTCCCTGTTTCAACACCCGCTCGCCTTGAAGTGGCGAAGATGTAAAAATGCAGATCGGGGAGTCCGAGGGTGGCCATTACTTACTTGTACCGTAAGCCTGGTACACTTCAGGAATGGGAGACCCCATCAGCCTGCATGATACGAAGTCTTAATGCCCTGGGCTATTCTGGTAGGGAGAGAAAACTCGAAGTGGGGAGGTACCAGGCATCCGTCCTTTTGGTTCTTATTATTCTCGGTTTCTTCCTTCTTTCCTTCTTTATCCATGAACTTCATGTCCTCTCCTTATTGATAGTTTCCTTTTTCGTTTCTCTTTGTTCCCTTCTTGCTACCGCGCATTCGCCCGCACATTAATAGAAGTCTCCGCCACTACGATCCCCCAACTGACTATACCAAGAGTGATGCGACATCTCTAATTCTTCCAACAACCACAACCCGGATCACCGTGTGGGCGAATGTCGCCTTTTATGATTTACATTCTATATTCTTCATTCTTTTATATATCTGCAGACGCTGGTCGTATCACCCATTGCACAGAGTCATAATGCCCACAGTCTTACTGCCCTCGTCGGCCGCCGCATTTGCGCCGCGGTCATCGCCCAACGTCGTGCTGAACAGGAAGGTCGTGCCATGGCTGACAGCAACCTTGAAACGAGTCAACCGAGTCAAACGCCCACTGAACAACGTCACCCAGCACACCCGATGCCTGACTGAGACGCTATCGTCAACCAACGCCATCTGGACATTATGTTCCATGATGTTTTCCAAGGCCCCCGAGACGGAGCTGCGCAGAGATGAGAACCCCCTGGTCGAGGGACTCTTCAACTTCCAGATGATCCACATCGAAGCCTATGTGGTACATGTCGACATGGTTTCGCGGAATGAAGTAGCCTTCAAATTGACGCCGGAGACGATCGAGGCCCTAGTGGATTATCACAAAGATATCTACTCCGTCGACGTCGCTGCCAAGACGTGGGACTGGTCAGGCAAGCAGGCACAGCTAAAGAAACTGCAGGACGAGTTCGTGCAGGCTGCCAACAGGTTCGTGTACCGCGCCAACGCCGAGGCGCTGGAAGGCCTGGAGGAGGACGGCGCCGGGGAGCTATTGTGTGGCCGCAGCGAGGAAGCCAAGGCGGCTATCAGCAGTTTGTTTGTACCGCTGCTTCCTCCTCCACCACCGCTGGTGGATGTAATGCGCCCGGTGCCTCTCCTGCCCAGCTCGACTGGTCCCGAAACCTGGTGGCCTAGCGCAATGTCCCAGCCCGCCGAGTCGTGGAAAGTACTGCCGCCCAGCCCAACCCCGGCGAGCGATGATTCTAATGCGAATCTGTGGGCCAGTATCAGTTTCAGTGATGCCCAGCTGCCTTCGCCGACCCCGTCCTACAGTCAACCTTTTACCACCTCCTTCACCCCCTTCGACAGCATGGCAGCTACATCCGCAGCGCTCGCGACGCTTCCGCTCCCCAGTATGCTGGTGCAGCCCTGCGCCACCGCAGCCAACATGGGCTTCGGCTTCGGCTGGAACCAATACCAGGAATGCGCCCTGCCCTACGGCACGATCATGTAGCGCACCGCTCTACGCAGTCCGACTACTCCGCGATCTCGATCTGCCTCGCAGCCTGTCCTTTCTCTCTCCACGCACCCGCTTTCCGGCATTGCGGGCATCTCGAATAATTGGCATTACTTGACGGCGTTCTTGATTTTGACTCTGTGCATCCGTGATACTCCATCCCGCGATTTGCATTTATACCCAGAAATAATTTTCGAGACGGCATCTGCTTTCCCTTTTTCTTGTTTTTATCTCTTTCTTTTCAGCCAGCGTCAGCGTTTTGTTTTGCGTTTCATTTCTTGCATCAAGAAGCGGCGGGTCGGCTTTGCCTCCTTTTCTCTCTCTGTCTCTTTGTTTTTTTTTCGCGCATATATGTCATGAAGACCCGGTCAGCCTCGCGGCATGGGATATGAATTTGGATGTGGAATGTCCGACATTATGCGTTCCTTTCTTGGAGTCGTGGTTCGACGGAGGTGGAACAGAAGGAACAAGTCGCTGGACTGGGTTCCGCCACTTGTCACCCTTTCTCTTCCCTCCGTCGAGGATCACCCCCTTCTGGTACGGGATACCAGACTGGCAATTCTCCTCCCCCTGGATATTGGGGAGAGATATTGAGGGCCTATCTACGCGACGGTGCGGGTCCCATCCTACATCTGGGATGTCTGGATGGACCGTGCCATTTTTCGAGTTGTCCATGGTGTTCGGAGGTGCATGATCATGCGAAGTGGATGAGAACACGCTTTCACTAACGGGCCTCGTCAGTCTGAGCCGTTAACCCGCCTGTGGCGGACGCCAGCAGCTTGAAGGGGTTGGATGCTGAGGATAACAAATCCCTGGATGGGTCTGTGACCCGGGTGTTTTCGTCAAATCCCACCCTATTTGCAACGAGTGTCACGAGTCATAAGCGTTCATCCAATTTTGCTACGATCTCGCCGGAATATGACCGTGGGTGGCATGTTAGGCTCATCCCCTAGAGTCCAGGTTGGCCCTGGACAAGCTCGGTTCGTTGGGGACTCTTCCACAGGTGGGAAGGGTTATTTTTTATGTTTTTTGGTCTCCCCGACACCGAGAACTGGATGCTTGGACCCTTACATTCTTTTGAACCAGATTTTGTCTGCCGTCGATGGGTCTGTGTCCCTCGCGCTTCCATTCTGTTCTCCTATTCATTTCCTGTCAGTACAACGTGTATCCAATCTCTCTGTATGTCTTCTTTTTAGCTTAGTTGTGAAAGACGCATACAAGTTCCATCCTGTTTTTCTTGTATTAAATTGTAGACCGACCCCATGTATAGATACGCGCCGAACATGACGTCAATCACCCCGGAGCGCCAAGGAGCCGGATTCCATCGTCATAATCGCGGCCGGGGTATTTTCAACTTTAAAACTAAATTTAATCCAGCTGCGGTACATATTCATCCTGCCCTTACGAATCAAGTGTTGTATTTGATGACACTCTCGTCCATTCCGAAGCCTTAATCGCAAGCTCCTTCATGGCTGACCTCCACGACTCCCTCTCGTGTCTACAGCCGACTACATGGGACGTGGTCCCGAAATCGCCGGACGAGCTCCGAGAATATGTCCGTGACATCTTCAAGAAAAGCCGTCTGATCGCCGAATCGCTTCCGGATCCTCCGCCTTATGAGAATCACGATCCTCACAACGGCAGTCAGCCAGAGACCCCGCATGTGGTCCCTTCCTCCGCACGGGTAGCCGAAACAGATCCAGAGATCACCACACTCCAAAAGCAATGGGGCAAGCCTATCAAGATGGGTGGACCAAAGGACAATCCACTTGGGGTGCATGTGTACAAGCTGGCCGGCGGTGACGGTGGTGGACATTGGTTCGGAAGGCGCAGTGTGCACGAGGGACTCCCATTTTCACGGTGGCGAAACAAGCTCTCAACGGAGTTTGACGAGACCCTCAAGGTGAACAAAGAAAAGATATCCAAGGGCGAGACGCCGGACAAGTGTATTCGGGGCATCGGCGCTGAGGAGAAAGTCGAGACCATCGAGGTCACCGAGGAGGATGGCTCTATACTGGGAACAGTCACAGTCTATCATGTGTCTGCACAGTTTCCAAAACCCACAGCACCGCGCGACTTTGTTGCGCTGGTCATCACGTCGGATACTGGATTGCAGGCTGGCGGGACGAAGCAGCCTGGTCGAAGCTGGATAATGGTCTCTAAGCCGTGTGAGCATCCGGATGTACCGCATAAAGATGGCTATATCCGGGGCGAATACGAGTCCGTTGAACTAATCCGCGAGATTCCCGTGGACAAGACGAGCAGTGGAAGCAACACTCCAAAAAGCACAGGGGGCACTACTCCTAATTCCAAAGACCTCAGTCTCGAAAATGATGACGCTGAATTGAATCCAGTCGAGTGGATAATGGTGACCCGGAGTGACCCAGGAGGCAATATTCCGCGCTGGATGGTGGATAAGGGCACGCCGAAGAGCGTGGAAGCAGATGCAGCCAAGTTTATCAATTGGGCTGTCCAAGAAGACACACCACTTAAGAAGACTCGCTCAGAGGCCAGTTCTTTGAAATTTTCAAATCGAGCTTCCAAAGCAGGGGAAATGGGCGAACAGGAATCGAGTGAGGAAGATTCGGACACCGAATCAACGGACACAGACATCCAGGATGTACACCACGGCCTCATTGCCAGCATCGGAAGCCTTATCAACAACGGTCTGGAGCGATTTGCACCTCAAGCAGTGTTGGATTACATGCCACATCACCAGGAATCACCGTCCCATCCCCCTGAAGGGATTCAGATTCCTCAGAGTACTTCCAAGCGACATTCCACCAGAGATCCAGTAAACGACAGTGAGTCCCAGGTCGAGCCAGACCACGCCTCTCAATCCTCTGGAATGGCCGCTCCCACAGCCGAAGATTTAGTGCAGCAAACTCCTACACAAATCATACAGGCGGGCAAGGCCAGCAAACCAACGCACAACGAAAAGGAATTAGCGAAGTTGGCACTTCGTAAACGTGAGATCCAGGCAAAACTCGACACCGTGCGCTCCGAGCTCGAGAAGATGAACATCCCGCCCCAGCACGGCCTCTCACCGACACGACCGAGCAAAGTCATCACCAACGGTGTAGATAGCGACAGTAGCGCGGTAAATAATCGAGCCGCTGAGAAGCGCTCCTCAACGCCAGCTAGCTCTAGCATACACCAAGGTCAGCGCGAAGCTAGCAACAGCGACGGCCAGTCATCCACGCAGACGCCGAAACAGGACCAGACGCCAGAAATCCCGGCGCATATGCACAAGGCAGCAGGATATCTTCTCAGTGAGGAAGCCAAACTGCTGAAGCAAATCGGCAAGATTGAAGGCAATCAGCTCAAACTCGCAACGAAGATCGAAACGCGCCAGCGAAAGGAAGCTGAACGTTCCGAAAAGAACAAGTCTCGGTCAGAGACTGAGACCCTGCGGCGCGAGGTGGAGGACCTGCGCAAAGAGGTCGCAAAGCTGCGCGATGAGCGCAAAAAATGGGTGGATTTGGTTGCTTCGTTGCAGGCTGAGAATACGAAGTTGACTGCTGCGGAGGAAAGCAAGAGAACGAGCGCTTCATAGTCTGGATTTTCAAATCGAGCATACAACGTTTACAGTACATACATGTGAATACTTTCCCAACGTATAGTCAATGGGCTGGTTTTAACAAGCTATGGATATGGTCCAAGCAGTTTCTACCGTCTAGAAGAAAACCAGTGCGCTAGGCAGTAATGAATTTCAATCGACATATCATGCAGATTGCCAACCATATAATTGCACATCATTCCGCTGACCCCGCCCCGCTAGCTCTTCTCGCTGGCGTGACGCTTCGCCGCTTCCGGTGTCTTATGGGTATCATATCGAGTAGTTCGGGCAAGTATCTTGTCCGGCCTTACCACGTCTCGCAGGGAAAAACGTGCCAAGACAGATCTTGGAACGCGTGGGGTGTATTTCCGTAAAGTGTTTGGAACTCAGAAGATCTTTGCCGGAACAGAGGTGCTTTGTTTGTATCGAGGGAACAGGATAGACGTGCTAGGATCAAACAGAGGTGCAAGTCCTCTATGAGACAAAGTGGGAGTGTCGAGAAAGAATTTGTATGCGAAGCGAATTAATCCTGTGTCTAAATATAAGCAAGAAATCGTCAGCCACCCGCTGTCATCAGTAGTCAAGCCCTCCACGGCTATAGGGCACGGAGGCACATACCTCAGGAGGATTCCCAGCCCCTCGAACCATCTTCTCCAATATCATTGCGCGAACCTTCTCCTTGGGCTCGCCCATGCCGACGGCCATGTAGGAGAGTAGCGGTGGGTGGCCGACATACGAGGAGTAGCTGTCGCGGAGGATGTTGGACGTCCACTCGTACTTCGTGGTATCGGCGTGGCCAGTACCAATATGACGGGCCTGCAGAGCCTCGAGGTTCTGGAGAGTGCGAAGTTTATCGGCCATTGCGGGTATGTGAAGAAGGATAAGAGTAGGTGTTGTTGGGGAAAGGAAGGAAGGAAGGGTTTGAGTGCAGTTGCGACGGGACCGCCGATCACGTGGTCCGATACAATATTTTCGGGCAGACCACGATGGACTTCATTTCATACCTCAAGATTTCAATGTCTGGCCATTCTGCTCCATCCTCTTTACCATCCCGCATAGCTTCACTGGTCCATGCTCAATTCGATGCACTACCCAAGCGCAGCAAGCCCACCATCTTCCCCGATGGATCGCGGGAGTGGATCCCAATGACGGGCATTGTGGCCGTTAAGGGTGTGTAAATATTATTCCTTTTTTTTTCCCTTTCAGGATTGGATAATAATATGGTACCAAGGAGAAAATACGCCCGCCGAAACATTGACTTGCATTGCCGTCACGTATGTCTCGCTCTGAACCTCCAACAAGGGAAAACTGACAATCTCCAGGAGCGGAGCCAAGTGCTTGCCAGCATCTCTCATCCCCAAGTGTCGGGGTCTCGTACTGCATGATTTCCATGCGGAAATATTAGCGCTACGGGCTTTCAACTACTGGCTCTTGACGGAATGCCGCAGTGTCTTAATTCAAGAAGAACATGAAACATCGAAGCATCATCCAAATGCCAATATGATGATGTCGGGCTCTCCATTCATTCGAAGGAGGGAAAACGATGAACATGATCACGGCATCAAGTGGCCTCCGTTTGAGATTCAGCCTGATGTCAAGGTGTACATGTACTGCACATGCGCACCTTGCGGTGATGCAAGCATGGAGCTCTGCATGGCGGCCCAAGAAGACGCAACGCCGTGGGAGGTTCGTCGGCCAGATCCCGAGATAGGAGATGGCCTTCTTGACGGCCGAGCACATTTCTCTCTCCTCGGTGTGGTCCGTCGAAAGCCTTCGCGCATGGACGCTGAGTCCACACGGAGCAAGTCTTGCTCTGATAAACTCGCACTGCGACAGGTATCATCGCTGCTCTCCTGGGAGACTAGTATGCTCGTCGCGCCTACCGAAAATGCCTATCTTGCTGGGCTTATACTACCCGAAGACGAGATTAGTCGGGTTGCCTGCGATAGATCCTTCGGGGAAACCGGTCGAATGCAGGCTCTCGTGGGACGGACATGGCCCGAGACTCCTGGTTCGGCTACTTCGATGTATCAATTCCGTCCATTCGAGGTTCTTTCTGTTCCAGAAGAAGAGATCAATGCGCTGTGGCGTTTTGCAAAACCGAAATCTGGAATGACAGACGCAGAGAATATTGCAATCGATAAGAAATGCAAACCGAGTAACACGTGCGCAATATGGACATCTGCACCGTCATTCTCTCACCCATGCGCCACTAACCCTGGCACCGGTATCAAAACATTGCCAACCTTGTGCCGGTCAAAGACAGGTCTATATGAGACTATTATCAACGGAGTGAAACAAGGGAACCGGGCAACCACGCCGCTTCCACGCGGGGCATCGTATCTGTCCCGGGCCGAGCTTTGGGCTCTTGTCCGAGAGATTGTTCAGCGGCCAGCATGTCATAGTTGCCAAGATGGTATGAAATCCCAGGAACCATCTCCTGAATTGACAAAAAGGGGTTGGTTTCCCGGACCTCTCATTTATGAAACGATGTACCGATGAAGTAATGACATACCGGGACCTCAAACGCGGTGGAACCGACTTGGCCGATCCGCTGCGAGTCCGAGGACAAGCCGTATGGGACACTAAACAAGTTCTCAAAGGCTGGATTCCCAATGCGGGGGATGAGAGTTGGGGCTTGGACGTGTTGGAGGATCCCAAAAGGCCAAAATGCTGAATCACCTCCACGGTACCTCACTATTTTTGACTCCGTCACAATGTTAGAGACCAACCTACGAGTGTTACAGTTGAACATAACCGAGGTAATTTAGTATTGCACCCTGCGCCCTGCTTAATAGACACACATACGTGCTGGCATCAGCATTATCACTGAGTCTGAGCCCGAGCGCCCTCATAAAAGCGGCGGCAGCCCAAGTAGGAAAGCCCGCCTGGCAGATATTATCTGGTTCGTCCAAGTGAATGGTAGATTTGTAGTTTAAACTCCGAGTTGCCAGCGCTGATGAACATGCATGTTCCTAGCCTTGTTCGGTGGCAAAATGCACGATCATCTCATTGGAAAGGATTCTCACCTCACAACACCGCCGGTGGTTCTTTCCAAATTTTAGTAGCACGGGTGGCGTCTTCTCTCAAACAATTGATTCCTACCACTTTTCCCGGGGTTGTAAGTCTGTCGCAATTGTAGTTAGCGAGCAAGTTGACTCGCAGTAAAATGGCCGCTCGCATAGAAAGCCACCTTTCATCACCACATGAGCACCGCCATGGTAATTTACTTCTTAATTGAAGCGTTATCATCTTACATAGATGCTGATAACATAGATAGACTTTAGATTATTTAGTCTGAATTCTGGCCCATTTTGTGAACCGTCTACAAATTCCTTGGTGACCCCTTCAATCATCTTTCATTTTAGCATGGGAGATCAACGATTTATCAGTATCCCCATAAGCCCAGCATCATTTTCAGGATGTTTTCCTAACAGCTCGAGGTGCATGTTAAAGTCACCTGATCAGCTCAACCCGAATGCAAGGAAGGCCAGAGCTCAATTTGAGTCACAATCCTCGTCTTCTTCCACACTTGTCGGAAAAGCCGAGCCATCCTGGAAAATACTGCACGAAACATGATTCCTCAAACTCGAACTCAGATGAAACACTTAGGAGACGGATTTAGACATTATCGCTACATATCGTGCTTTCAACCAAGGGTTGAGCGATGTTATTCTTCCAGGGCGCTACCATTTCCTTCAGCGTTGCCTGATAAGTATCACAGCAAACTTTCCGATGATTTTCGCCAGATATATAGCAAATATCTTGCTAGCCGTGTTGACAATATGTTTTTGCCCATCGCAGAAGTTCGTGGAAAGCCGACCTACGGATGTTTGCCCGAATTAAACACTGTCAGCTGGCGAGATTGTCATATTCCTCGCGAAAAAGGAACAGGCACACTTCATCTTCGGTGAGTAACAATAGCTATTATCAGATCATGCAACTTACGCTAGCCAGTATTTATGAGCCCCCAGTACCCGATGAAAGTGCCGGGATCATTCTCTATTTTCCTGGAGGTGGGTTCGTTCTGAACACACCTGTTAGTGAGCATGGCCTTGTAACAAACATTTGTTTTTGCTCTGGATGTACCGTGGTATCCGTGGGCTATAGTTTAGCCCCAGAAAATCCATTTCCACATGCCGTGGACGATGCTTTTGCTGCATTGTCATATATCTCAGACCAAAACGACCTACAACTATCTAATAACTCCAAACCATCGATTGGCGTGGTAGGAGCCAGTGCCGGCGCAGGACTCGCAGCAACTCTGGCTCTCAACAGCCAGCTGGTAAAAGCAGCAATGCTTTGGGCTCCCATAGTTGATTGGAGCTTCGCGAACGGATTTGACGAGAGCAAGTCTTGGTCGGAGTTTTCCAGCATTCCCTTTCTTTCTGCCGAAAAGATGAGATGGTTCCGTGATAAGTATTTGCCCGGTGGAGATTGGGGTGATCCTTTTGCATCTCCGATACTCTTCCTCGAAGGAAAGTTTGCAAAAGATCTGCCATCACTGCTGCCGCCTTTCCGCATCGCTGTCGGAGGATGCGATCTGCTGCGTGACCAAGGGATCGAATTCGTACGAATGCTTGAAAACCAGGGAAAGGGCGGTGGTAGTAATCTGCTTCATCCTCCCCTTTTGCACACTATTGAGGGGGCTGGTCACAGTTTCATCAGCGCAGCTGGTGAGAACAGGTTAGGAAAGAGGGAGGTGGAAGAAGGGTCCCGATGGATTGGATCAATTATGCGAAATTTGTAATATCGATGTGATTGAATTTTCCGAGTATCTCGTAGTACCGAAATCAGCCAATGATTCCAGTTTGGAGATCACGAAATGTCTGGGCTCGCTTGGATCCGGCGCTCGCTTGTAGGTAGCTCAAAAAAAGTGAGTGTAGTGAGCTACGGGCCTGAGTGCACTGATCTGCAATCTGTGACGGTGCCGCTGTCCTCACAAGTAGCCACTTTAGGACAGAGGATAGGAGATTTGTTTCCCCATTTCAACGAGGGTGATGAAATAGTTAGTTGATCTTGGCATCCTTTTTTACCGTTCCTGGACCAGTAAGTGGTCCTGGGACGAATGGACTATTATTTGGCTACTTGGGCTGAAGAGCAACAAGGGCTCAAGGTATGAGCATGGCTCTGGCCATTTTGCGGTCATGCTAAGCTGCTAAGTACATAAGGTGTTGGAGGACATAGGCGGACAGAACGAAATCCTGGTCTCGACGAGCAGAAATAAAAATAGTTCAAGATCCGAGTATAAATCTGGGGAAAGCTCCCTCAATGTTTTACAATATAATGGTACAGTATTAGTAAATTCCGGGGATGATCCGGCTGCGCACCATGGAGGTGTACCGATCCCAGTCAGCGCCATACTTCCTCTTGCACTTTTCCTCGTCGCGTCTTTCCCGGTGAATCAACAAGATCGCAAAATAGAGCATGTAAAAGTAGGTCAGAATCATACCCCAGCCGCGGGCCTCGGCGGTCTGCAAGGCCTGCTTCTGAAGCTTCCCAGTGCCCGGGTTGATGCTCTCGATGATAACATAGCCGGCAACACCTGTCGGCAAACAATAGGCCCACGACATGATCCAGTCACCCAGATAGTTGATGTGCCGGGCCAAGCCCCACCAGCCGGACGTCATCAGCTTCGATCCACTGGCGGTCTCAATGTACTGGATATGCTTCAGCTTGGGATCATCGGGGTTGGTACGGAATCGGTTCTTCTGGTTGTTGGCGCCACGGAAAATCGAGTATCCGACAGCGACGACACCCAGCACGAACGCCACGCCAGTCCAGCCGAGTTCATAGGGAAAGATGGACAGATAGCGGCTCTGGACAGAGTACACATGCGGAACCCAGACCACATCGCCGAAGGAAAGCATATAACCAAAGCCATCCATGATAACATCCATTGTGGTCATGATGGCCGGTTCCATATACAATGCATCCAGTATGTAAAAGCCCTGGAAAATAGTGACCAGCACAATGGAGTCTGTAACGTACCCGTAGGTCCGGTACTGATGGGCCACGTTGGAGAGGTTCAGGATGGTCCATCCCAGCAAACCTGGTCTCATCTCCATGAATACCTTGATGTCAATCGTCCGGGAAGGCTCGCTGACAAAGGGAATAGGCAGGCGAATGCGCGGGTTGAGCTCCCGTCCGATGAAGAAGTCGTAAAGGGGATTTCCCGAGTGGCCGCCGGGGGCCAATTCGCGCAGATTGGGGTTGGGCTGTCCCGGCGCGGGGACAGAGAAGCTCCTCACATACACGAAAAGTGCGACCAGCGAGGATAATATCAGATTTGCCGTGATCACCTGCAGATAGTTGTCCCACAGGAACGTCCACACCACGAAATCCGCGCCATACATGTACGTGCCGCCGGCCAGACCAGAAAGAATGATGATTGCAGAGAGGAAAGCTGTGGAGAGAAGATGGGGGAGAATGTCAGAAAGAAGCTCCGCAGATTCAGGAGAAGTGCCCATACCGTTGAACTTGTACTTGAGCCGGCCGCCACAAGCTAAAGCAATGCCCTCCGCCTCTTGTCCGGGCAGGAAGACCTGCAGAAACAGACTGAAGGCATAATAGCTCAGCGTCCACAGCGTGGCCTGAGTGTCATAGAGCGCGACAATTCCCTCCTTCGGCCAGCCGACCTCGCGTTTCAATCGATCTAGCGACAATGTGGACGGGTGGAGCAGGGACGGTGCGGGACAGCCAGAGACATCATTGCAGACGAAGTAAAAGGTATAGACCAGGACCGGTAGACCGAAAACAATTCCAAACGCGCCGAGCCTGCCGCATGGTCAGCATCCATCCGTGGGGTCGGTCCGGGGGGAGAACCAAACATACGGGCCTCCGAATTCATAGCCTCGCTTCTCGGTAACAGGCTGGACGGGGGGTTTGGACTTCGAAGTTTGATCTTTCTTGGGCGCCATGATTGAACTGGAGCGCGGAAAGTTGCGCGATCAGGCCTGAGCTAGTTACAGGGGAAAAGAGGCGAGTTGCGCGGGAAATTATAACATTCAAGTGATCAGCAACGTACGACGTCGGATCCCGTGTTCCGCAGCGCCAATCAGAGCCCTGATGAGGTAAGCCATAGAGCTCGGATATGTATGGACACAGACACATCAACTGGTTAGTTCTTTACGGTCGGTAATCCAGGCTCCAGCGGGATTGCCAGACCTTGGATGTAAGTGGTAACTATCATGGGTTTGCTGACCAAGAAAGTACCGTATGCTAGTCAGTTAATCCACTTCTACAGTTACTTGGTTTCTCGGGATGCTTCATGACACGTGAGATCAGAATCAGAGTGAAACAAGCAATATCATATTTGTGTTCGTATATGAGGCATGCAGCAAAGATCCATTCTAAATCTGGTTTTCATCATGCCATCAGTTATAACTATTAGTTATAAAAACCATGCCAGCCCCACGAGTAAATCGACTAACCTGTTTAACCTTGAACACCTTTCTCCTTACTTGTATGTAATCCTTTCGGCATGTGTATCTATATCTTTGACTTTGACACAACCCATACGCTTTCCGCTGTGGCCATCTTTTCACCTTCAAAATTGGTCATCTGGGCGCGTATCATTGCTTTGCGACCTTTGAGATTGTCCAACCAGGCCGTTACGCACACCACGCTGTTTATCGAAACTGGGCGCAAAAACTTAACATTTATCGACCCTGTCACCGTAGCCACCCCTTGCTGAATCCATTCCTTGTCAAAGGCTGAATTTATTTCGACGACCACTCCCAATGCTTCATCAAGCAATGTCATGATCATCCCGCCATGTAAAATGTCCTTGTATCCACACACGCCCTTTCCAAGCTCAAATAGCGAGACGACTTTAGTAATCGGCCGAGTCGGATCTTGTATGTGCTTTGAGTCATCTGGACAAAAGTAACACAAATAAGAGCGAAGTGCATCCGGGGTTGCGAGTGTTACACCGACAAACTGGTCATGCTGAGGACTGAGCGGATTGAAGCCCTGTGGGATGAAGGGAATTGGTTGAATGTGATCGCCAGAAACTGACAAAGCCGTAGATAATAGCTTTGCACACCATGGAATGGAAGTGAAGCGATCAACTGTCTTCGAGAAAAGTTGTGGTGGTGTGTTCGGAGGAGTAAAACCGAGAGGTGGAGAGAGCACCCGAGTAAACGTTTGGGGGGAGCTCATTTCGGATTTTGAAATTCTTAACAGTATTTTGAATTTCTTGAATTGAATGAAGACTGGCAGAGAGGTTGAATGACTATGAAGAGAGGAGGTGCGGAGAAACAGCAAGTCGCATGTCAAGTTACACTCGGCCCCAGACGGCTCCGGCGGCTCCGTTGTTGCGTTCCACAGGGAGTTTTCCCTAACAGACAGAATTGAATGTTTAGATGAAAGACGCTAGCTCATTTATGCTGTTTGGCCAGAAAGCTTAAGCCCGTCTCCTCGCTTCCAAGCCCGTCATTCTCCTTATAAGTAGTCTCTCGAGACACAAGTAGAGGATTTGAGATATGTCGCGCCTTTACTTGTCTCTTTGAAGGAGCAGTCCAAATCTGATTACGTACATCTAACGCTGTCAATAATATACGGCTGTTTTCAGACATCCTTATCTCTTGCCTTACTTCCAATGCTCGCTCATGATTCTATCATTGCCCTGGCCCATGCCTGGGCCGATGAATAAGTTGTCTCGAAGACCTAATAGTCCGCGAAGACATATGTTCAAGCCCGCTGTCATCTCAGAGGCCTGTTTGGTGCTGGGTGGCGTTGTCGGATTGTTCATTTCGTCCGAAAACGCTTGTGAAGCAAGAGTGTGTCCCTGAATCATCATCCAAGGTGACTATCAGAACCAGTCAGTACGTCCAAACGCAACGAATTCTGAAGGATACACAATACTTACCGGGTGCGCACACATATATCGTCCATATGTTGGGGGACCACCCTGACGGAGGGGTTCAGCGTTGGGTGAGGCCGGCCCCTGACATGTGGAGGAGACAATAGCTATTTGCATGGCACTCCTTAGCCGTTGCTTTGAGCGACATACTCTTGTCGATTGAAGTAAATTGTATAGTCGTTCTTTCGCGGTGGTCGATGGTAGTTGCATGAGGTTTGTCTCAAGCCTTTTAGCGATATCGTAGAAGAGCAGTATCGCAAGATCAGTGTCCATAGAGCAAAATGCGGACATTTTCCAGACTTCGCGATGTGACTGTTCAAGATAAAGTCTTGGTGTTTGGTCCATTGTTCCGAAATGAGTCTCCCAGATCTCGATGAGAGTAGTCATGGCGATAAGCCGTCGAGCAATGCTGGTATAGTTGGCCTTTTCTTCTTCCGTTTTGACTGCTTCGGCATCGATTGTAAAGCTGGCCAAAGATCTCCAAATAAGAATAGAAAGGGACACTGGTAACCTCCCAGCAAAAAGTACAGCATCATTTTTATGGAAATTGATCTGGCAGAACTCAATGAATGACGACCCGCTCTGTCTCGCACGCGTCAGGATCGAGTCCTCAATGTCTCGCTGATATGGCGAAGCCGACAAAAGCGGCAAGGTATCATCCTCTACGATACTTCCTGGCGCTGAAAATTCAGAACCAGGCGAACCGTTTGTTTCACCATTCTCCGCTTCAGGGGGAAATGCGCAAATCCTCCCGTATGACGTGCAGATTGCGATAGCATTGTATAAGGAAACCAACCATTCGACTGCCCCGGTCAACTCCAGAATCAATTGAGATACTTCAGGCGGCAGATTCTGGATATGATGTTGTCTTCTGCTAGTAGTGGCGGCAGTCGAGCGTGACGTTGAGCAAGGGTCTTTCTGGGCTTTGATGTCGTTGCGTGCTCGAGAGCAGAGCGTTTTTAAGCGCCTGATTCCTTCACAAAAGGCAAAGCCCCTATCCTCCTTATCTTCTTCAGCGGTGCTGCCACCATGCGGAGGAGTAAGATCACCAAAGAACATAAGCGATAGCGCTAGTCGGAACGACCCTGTAGCTGCAATATTTTTGAATACCATCTCCTTGGCCTTCCTCCACGTAGCCAAAGCAATGTCTCGATTTCGCGACCGAGTTGCTGTGTCATTTGATAGGCCATCCTCCCCTTCTTTACAGTTCGCTAACTGAGCTGCTGTTGCAATAGCAACCCATTTGTAGGTCTCTGTGATGGACGCATCTCGTGATGACAAAGATGTAGGGGCAAATATTGCGTCGAGGGCACTGACAGTGCGAAATATGTTTGGTCCAGGGGCTAGAGGCAGCGACGTCTGGTAGATAGGATCCTGCCAGCAGCTAGCAACCCACCTCTCTGTCTTCTCAATATATGCGGATAGCTGAGTGCTTGTGCTTAGCGTATCATAAGCTGCCACGCCGAAATTGTACGGTGGAGGCATGCTTCCTTGAAGGAGGCAGTGTGAAAGAAACGAGTCCGAAATATCGAGAAAAAGGTTGAATTTTTGCGAACATGTTCCGTCAGCCACTAGTCTCCTTGAGAGATCTGCCTCTATAGTTGATAGGGATCCCAGAGACCCATACACGGAATGGTTCACGCCACATGTGCTGGTTTCAGTGGCCGGACAATTTGTATCGGGACTCCCATTTGCTTGACGCACAAGTTGCTTACTTGCGAGCCAAGACACGGTGCAATCGATGCCGCGTAATTTGCAGCCTGAACAGGAATCGACAGCCTTGCGGTTGCGGGCAGAAATGCCCCGAGCCAAGTCGCAGGCCTTTTTCGATGAGCGACATGGATCGCAGGAGTGATTTTGTCGGCGTGGGCGTCGTCTGACCATGGAATACTTGCCCTTTGGGCTTGAATCCTGGATGTGGGATTCGCAAGTGATTGAATTTGTTAACCCATTAAGTTGAGCGTTGCCGTGGTTATCGATGATAGCCAGAGGAGGTGAGGGGGGAAACTGGGGAACAGGGTAATCCGGGGGCCAGGACAGCTCCAACTCCTCCAGTGAAGGAGGCTGCTGTCCTGTCCAATCTGTTCCTGGCGGAGTGAAGTTGGGGAGAAACTCGTCAATCACGCCATGTGTGTCGACAAAGCTCTGGTAGGTACTATCGCATGCTACCGCCGCTAGGTCGCGGAAATCAATGTGACCGAGACCATAAAAGGGTGCCACCGGATTGGCCGATAGATTGCAATCATCCTCTTCATGGCCAAGTGGCCAGCCCCAATGATGCGAGTCGTACGGTGAGAGTGACTCCATTGATGCAGTTGAGATTTTTGAAGAGGAGACTTCTAACTGTTATGGTAGCACAACTAAAGCTTCTGCCCCGTGCCCCGCCTTCAACCACCGTCTCCGTACGCGATGCGCGGGTCAGCCCAAAATCTTAATCTGGAGATAAAGTCGCTTCGTTCTTCGCGAGTTTCGCCACCACGCCACTGCACATATTCTCGAAGCCCTACAGAACTTCATTAAAGATAAGGACTATTCACCGCGTTCGGTTGATTTGATTTACAATCGAAATCCTCTGGAATCCGTTAAAATATCAGATATATGAAACCATGCGGGATCTACTGCGTATGCCTGCAGGCTCGCTATTAATGTCGCCGAAATCTCTAACAGGCTGGTAGATCCTTTCATCCCCGTATCATGTGGTTATCTATCCACGCGACCCAACGAATGCGCTGGCTGCCATTGGTGCCCGCAAAATTTCGTACGATATTAGTCAAAAATATAATCCTGTCAATAACCACTGAATGCGAATGCTCGAGTGACATTGCTATCTATACCAAGTGGGGTCAAACTGCGGAGCCGTCGGAGCCGCGGAGCCGCGGGATTCAAGCGATATTTTCACCATGTTTATCCCTACTAGGACCAACACCTGATTGGCTCCTGGACCAGTGAGTGACCCTGCCATGACAATTGACACGAAAATTTGACGCCTAAATTTCTTAATGGAATTGCTATCGCGATCGCTTCTTTTTGCCGTCCTGGGTAGCGGACCGATTGCTGGAAAGCTGCTAGATGATACCAGTGGTAGGAGTTACGTCAATGCAGTCGTTCACCATCTTGTCTTTAATTCTTTTTAGCGTCCTCTATCTAACTAATCGCTCGATTCTGGATATCTCGTGAGAGGTGGATCTGAATGAACCACTATACGCTTTGGCGGAAATACCAATTCTGGGCGAAACAAATTCATTGATCATCTCCCAAAATTGTAGTATGAACCATTATCTCTTCCGCCTACATTTATTGATATCTCGCCTCTTTCCACCAGCGAGACACTTACTTCGTAAACGTAGCAGGACTGGGAAGTGCAGAGGGGGTGTCCTTGCGAAGGTGGGTCTGGATCAGATGATCCCACGAGGCAGAGTCTTCAACACGAGGAGTGAATGCCTCAAAGTCCCAGAGGTAACCAAGGGTGCGGAGGATGGAACTGGCGGAGTAGGACACCGTTTCCCCCTGATTGTTGGTACCCTTTTGCTCAACAAATCCCTTGCTGACCCACGGAGATATAAGGAGAGTCGGGATACGGCCACCAAGGCGATTGAACTCATACGTGTAGGTCTCCCCATTTGGCGCTTTCTCAGTATAGGTAAGGTTGTCGGGGCGAGTAGCAAGAGGGGGAGGAACATGGTCATGGAAGCCACCACTCTCATCAAACGTCAGGATGAAGAGAGATTCCTCCCACTGAGGGCCGCTACGGAGCGCGTCGTAGACCTTCTTGATAAAGGCTTCACCATCAGAGATCAGACCGCTGTCGTGCATTGAGGTGGTGCCAACCCCACAGCAGGAGGGGTTCAGGTAAGAGAACTCGGGCAGATTCCCGTTAGCCGCGTCGGTATAGAATTGACCAATTGGCACAACCTTGTCGGTGTTGTTGGTTTCTTTGGTCCAGGAGAACCAGTGGCTCTCAGGACCAGTGCCGCCAGCGGTGTCCCAATAGTTGAGCCAAGTGTGGTTGGTTTCGTCCACTGCCTGGAAGATAGAGCGCTGGCTAAACGCATACGTCCCAAAGGTTGCATCATTAGTACCATGACCAGCAGAAGTGCCAGCAACAATGGCGAAGCGGTTGGGGTCAGTAGGCTATGTATAAGTCAGCAAGTGAGTCGCCAAATAAAGATAAAATGATTGTGTTTCACTTACCCCAGCGACGTCAGAGTGCCAGTGGTTAAAAGTCAAGAAGTTCTGGACTAGTGAGGTCATAACAGGAACCTCCTCCTCGGTGTAGTAGTTCATGACTTCCTCGGCCAGTTTAGACACGTTGGTAGACGAGCCGTAGTTGTGAATTTGCTCGTGGATGAACCCGTTGTTGTTCGCGACCAACTTACCGGAGGCAATCAAGGCATTGTCGGGGGTCCAGGTGCCAAAGAACTCCATGGTGTTGCCAGTGACGGCGTGGCTAGGGTCATTGGTCACCGAATTGTAATCTCTCGGGGCGGCACAATGGTGGCCCTGAGACGGATCGGTCACATTGTATGGGTTGCAGAAAGGGCCATTGTTGGTGGGGTTCTCTATGCCCTTATGCTTCTGACCACCCAAGAGGTTGTCCAGGGAGCGGTTTTCCATAGTAAGAACAACGACATTCTTGATCTTTGACTTCAAATTCTGAATGGAAGAAGACGAATGAGCCCGGTGAGGGCCAGAGGGAATGGCCGACGCAGCGGCAGCGAAGGCCAAGAGGCCGACAAGAGCGCTAGGATGCATGTTCGACGATTTATCTGGCGCACTTCTCTTGAACTAGGAAGAATCTGTCGTTGCACAGGTAGGGGCCTTGCTGATCAGTAGCATATCATGTTGCTTTTATATTCGAGTATGGGATCGGTGCCATCGCCGGTGTTTCTTTTTAGGCTGAACCTATGTTTGTACGTTGCATCCAATTAGGAGAATTATGAAGAAACGCATCTAACTAAATTAAAGGTTTCACGCTTCTATATCCATCGTCTCCAATGGAATGAGTTGGAAGGAACACGATGGACTCGACCAGCGCTGTCGCAAAAGATCGGCAGTGACCATTAGGTGACATTTACCCGCATCGTCAGGACCAATGTGAACATGAAAATAATACACGCCCCCCTGAGTATCCCCGCTGTGGCGCATTGGCGTGCGTCAATGTATCGAATCAGCAAGTGCTAAGCAATGGCGTGTCGGCCGGCCCTGGCACCGGCGTGTCGGCCCTCGCACCGGTGTGTCGGCCCTGGCACCGGCGGTACACTAAACCAAATTAAACAGTCGGTTAGCTTTCTCGGCTTAGTTAAGAGTTATTCGGCAGCGTACGGAGTAGTAGTTATTGATTTGGTACATCTTTTGGCTCAACGAAATTTCCATCCATTATTGATTGGTCTGTTTGAATAATCATATTGACATTGGTTGATGAGGGTTTGCAGAGCCACGTGTAGCCATACTCTACCCTATAGTTCAAACGCACGTTCGCGGTCGCACCCGTTCATATCTTTCAAGATGCGTTCAAATTCTATCTTTTAACCTCACAGTATAGGAAGCGGCGATGGAATATATAATACCCTTTCAAGATACCGGGTATATCCAGCCGCTTGAAAGTGAATACTAATCATTCTAATCTGCTAAATAAAACCAAGAGGAAATAGATATAGGCTTTCGGCAAGATTGATAACGATAGCATCATTGGTCTAGTGGTAGAATTCGTCGTTGCCATCGACGAGGCCCGTGTTCGATTCACGGATGATGCACTTCTTTTTTAGTTAGTTTTTGTCCACCATCACGTCGTCCTAATAAAAAACCAATTCCCAATAACATAAAGAGTATTGGGTTGTCCAGAGTTGCTCGCATCAGTAAACTGAACGCGCTCTGCAGCCAGAGTTATCTAACATTGACCAAAATCCTTAATTCATGAACAAGCCTAGGCATGCAATAATAATAGTTCCACCGTTTACGAGCGTATTACTGTTGCCTGTCCTCTGAGTCATCTATGAAGATCAGTTGATTAACCTATCGCGGGATGCCAATGCTGACCCTTAGAAACCTTCTCCCCAATTCTTCACAACGATCCTCATCTTATTCCTAGAACAATGTCTTCTTCACACCTACCAGCCATCGCCCCCCAAACATGGAGACGCACCGTAGTCGACGACGGATTCTTCATCTCGACTGACCCAACATTTCTATCGGTCACAGCTGTCAACGAGGCCTTCGGGCGCGACTTTCTATACTGGGCAAAACCAGTTCCGGAAAAGGTCATGCGACAAATGCTCTATGGCTCGCTATGCTTTGGCGCATATTATACAGACCGCAACGGTGTACAGAAACAGATAGGACTCGCGCGCATGATCACCGATAACACTACTTTCGCGTATCTGACCGATGTCTACGTTCTCCCCGAGTACCAAGGGCGGGGACTGGGCCGCTGGCTCATCGAGTGTGTGGCTGAGGTATTTCATCCGACCAACATGCCGTGCCTGCGGCGGATCATGCTTGTCACTGGGGACCAGCGCATGCAGGACTTTTATCAGAGGATCTTTGGTATGAAGGTCGTCGGCCAAGAAGAGCGCGAAGATATGGGCAAGGTGTTGACTTTTCTATGTGCGAGACCTAATGCTCAGCCATGATTTTGGGGAATGGGAAACATGTATACATAACAGTGAGACAAGGTGTTCATTAACTATGAACTTCATTGAATAGAAACAGCACCATAAAGTTAGGATGGCGATCCTCTCTACCATGGCAGCTGGAGAGGAGTAGGCAAGTTTTTGCCCAGAACACTTTCTGCTGTTCCAATATCCCTGATACAATCAGTACCATTTACTCAAATAGGAAAGCAACCACTTACCCTGGCCCTCTCGGTGCCCAGAACTCGCCAGTCTTGCTGAGATCGAAGCCTTCAATGAAAGATACAAGTGAGGTAGCAGCCTCGTCGGGTGTCACGGCTGTTTGAGACTAAGTTAAACCCCAAGCCAGAAAGAAAAGGGAATTTACTCACCACCGCCCACATCCCAGTATTTGTCGAATCCAACCCCCTTGGTCATCTCCGTTCGCATAAACCCAGGATGCACAAGCCCAACGGTAATCCCCTGCTCCTTCAGATCCAGACTGAGAAGCTTACCCACCATATTCAGCGCAGCTTTGCTAGCATGATGTCCAAAATTCCCTCCCCCTTCTTTCTCATGACGCAATGTGATGCTGCCACTCTCGCTGCTGACAAGAATCACCTTGCTCCCTTCTCCCAGTAGACCTGCCTTTACTAGATGGTGTACCACGAAGACGGGCCCAATGGCGGAAGTTGTATACATGCGCATCTGCTTATCCCAGTCCGGCGAATCAAACGTCTCAAATCCGAAATAACCCGCGGAGATGATGGCCGTTGAGATTTTGGCTGATCCAAGCTGGGTGATGAGTTTGTGGCCTACATCTGGCTGGGAAATGTCAATTCCCGTCAGCCAGGTGACGGACGAGTTGGACTTTTCCTCCGCTGCGGCCGAACGGGTGGTTCCAAATACATGAGTGGATGGTTTGGAGGCGTAGAGTGCCTTTAGAGAGGCACCCAGCCCTCGAGTAGCACCTACAATAAGAATATTGTTGCTGCTCATATTGAGGGAGTTTGTGTGAGAAGTGGTTGGGAATCTGTAGCGCCCTGTTGTTTGACGCCAGGGAAGACAAGAATGACGTAATGGGCAACTTGTAGTTGCACCGCAGGACTTTTCTTTGGGACAATTTTTACATAGCGAGAAATATCGAGGGCCCACTCCTGTTGTTTCATAGTGTTCACGGTCAAACGCTCATAATAATCAATATCGGGAATCTATGTTTTCCTTATAGTTCAAGTCAATCTTTATCTAGCGGTGGCCATCGTCCATGCAGGAGTTGAGTCTGATATCAATTCGCCCATTTGATCTACCCTCTAACCCCAGTGACACAAATCCCGTCGCACACTGATCTATCTACTCTACACGCTACATCCCGAGTACTGTTTTTATCGTTTCATTCTCTCCGATGGTGATCTGAAGATCCTCTAGCTTAGTCAGATGCATTCTCCAAGCCCATTCTAGGTTTCAGATTCAGCCTGGAAGGGCGTCTCCCTATGGGTTGCAGGGCCGAGGATGACTGGCCTGGCCAAATTCGTGAACTCCGTCAGAAAAGTGCGCGCGGCCATCAAAGCAAAGAAGGTGACTAAGGATGGTCTCGCCCGCGACATCCCCGGATCGTGTTCGTCGCTGGGGTAAGCTTGAATGTTTCGTTCGCGCGCACCCCCTAAAAAGCCATTTGCTGACCTGTCCACAGTCTGGGTCAAACAGTCACGCTTATGACCGCCTCACCATGGAAGCTTCCTGTCGAGATCCAGGTCCAGATATTTGCCTACTGCGGCATCTCTGACTTCCTGCCGCTGAAGCTGGTCTGCAAGGCCTTTTACGAGCTGCTCCTCGTCCATGAGCACTCGATCGTCCGCGAGTACATGCGCCTTCGTCGTCACGGAACCCTTCCCTCCCCCATTGACTCGGAACGAACATACACGCGCAACCCGGAAGATGATGTCGTGCTCCTTTCCGATCTGTTCCCTCCTGCGAAGAGCGCCAAGGGCGGCCACCTCTACACCTTCAAATACGTGCATGGCTTGCGTCGGCGGCAAAACCTCTGCTCTAGGCTGTGTTATTACCTCGCAGATCGTGTCATGGACCGCTTCGTGCAGTGTGAACCGGCTTTTGTCCGCGCTTCATTCCCGTCACGGAATGAGCGCAATGCTCTTGTCCGGCGAGGGAAAGTCAGCGTGTCGTTTAACCTGACACCTCTAATGTGAGTAGAGGGATCTTTTTCTAGTGAGCTCCAACTCATATCGGCCAGGTTCTACACACTCTATTTCCTAGAATCGTACGCCTCCGCAAGACGCGAGCACACCAACATGCTCCTGCGCGATTTCGAAGCCGGCCGAATCCCAGTACCCATCCCACTTGGCGTCCGTCAATCCATGTACCGGGATTTACAAACCCGCATCCTCCGCGCTCCGCCGTTTACCGATACAGCTACACTCGTGGCGACGCACCACTGCATGCAGTTGCTAGTCTCGTACATCCGCTACACAATGTCCCCTGAAGGTGGCCATGACGATTCCTGGATTAGTTCCCTGCTTACGCGGGCGCCGTTTGTGCGAATCCTTGAATTCTTCTCCGCCGAGATCGGAGACGGGGGCAGCCAGCTTAGGCAGCGCAAGGATTTCATGAATAATTTCCATCGTGATATCAAGATGCACGAAAAGGACGATATGAACTCCGTGGTCTTTGCGCGTGCGGCGGATGAGCACCTGCATAGCGACGTGCGTGATATCTGGTTTGATGCGGCTCGTGCGGAGATGGCGGCTAGGCAGGCCATTCCTCATGATGTTGAGCATGTCTGGGTCTGGAACGGTGTTCCGATTCTCTTTGGATGCCAGGATTGTCATTTTGAGGAGGGTTGGCGGGCATGATTACGGTTGCGTCGGGCGTTTTCTTCTCTTTCGAAGCATGGACGGTAGCGTTGGCATTGGAGTTGAATGTTTATTATTCCCCAGGGTCTGGCATAAATTAAACCCATTTCTCTTTCGGTATTATTGAAACGATCATATTCAAAAACTGGGTATACTTCACTATTGTATTGTAGTATGTATATGTGTTTGTTGTGTTTGCACGTCGATAACAAGTTGCAGAACATCCACCTTCAGCTCACCATGGGAATGCTCGCCAAATAGACAATAATCACTCCCAGTCGCCATGGAGCAGGGTGACCCGCGCCAGCTGCTCAACACCTCCTGGACCCTCCACCGTCTCTCGCCTCTCCACCATGGCAAGGACTGTGAGACGCTCCTGGATGACCCCGCCGCCTTGAAGACTTACGCGACGCGCCTACGTGACTACCTCACCGGCGATGTCCTCGCCGGAATCCACGCCAGCGCGACCACCGCAGACGATGACGCGTTGTCCAAGACGGGCGCGCTAATGGGATGTCATTGGCAATCGCTGTCAGGATGGGGGGCGCTCAACAATGACGATAGCACCTCGTTTCCCGGGATTCTGGTGACCCTGGAATATGAAAACGTCACCTACAAAGCAGCACTGCTAGCGGAAGCGGAGACATCACCGCAATCGAGCCAACAGAAAGGGTCAACGGCTCTCCCTCTACTCTTGACGCGATTTCCCACCGCGCTGCGCCAGACATTCATCGTGTTCCTATCCTCGAACTTCGACACTTACTGCTCACCCCTGCGCCTACAATCAAGTTTCTTATGTACAAGTCTCGAGACATACATCGACGTGCTGCACGATGGCAGTGCGACGCGCCCCAGCGGATCCACCGATCTCGTCGAAGATGTGATCAAGGAGCTACAGCTGACCCTATCATTCTCACCACTTGTCGCGCCGGCGCTGCGAACTCTCAATGTGAACGTGTCGCGATCTTCGCTAGAGGGGTTCTTGCATGAGCAGCCAACCGCGTCTCGGGGTCGCTCGCTGCGTCAGAAACTGCGCAGTCCGCTAATTGGCAATCTGACTTCTTATTTGGAAACGCATCTCGCTATGAATGTCGATCTCGATGGCTCCAGGACCGGCAACCAGCCGTCTAAACAGCATGTTCGCCTGTCCAAGGTCGCTTGTGCGGCTTTTGTGCTTGGTAGCGAAGGACGCATGAAGCTGGTTGTGAATACCGAGCGGGAGGACGAGGATGCTGAGGCGAGCAGTGGGAGACGAGATCATCTTGCGCTGCGGGCGAGTCTGACTCTATTAGAGTCGGTAATTCGCAGGGCGGTTATTGGGGACCATGCGGCTACTTGAGTCTGACTGAGAGTGCCAGTTGCAAGATTGTACTATGGTGCAAGTGAATTGCCTCCGCGCAGAAGTCAGCGGTGCAATACAACTATCTTCTAGTCAAGAAAAGGTTCACCATCTCATCGGACTCGAGTGCTTCAACTTGACTCTTCACTGCTGCCGACAAGTCCCAAATACCACCCTCATGCACCAAATCATGACGAAAGGTGGCGATGTTGCCATCTTATGCCGCGGCATCCTCGCGTCCGCCTCTTCCTTGTGGTAGCCAACCACCGCGCTATGCCTTGTTCCAAAAGTATTTTGACCGATGCTTTGTTTGCGCAAGGAGACACAAAGCACGCCGTCGATGAATCAAACCAAGGAGCCATGACTGCTGCCATTGGTTCTCTTAACTCGCCTGGCTCGAAGCTGTCCGCGCTTCTTCCAACGGCAATGAGCCTTTGTCGAGCCGCATACCGACTGAAGATGAGGCGACCTATTATGTTGTAAAGCATTAGATAGGTGGAAACAGAGCAAAGCAGAGCAGGTCTTGTTATAAAGAAGAAATATCAATTTCGATGTATCTACAAGTTAAAACTCATTACAATCTTTTTTCAAAAATCAGCCGTCTCATCATCAAACTGTACAAAAAGAACAAAGTGCCAGCCAACCGCCGTCTAAATCTCGTGAATGTGCTCCTCCGTCTCCGCCAATCGAAGCGCCTCATCCACACTCGGCACAAAGTGCAGGAGCCCACCACACTGCTCCACAATGCCACTGCGCTCAAACATCGAAAACACCTCTGCATTCGGCAAGCGACAGAAGTATACTTTCGTCCCGTTCTCGGTGTACGTGCGTACAATTTCCCAGAGCACCTGCGTGCCCGAGCCATCGATGCTCGTCACGCCGTGTACGTCGAAGACAATGTTCCTGTTATTTTCCGCAGGGCGCATGCGCGGCAGAGACGGGTGTGCGCGGCTCGAGCCGTATAGTTCCAATCGGCGGAGACGGTTTTTCAGATCGCCGGTGTTGGCGAAGGTGAGGGGTTCGGGGATTTTGACGACCAAGGCGCCTTCGACTAATTCGATGTTCTCCGGGCGGAGTTCTGCGTTTTCGAAGCGCGCTGTGCCGGGTACTTTGCCTAGAATCTGGATACGTGGTTTGGTCGAGTGCCGGATGAGGATTATGACTGATAGCCCGATGCCGAAGGCCATGCCTAGTTCGAGGGAGTAGAAGATTGTGGTTAGGAAGATGAGCAGCATGAGACTTAGTTCGGTCCAGCCGCGGAGACGGAAGAAGAATTTAATGTCCGAGGGGCATTCTTCCACAAGGGTGAAAGCCACAACGGAGATCATGGAGCAGAGGACCGGTTTCTGGGTGGTGTGGTTAGTGGTGAGACTTTAAAGAAAAGGATGAACTCACGGGAAGGTAGTAGAGATACGGCAGAAGCACGAAGATACAGACTAGTGTGATAGCACTCAGAAAGACATTGCTCATGGGCGAGCGCGCGCCGGTCTGCTGATTGACTCTGCTTCGTCCGTACCCGCCAAACGCAGGGAGAGCCATGAAACAACCGCCGACCACATTTGCAACGCCTAGAGCGACCATTTCCCGATTGGCACTGATGTTCATACCCTTGATGCCGTCAGGACAGCCGTCACCCAGACCTTTCGCGGCAATCGACGACTCGAAGAAGCCAAGAAGGGCAATGATGAACGCCTTGCTCATGGCGGTGCGAACGTGCTTCATATGCGCAAATTGGAACGGCCATTGGAAGACAAATAGGCGACTGGAGCTGATCTCGGTATGGCCCAGCAGCTCGAGGCCTTTATCCTCCCAGTCGAGTTTCCAAGCGAGAATGGCAGAGAGGACCACGACTAGGAAGCGGTCAGGGAAGTAAATCACTTGTGGATAGCGTGGCATCAGCCACTTCTTCAGTGTTCTATGGTAATCAATCAGTAGTGTTACATCTGTAACATCTCTTGGGTACGCACCGGAAGATCATAATGACGACGAAACTAACAACAGACACCGCAGCAGTGAGCGCATGCGAGTCTCTGATGTTCTGGACAATAAATACCAGTTTCTGTGCTGTGGTACCGTGGCTAGCACCCGACTCTTGGGCCGGGTCTGCCAGTCCCAGTTCCGGGATGAGCTGATCCACGAAGATCACAAAGCCAATAGCGGTAATGAAGCCTCTCAGGAACGGTCGGCTGAGAACATTGTCCAAAAAGCCCAGGCGAGTCAGGCCCGCAACGAGAATCATGGCACCCGCCATGGAAGTGGCTACGCCTACGACCATGGCGCTAGCCATACTATCGTCCTCGCCCGAGTGCCCCTGCGAGATGCTCGCCTTGACAATTGCTCCTGTCAACAAAGAGCCGGCAGCTTCTGGACCGACAACCAAGAGCGGACAGCTTCCGAGTAGCGCGTAGACCAGAGGATTAATCACGAAAGAATAAAGGCCGTTGATGGGTGGTGCATGTGCAAGGTTAGACGCCAACGACAGCGCCATGGGGATATATATAGACGCGATCGTCAGTGCCGCGATGAAGTCTCCACGAATAAACGACCAGCGATATTGCCCAATCCAGGTGAAGAAAGGAATGTAGTATGAGAAGTACCTGCAGGCAAATGAACCGTTAGTCTCCTTTGGCTGGACGACATTGGAAAGCTGGCTTACAATTTCTTCTGGTCATTCATGGAGAGCGCCGAGAGAGAAGATTTCATTTGCGACAGATTCTCCGAGTCCGGCCGGTCGTCTGGCCCGGAACCCTCGCCGCCGTCGCCTATTCCGTGCTCGAATCGGAGGCCTGAGGATCCAGGCCATGATTGCCGTTCTCCGTCTTCGATCCGTGGAGAGAAAGTGCCATGGCTGCACCGCTTGGAGCCACAGACGGGGTCTTCTTGTCGGTAATACGAGTCCAACAGGCGTGTTCTTGCGTCCGGTTCCCTGGAATTGCCCACTGGTGGCGTCCTTCTATGACTGCTCCGTGTTCCATCCCCAACAGATTCCTCTGGCGGCGGGGTTGAGCTGCCGGTCTGGCGGAAGGCATCGACGATTCGGTCTCGCAGGGAACGCCGGGACTCCGGCTCTGGCTGGAGCAGTGAACTGGACTCCGACATTCTTCTTCCTGGCGTGACGGAACAGGCTGGTCGGTATGCAGCGCGGGTCGTTGTCTGCTGCAAGTATGTATTGTCTGAGGGAATTATTGCCCTTGCGAGTTAGCAAGGGCGGTTGCCACTAGTTTAGCGGGGAACCAGTATAGCTTGCTTGACCACTGAGACTGGAGCATCGCAGGCGGGGTTGCGACAGCGGTAGTGGTGGAACGCTGCCTGGAGGAGAGCGGAGGGCGGATCTCTCCGCCACTTGTCTCATGAATTCTCATTCATCTATTTCCTGGCATAGATTGTTCGCCATATACACCCGACGTAGGATAGATCTGGGCGGTGAACTCATCACGTGACCCGCCGTGAAAATTGTGGGTTTTGGGCACAAAGAGAGATTGACTCGATTCATATTGTGCTTCCCGTGCAACGTTCTTTCCCCCTTCCCTTCCCCAGTCTGCCCTCCCACTATCTCTCTTCGGCTTCGACTGTCTCGCTCTCCTGCAACCCACCATTTCTCTCTGTTCTTTAAATACTGGCCTTGTTTCCCTGACCGAAGACCCAACACACTGCCCCGCCAAGATGTCGTTGACAAATTGTCGGTTCTACGAGGAGAAGTACCCGGAGGTGGACAGCTATGTCATGGTCAACGTGAAGCAGGTATGTATCTTCACCACGGACTTGGCAGTCTCGTCTAATTCCGTGAACCGAGTAGATCGCCGAGATGGGCGCATACGTCAAGCTGCTCGAGTACGACAACATTGACGGAATGATCCTGCTCTCCGAACTTTCACGAAGACGTATCCGCAGTATTCAGAAGCTGATTCGAATTGGGCGCAACGAGGTGGTGATTGTTCTGCGTGTCGACAAGGAGAAGGGTTACATCGATCTGTCGAAGCGTCGTGTCTCCCCCGAGGATGTGGTCAAGTGTGAGGAGCGGTACAACAAGAGCAAGGCGGTGCACTCAATCATGCGCCACGTTGCCGAGGCCACGCAGGTGCCCCTCGAGACCCTATACCAGCAGATTAGCTGGCCATTGAACCGGAAATACGGTCACTCGCACGACGCCTTCAAGCGCTCCATCACGTAGGTCTACCCTGACGCTGGCCGTGAACACCCTAACTGGGATCTTCTAGGAACCCGGAAGTGTGGAAGGATATCGAGTTCCCCAGCGAAGCCGTGAAGAAGGAGCTGCAGCAGTACATCAGCAAGAAGCTCACCCCGCACCCCACCAAGGTGCGTGCCGATATCGAAGTCACCTGTTTCGGTTACGAGGGCATCGACGCTGTGAAGGAGGCCCTGCGCACCGCCGAAGTGGAAAACACCGCCGAAAACCAGATCATGGTCAGGCTGGTAGCTCCGCCGCTGTACGTTCTGACCAGCCAATGCCTGGACAAGAACCAGGGTATCGAGATGCTGGAGGCTGCGATCGAGCGGATCTCGGCCAACATCAAGGGCGCCAACGGGAACTGCTCCGTCAAGATGGCACCCAAGGCCGTTACCGAGCACGACGATGCCGTTCTCCAGGAGCTCATGGAGAAGCGCGAGCGCGAGAACATGGAGGTCAGCGGCGACGAGAGTCAGTCTGAGAGCGACGAGGGTGTTCCCGAGTAAAGGATGCGTGGTACTCGGAGTCGCGGGCATCTCTTTTTCAGCATTGGGGGAGGGAAAACAAAACCATCGGAGGAGGAAGATAGAAAAAAGTCCTTGCACTTTGACGCGATCAATCCGCCCTTCAGTCCGGGCAGCCTGCCTGCACTTCGGGCCTGGGGATGATGAAGCCATTATCCACCAGCGCTGGCCGAGCAGAGTGCCAGCTGGGGTCCATCCATTTTTCTGATGTACATATGTTGTGATGCAACCGAAACGTTTCAATGCCAGTGAGACTACTTTAGAGCTCTAAGGACCGGTATTTCCTCGTACTCGTATGCATAACTTAACTAGCGGTGAAATTAGATTCTGATCGCAGATCTCATTACTCTAGTTTGGGGCCGATCGGATGGATCTCCTTTCCCCTCTCAATTTTCTTGGCCTTCCGCTTTTTCTCTCTTCTTCTTGCAACATCCCCTATTCTAGCCCTTTTTGAACCGAAACGATGGGCCATTGGAGAGACATCTTCGCCACCGACGCACGCCGCACGCGCCATCGCGTCCAGGTCGAGCGCCGTCGCCGTACGTCATCAGAAAATAAACACCGCCCTGAAAATCACCAATGACGCAACTAACGAGATCGCAGTGCTCCCCGCGTACGCCGCCGACGAGCCGCAACCATCACAATCTTCCAAAGAGATTGCCAAGGTTGCGCTCCGGCTTAAGTACCAGATCGAGCAGGTTATTCCATGCGAGGTGCAGGAAAGCACCCTCACCGACCCAAATAGCAAGCTCATCACGCCAGCCGTGGTCGAGACGGCTAAGCGGGCTGGCGGGGAGGACTACAAGGCCTGTGTGCTTTATTGTCTTCTTGTTTGTCTGCGCTGGTTCAAGATCCAGGCGTCGATTGAGCTGTGGGATGCGGATCTTCATGAGATGCGCGCTGTGGCCTGCGAGGTCATTGCGAAGCAAATGTAATATTTCCCGCCTTTGTTTGGGACGTGCAAAGCTAATGGCAGAGACAGAATTGAAGAGGAGCAAGACCAAGAGTATCTGCTCAAAGAGATCTTGCTCAAGCGATACTCGATTTTCGTAGAGGGCGTCGAAACTGACCCTGCCAATGTCATCGAACGGTCCGTCGACCTCCACGCGTTGCGGATCATCGGATCTTCTGGATATCAGAAATGTATCCAGTACCTCTGGCGTGGCTGGATCTGCCAAGAAGATGGCAATCCAACCAACTTCGTCTCGTACGAGGACAAGGATAACACCGACTATTGGGTTCACTTCCATCCTGACCGCATGAGAACTCCGCTTTACCAGAATGTCTGCCAGATACTGTTCTCTCTGATCTACCTCGCCATATACACGGCTGTTATCAACACTGTGAATCCAACTGGTGATCTTGATGTCGCGGAGGGTATCCTCTACGGGATGACTCTTGCATTCATCTGTGACGAAGCAGTGAAGTTCTGGAAAATCGGATGGAATTACATTGAATTCTGGAATGCATTCAACTCAACCCTATACACACTGCTGGTTGTTTCATTCGTCTTGCGCATTGTGGCTCTCGCGCACTCGCCTTCCGCCAGTGATGAAAACAGACAATTGTACAACACGCTCAGCTACAACTTCCTGGCGTTTGCTGGCCCGATGTTCTGGATCCGCATGATGCTCTACCTGGACTCCTTCAAGTTTTTCGGGGCCATGTTCGTCGTCCTTCGCGTGATGATGAAGGAGAGCTTGATTTTCTTCGCGCTTCTCTTTGTCGTCCTGGCCGGCTTCTTCCAGGCTTTCATTGGAATGGCCCAGGTTGATGCCGATGTTCCCATGTCCAGAGCTATCATCCAGGGCATGGCGAATAGTGTCATGCAGAGCCCTGAGTTTGAGACGTTTCAGGGGTTTGCGTTTCCCTTTGGGATTATTCTCTACTACGTTTTCAACTTCATTGTGATGATCGGTATGTTTTCTTCTACTTTTTGTCCGTGCTATGAACTAATTCCCGCTAGTTCTCCTCAACATCCTCATTGCGCTCTACAACAGTGCGTATGAGGATATCTCCGGCAATGCCACGGACGAGTACATGGCCATCTTCGCCCAAAAGACAATGCAATTTGTCCGTGCCCCAGATGAGAATGTATTCATCCCACGTATGTATCCCTCCCCAACAAGCAATTACCACTAACCATCTCTAGCATTCAACCTCCTGGAAATGATTTTCCTCGTCGCCCCATTTGAATGGTGGCTGACGCGCGAATACTACGCCAAAATGAACGATATCATCATGGGCATAATCTACTCGCCCCTTCTCTTCCTGACCGCCTGGCTCGAAACCCGGGAAGCGTATCGGATCCGCTGGAACCGCAGCCGAGGCGAGGAAGATGATGACTCCACGCAGGAGTGGGAGGATGTAGCTGAGGATGTGAACTTTGACCTGGATGATACCTGGAAGCTGCAGGTGAGCGAGTCGAAGCCCGATATCAAAACTGATACTACGGCACTGGAGATTCAGCAACTCAGGGAGCAGATTCAGGCATTGACAGAGATGGTTAAGGCTATGGGACAGGCGAATGGCGGGAATTGATCTGTGCCTATTCGTTGCAGAGTATGTAGCTAGTTTGTTTTGAGTTTTCTAACCCATTGATATGTTGATATTTGTCTTGCGTTTGAACATTTGCCTCGTGGTCCAGAATTGTGAACCGCCCCTCGACGTATACATACATTCTTTAAAACCTGGGATCAACAAACCAATTCCTGAGGGGCAATATCATTAAAACAACACTAGGAACAAGTAATAATATCCGATCTTTTGCCACCATCAACCGTCAGCGTCCATATACTTCGACCTACTTCTAGTCCCGTGCACGTCCTTTATCGATAGATATTACATAATCCGGTAAATGGTCCGTGCGCTCGGCGGCGAATCCAATTAATCTCTCCGTGGCTTCTTCTTCGTGTTTTGCTCATCCTTCTTTTTTCCCGTTCGTTGTTGGAGGGTCATTTTCTTCTTTTCGTGTGTGTGTTGGACCCCTGAGTGTGGTCCTCCAAGCGCCACCATGTGAGTTCATTCATTGCACAGACACGACATCAACTAACCCATCTCTTCAGGGTCAAACTGGCCGACGACCCCCAGATCGAATATGCGTCCCTGCACAACCCTCTCCCGCTGCAGCTGCACACATATGTGTGGCCCTTCCTGATAATCTGGCCTATCTTCTTCGGCTTCTACCTCTCTCCAGAGCGCTATGATACCTACATCCAGGGCCAGGAATGGACTTTCGTCTACAGCGGATCCATCATCACGGCCCAGTCCCTCCTATGGTTGATGACCAAGTGGAACATCAACATCAACGCCCTGTTCACCACAGTCAAGGCTAAGTCTATCGACTCTGCCCAGTTGATCAAAGTGATCCCCATCACCAATGCCGGCACCGCGGAGATCTGCCCCCTGATCCATGACAACACCGCTGGAAAGAAGACCATCTCGTTCCTGTTCCAGAAGCGCCGATTTCTCTTTTACCCCGACCGCCGCTCTTTTGCGCCATTGTCTTATGTCCTCGATGCGGAACCCAAGCCTGCCCTCAGCTACTTCCAGGAGAGCCAGGGCTTGACAACCAAAGCCGACATTGAACGCGTGCACAACCACTATGGAGACAACACCTTTGACATCCCTGTCCCCTCGTTCATTGAGCTCTTCCAGGAGCATGCCGTGGCGCCATTCTTCGTTTTCCAGATATTCTGTGTTGGACTGTGGATGCTGGACGAATACTGGTATTACTCGTTGTTCACGCTGTTTATGCTGGTGGCTTTTGAAAGTACGGTGGTCTGGCAGCGCCAGCGGACTCTGAATGAGTTCCGTGGTATGAGCATCAAGCCGTACGATGTTTGGGTGTACCGCAATCGCAAATGGCAAGAAATCACTAGTGACAAGCTTCTTCCCGGCGATCTGATGTCTGTCAATCGCACCAAGGAGGATAGTGGCGTGGCCTGTGACATTCTTCTGGTCGAGGGCAGCGTGATCGTGAACGAGGCCATGCTTTCTGGCGAGAGCACGCCTCTCCTGAAAGACTCGGTCCAGCTTCGGCCCGGCACTGACTTGATTGAACCCGACGGTCTGGACAAGAACTCGTTTGTCCATGGAGGAACCAAGGTCCTGCAGATCACCCACCCGAACTCAAACGGAGAAGAGACTCCCAAGAACATGGCCACTGGTATCACCATGCCCCCGGACAATGGTGCTCTGGGAGTGGTTGTCAAGACTGGGTTTGAAACCAGCCAAGGCAGTCTCGTGCGCACCATGATCTATTCTACCGAACGTGTTTCCGCCAACAACGTCGAAGCCCTGCTGTTCATCCTCTTCCTTTTGATTTTCGCGATCGCCGCTTCATGGTACGTGTGGCAAGAGGGTGTGTCGAAGGACCGCAAGCGATCGAAGCTGTTGTTGGATTGTGTTCTCATCGTCACAAGCGTCGTTCCCCCGGAGCTTCCCATGGAACTGAGTTTGGCGGTCAACACCAGTCTGGCAGCCCTGAGCAAATTTGCCATCTTCTGCACTGAACCATTCCGTATCCCCTTCGCTGGCCGTGTGGACGTTGCGTGCTTTGATAAAACCGGTACCCTGACTGGCGAGGACCTCGTCGTGGACGGCATCGCGGGCCTGACTCTGGGTCAAGCCGGTGCCGCTGTGCAACCAGATGGTGCTCATACCGAACTGGCCAAGGCAACGGCCGTTGGCCCGGACACGACTCTTGTGCTGGCAAGTGCCCATGCCCTCGTGAAATTGGATGAGGGTGAGGTTGTTGGTGACCCAATGGAAAAGGCCACTTTACAGTGGCTTGGCTGGACCCTGGGCAAGAAGGATACCCTTACCTCCAAGGGTGTTGCCCCGATTGTCGGTTCGCGTCCTGTTGAGTCTGTTCAGATCAAGCGCCGCTTTCAGTTTTCGTCTGCCCTCAAACGCCAAAGCACCATCGCTACCGTTACCTCAACTGATCGGAAGACCTCCAAGAAAAGCAAGGCAACCTTCGTCGGCGTCAAGGGTGCTCCTGAAACCATCCGGGGCATGTTGGTCAACACGCCGCCTCACTACGAAGAAACCTTTAAGTACTTCACTCGCAACGGCGCTCGTGTCCTGGCCCTGGCCTACAAGTATCTCTCTACGGAATCCGAATTGTCTCAAGGTCGCATCAACGATTATACTCGGGAGAATATTGAGTCGGATCTAGCCTTTGCCGGTTTCCTTGTTCTGCAATGCCCTCTGAAGGAGGATGCCATCAACTCTGTTCGCATGCTGAATGAGAGCAGTCACCGAGTGGTTATGATTACTGGTGACAACCCGCTGACCGCTGTGCACGTCGCTCGTAAAGTCGAAATCGTGGATCGGGAGGTGGTCATCTTGGATGCTCCCGAACACGACAATTCAGGAACCAAGCTGGTCTGGCGCACTATCGACGACAAGCTCAACACCCCCGTGGATCCCACTCAGCCTCTGGACCCGGAGATCTTGAACAACAAGGACATTTGTATCACTGGATATGCCCTCGCAAAATTTAAGGGCCAAAAGGCTCTCCCCGATCTGCTTCGCCATACCTGGGTCTATGCCCGCGTGTCTCCCAAGCAGAAGGAAGATATTCTCCTCGGACTGAAGGATGCTGGCTATACCACTCTGATGTGTGGTGACGGCACGAACGACGTTGGTGCCTTGAAGCAAGCCCATGTCGGTGTTGCCCTTCTGAATGGCTCGCCCGATGACCTGGTCAAGATCGCCGATCACTATCGGACCACCAAGATGAAGGAGCTGTATGAGAAGCAGTGTAGCATGATGCAACGATTCAACCAGCCTGCCCCTCCAGTGCCTGCTCAGATCGCTCATCTCTACCCGCCTGGCCCCAGCAATCCGCACTACGAGAAGGCCATTGAAAGAGAGGCGCAGAAGAAGGGATCCGCCATGACAGCTGCCGGTAACGCCGAGCAGATCCCTACTATCACCTCTCCTGGCGCTCAGGCCTTGCAGCAGTCTTCATCGACCATGACTCCTCAACAGCAGAGACATCAGCAGGCTTCTGCGGCGGCAGCTGGTTTTGCGGACAAGCTTACCTCGTCCATGTTGGAGCAGGAGCTGGATGAAAGCGAGCCCCCCACCATCAAGCTGGGCGACGCATCCGTGGCTGCCCCGTTTACGAGCAAGCTGGCCAACGTTATTGCTATCCCCAACATTATCCGTCAAGGCCGTTGCACTCTGGTGGCTACAATCCAGATGTACAAGATTCTGGCGCTGAACTGTCTGATCAGTGCGTACAGTCTTAGTGTTATCTACTTGGATGGAATCAAGTTTGGCGACGGTCAGGTTACCATCAGCGGTATGCTGATGAGTGTGTGTTTCTTGTCCATCTCTCGCGCAAAGGTATGTTTGTCTCGTATCTTCTATATGGCACCTGCTAATAGCTTCATAGTCTGTCGAGGGTCTCTCCAAGGAACGCCCGCAGCCGAACATCTTCAACGTGTACATTATCGGATCTGTTCTTGGACAATTCGCAATCCACATTGTGACTCTGATCTATCTGTCAAACTACGTCTATTCGATTGAGCCGTATGTGACGCGCTCTTTTTTTTTTTTTTTTTTTTTTTTTGGCCATGTACTAACCTTTCCCAGGAGACAAAGCGACGTCGACCTCGAGGGCGAGTTCGAGCCATCCTTGCTCAACAGCGCGATCTACCTACTCCAGCTGATCCAGCAAATCTCCACCTTCTCAATCAACTACCAGGGTCGTCCCTTCCGCGAGTCCATCCGCGAGAACAAGGCCATGTACTGGGGCCTCGTCGCCGCGTCGGGTGTGGCATTCTCGTGTGCGACGGAGTTCATCCCCGAGATCAACGAGAAGCTGCGCCTGGTCCCCTTCAGCAACGAGTTCAAGCTCACCCTGACTGTGCTGATGATCTTCGATTACGGTGGCTGCTGGCTAATCGAGAACGTCCTCAAGAACCTCTTCAGTGACTTCCGTCCCAAGGATATCGCTGTCCGCCGTCCGGACCAGCTGAAGCGCGAGGCTGAGCGCAAGGCCCAGGAGCAGATCGAGGCTGAGGCGAAGCAGGAGTCGCAGCGGAAGGTTTAGTTTGACAATAGCGAGAGATTTGGTTGTACGAGTAGGTGAGTATACATAGAACCAAGGTGGATTCCTCTTTTGTTGTTTGTTTGGTGAGACAGACCGTTCATAGAAATGTCCATGTCGACCAGATATGATGAATTTAATACATGGCTTTTTTTGTCAATGCTTTTTCTTGTAGATTTCAATTGTCTAACAGGGTATAGTCTATGAAAAAAAAATGCTCTCTTGTCTATTCTGAATCCTCAAGCAAGCGCCCAACCTTTGTCGGAGGAAGCAGCGGAAGCTCCACTGGACCCGGTACTGAATTTTGAGCCCAGTAGACAATTCCATGTCGCAGCCAGGCCGCATATGTGCCCGGAACAATATCAACGCCCGGATTGTCCCGCCACAGCGAGCCGAGAGTAACCTTGTTGACGCGCAGAATGAGGCCATGCGCAAGCTTGAAGCCGAAGCTGCGCGACAGACAGGCCTCAACGATCTCGCGGGCTTGTCTTTGTTCATCGGATTCTTGTTCCCCGTCTTTGGGCAGGGATAGCGACATGAGATCAAATGCCCTCTGTCCATCCCACGCCGTGAACTCGTTGATGAGCTGCGATCCTTCCATGAACTCGATGGCATACACATGTGCCACACTATACGCTGGTCCGTCCCAGCTGTCCTGGGCATCCACCAGCCCCATTACTGCCGTGGCCGCCTGGCCCTGGATGATGTAGTCCGTCAGCATGCGGCTCACCTCGTCGGGTCCGATGAAGCTTCCATCGTCCTCGGTGATGGTGAACGCGCCGCCCATGAGGGGTATACCGCGCAGCAGTGGGCTGGCATGCATTCCATCGGTGCTCGTTTTGCCGCCATCGGCTCCCCAAAGCGCGAGGAGTAGCTTCTGGCAACGTGCGAAGAACGCGTTACCCGGCAACGCGGCGAGGAAGTAGTTGGTTATGCTGTATTTGTCGGTATCGCCGCCGCTATAGCAGAGGACCTCATAGGGGGAGTCTGGATTGGCAATGGTCTCATTCCATAGTTTATCCAAGTCGCCAATCTGCATCATCCCCACGTCCGCGTAGACGCCGCCATGCTGCAGGATCAGCGGCCAGCGTACAAGGTCTGAAGTATGCTGTAGTCCGTAGGTGCCGGTAATGGTCCCATCGATAAAACAGCGCGGGAAAAGCGCTGGATCCGTGACATCTAGGAAATTCTCGACATTGCCTTTCGACCCTGGTTGGCGGTCCATGATGCGAATTGTCCACCCTTGCTTAGCGAACCGGCGGTGCCATGCGCGTACCGTGCGCTGTGTGTACGGATGCATGTGCGCGTAGCCTGAGTGCCAGAAGAACCAGATGTTCTTAACGTCTGTGACTGGTGGGGGATGCAGCAGATCAAAGTCGATGTCTGCATCGGGGCGTAGATCGAGCAGCTCCGAGGGGATGGCGTGCATCCCAGAGGGAAGGGGATATTCCATGGTAAAGACCGAAGTAGAAGCGGAAGCAGAAATAGTATTAGATGCAAGCATATGCTGTTGTAAAAACCCAATGGTGGTTGAATTGGCATTGCTAACCATGTGGTGGTCTTGCTTTTATAGATCTTGAATAGAGCAGCCAATCACACTAATGGGTCAAGGTGAGTGAACGTGAGTCAGGTTCATCCATATCCACTTGCTCAGCCTTCCCGGAGTGAGCCAAGCCCGTTTAAGGCTGGCGTGTCTCAGATAAGGCTCGGGAAATAAAAAGCGAGTATATTATTCATTAAGGCTTAATAGGTACATGACCTTTGTCAGTAATAATGACACTCTTTTGCTTGTAGAACGATCTCGGCGGGTCATTCTCCCGAAAGAGCAGCTGGGGTCGATCATTGAGATCGATGTCACCTCTCCCTCCCAAACTCCTCGATGACTTCTGTTCTTTCAATTGCAAGACAATTCAGCTCCTTTTCTTTTCCTTAAACGCTGCATATTATTATTAAATATATTTCCGTCACCATTGAATCATTCACCGCATCGCCCACAACCCCACTTGATGATCTCATCGCGGACACTTCTCCGTCTGCGTCGTCTCTCACTTCTTACTCTGCACACTCACAGCACAAGACGATCATCCAACATGTCCGCCAAACTGAGTCTGCAATCAAAGTATCCTCTGCAATCGGGCCATGAGATTCCGGTTCTAGGATATGGGGTGAGTGCTTGAATCCAGATGGCCATGGAACATTTTCAAGGAGTTTATTTGCACTGTATCATCTTCAATTCCTATATAATCGCTAATGTTACTCTGTACAATAGGTCTATATGATGTACGTCTCATCTCACTATTTCTCTCCTTGACTCTCAGCTGAACCTAGCCAGTCCCCAATCGTCAACGGAGAAGCCTACTCTCGAAGCATTGAAAGCTGGATTCCGCCATGTACGCTTCTGTCCTTCTATCCAACATCCCAATCTAACATTCTGAATCAGGTCGACTCCGCAATCATGTACCGCAACGAAAAAGCATGCGGCAAGGCCATCGGGAACTCTGGACTCGATCGCTCTGAGATCTTCTTCACGACCAAGATCCCCCCTGGGTCTATGGGGTATGAGCGGACTAAGAGGGCTATTGAGGGGAGTCTTCGTGAGGCGGAACAGGAATACTTCGATCTGTACGTCCACGCGTGGTTTTCCCTCCCATATACATACCGACCTCAATATTATACAGCCTACTAACCCAGAAAGAATCCTCATTCACGCACCCTACGGCGGCAAAGAAGCCCGTCTAGGCTCTTGGCGCGCACTGGCCGAGGCCCAAAAAGCAGGCAAGACCAAATCGATCGGCGTCTCCAACTACGGCATCCACCACCTCGAAGAACTAGAATCCTACATCCAATCCGGTGGCGGCGGCCAAATCGATGTCGGCCAGTACGAGCTGCATCCGTGGCTCGACCACTCGGATATCACGGCGTGGCTGCAGCAACGCAATATCGTCGTCGAAGCGTACTCGCCTCTTGCGCATGGGACGCGGTTTGATGAGGATGTGCTGCACCGTATCGGGAAGAAGCATAATAAGTCGCCGGCGCAGGTCCTTATTCGATGGAGTTTGCAGATGGTGAGACTTTTATTCCTAATTATCAGAATATGTGTTGATTGGTGCCTTATCAGGGATTCGTGCCGCTGCCCAAATCGGTGACCGCACAGCGCATCCGGGAGAACGCGGACGTGTTCGATTTCGAGCTGGACGCGCAGGATATGAAGATGTTGGATACGGGGGAGTATTCGCCGACAGACTGGGATCCGACGGTGGATAAGGATTAGTAGGAGAGTAGGCAGATAGATAGAAGAGAGTAGAACACGGTTGGGAGATTTGTCAGGTTCCGCGGGGGATTTCAACTTTCCTTCCTTCTCTCACTCCAACTCCCACTGCAGTAATAAAACGCCACCATGAAGTTGATCCTGTCCACCTCGTAAGACACTTGATCCTCTCGTTTGTCCAGCAACTAACTCCCGCTCGAAGCAATATCATGAAAGGCGGCCGTCCGTCCGTCATCCGCCAGCCACCGACCCAGAAATCCAACATCGAGCTCATCAACTCGTTGCACTCCAACTTCCTTGCCTCGCAACAGCCCGACACGAACGGCGAATCAGATACCAACGGCAGCACCAACGGATCTCATTCCCCATCCTCCACCGCCTGGACCCTCCAGGCCGACGACGCCCTCTACATCCCCGCTCTCGATTTCTCGCAGCCCGGCCTCGCGGAGGAGCGCGACCAGTACGACATTACGGTGAAACTGTTCTATCTACCGGGCATACCTGCGTCAAGACGCTGCGCGCATACAAGGGAGGCGATTGATTTGGTATTGAAGGAACTACATGTGAAATCGATTGATCTGCTCATCGTGTCGTTTCCCGGTATCTTGTTCGATGCCGATGATGACAGCGAGGAAGAGGAGAGCAGTTCCGATAAAGAGGCTGATGACTTTGACAGCATGGTGCAGACATGGCGGGTCCTGGAGTCATTGCAGGAGAAGGGCATGATTGCGCAGCTGGGCGTGGCGGAGTTTGGCAGTGAGCGGCTAACACGGTTCCTGCCTCACACCAAGGTCAAGCCCTCGGTCGACCAGATCAATCTCAAAGACTGCTGCGTGGTGCCCAAGTCCCTGATCCTGTATGCCAAGCAGGAGCACATCCAGCTGTTGACTCATAACGACTGCAATGATATTCTCCCCGTCGGCACCATCCGCGAGCTTCTCGGGCCTGCCGACAAAGGTGCCGGTATTCTGGCCTCTTCGCCAGACGCAAAAGACGGCATCCAGGGCGACGTCGAGCCACAGTGGGTTGTCAAGTACACGGCGGTGGTCAAGGACCGCGGTGTGGTCGAGAACAAGGGATATTTCGCTTTGGCGGATGTCGGCACATGCGTCAAGCCCCGGTCATAGGGGTGTTTCTTTTTCTTTTTCTTGTCTTTTGCTGAGCGCGGCGTTTGTCTGTGGTTTTTGCTTCTTTGAAATACATATCCCAAATGCATTCAGATCAAAATATCCCCATTTATCCAAGCATGCTCCTCTTGCGACCTCTCAGCCGCACATCCTCTAGCCTCTTCAGCGCTGAGGTAGCACCCTTATAGCTCTCCCGGTATCCGTGTAGAAGGGAATCGAACAACGGCTCTGTCTGTGGATGGGTGCTCCCGATTGCGCGTTCCATGACATACAGATCCACAGCGCGGTCCTCGTCCTGGGCACTCTGCGATGCCAGCCCGAAATCAATGAGGACGATCTTCCCCTCCATCGAGACCGAATCATTTGCCTCTGACGCCCCCTCGAATGGCCGTAACATGAGATTGCTCGTCGTCAAATCCCCATGGACAACACCGGCCTTATGCAACGCACCAATCGTCTCCCCCATCCGCCTCATCAGCCCACGCACTCGGTTCTCCTCCGATATCCGCACCGTCTCCTCCATGTGGACTTGGGCCCTCATCCACGCCTCCCACTGCTCCAGCACAACGCGCACAACAGGCCCTTCAATCCACTCCATAAGTAGCCAAGCCCCACCCCACGATGTCTCCTCGCCGCCTTGTCCCTCACAGTCCAGCGCCAGAACAGCAGGCACGCTGACGCCCTCCTTGACGAGTTTCACGAGACATCGCGCTTCTTGCACGATGCGGCTGCGTGTGAGGCGGCGGTCAAGGATTGGATGGCGGTAGGGTTTTGTGGGGCGGATTTTGAGGGCCGCGGGCGTGGATGGATTGAGGGAGGTAGTCTTGTAGAGGTGTGCTTCGGCGCCTTGGGTGAGGAGGGTTGGTGGGGGATTGGTGTTGCTGAAGGGCGCGGGGAGCGGTGGGGGTTTGTATTCGTCAAGGATGGCCATGGTGGTTAAACGAAGAGATTATGGATTGTGAATGGCGCAGATTATAGGAGTGATGGGATCAATGGTTAGTTGTGGATGGAGATGAAGACGGTGAGTGCAGGTCGGAGGGAAATTCTGTGGTGGGGCGGAAGATAAGCGTCGCTAATCATGCTGAGTCTTTGTATACTTGGGCATCTCCTACGAATGCTTCAACACCGAGCAGAAATGACTAAAAATCAAACTGGCTTTTTGTATTCTCTTCACGATAGCCTAGGAGGTAACTAAATGCTCGGTATTAAAAGTCTTCTAACTATCCCGTCTCGAAGAAAATGACATACCATCAAAACAATATCTTCCTGAAACAATAACCTTGCATAGCTGGGAGCAACCCTTGGAATGACTAATTACTAGTTCAAATCCCTAGTTAGTGAACTAATCGACTTGACTCGGTATTTGCATAGCAACACTAGCACGTCCAAATCCCGACCTCGTTGCTTTTTGACGCTGATCATGCATTCTTTCCCACTCAAAAGCACATGGTTACCCAAAGCACCAGTCATTACAAATCCCGAAAGAACAACAGCCCAATAAACTGGACGAATATAAATTACCAGTGTACAAAAGGGATTCTCGACCCTTCCTCGTCAAAAGCTGCACACCGAACTCCACAATGGCGTTGCGGGTGGAGATGATGGTGCGGTGGACCGAAAAGTACCCCAACCTACCCTGCACATCATCCTGGGCCGCGATGGTGTTAGCCACGTCAAATCACTCCCTCTGATATGATCTGCTCGGCCGAGTAGCGAGCCAACTAGTTGTACGCCCGGTGGAATCGTCACTTATCGGACTGACATGGGCTGATACCAGTTGCGCACCCAGTGGCGTGTGCGGTGCTCTGGATGGCGTGCAACCGCGTGCGGGGCCATATATACTGTTGCATTATTCTCCAACAGCAGCATTTAACTTGACCTTCAGTGCATTCACTGAGCATTCACTTCATTATGGCACTAGTGGAAGATCCCCCGGTCCACGATCTATTGAATATTAACGGAATTAAGAGCCCCTTGGGTTTGAATGAAACGCCAGCTGTGGCTGTGCAGAATAATGTGGTCAATAATTCTGCTGCGAATTATTCAACGGCGCAGCCCCAGTTCGAGCTCGAAGAACATCCAATTGATCAAGTGAGACCTATAAAGGTGGGCGTTATCGGTGCCGGTCTTGCTGGTGTTACGGCTGGTGTTATACTGCCGGCGAAACTGCCAGGTCTGGATCTTCGAATCTGGGACAAGAATTCAGACGTGGTATGTTTCTTTTTAAATAGCAGGATTTATAGACAACTATGGCTAACAATCTTTAGGGCGGAACCTGGTACATCCCCATATTGGGTTCAAGAGCTATACTGACTATTCCACAGGTTCGAAAACACATATCCCGGTGTCCGGTGTGATATCCCCGCACATGCCTACCAATCCGGTTTTGCGCCCAATACCCAATGGACCGAAGAGTTTGCCCAAGGACACGAAATTAGAGACTACTGGCAGGGAGTGGCGCGCAAGTTTAATGTTTACCAGTACCTATGCCTTCAACAAAAGGTCCAAAAAGCAGAGTGGCTAGCAGACGAAGGGAAATGGAAGGTCACTATTGAGCATGTAGATGGCTCAAATAAGGTAGAGCTTCTCTACTTGTTATCTTGCAAGATGGCTGACTTTTACGCAAGGTCTACGAAGAGAAATTGGATGTCCTCATCAATGCCATCGGCCATTTCAATGCCTGGAAATTGCCTGACTATGCGGGAATCAACCAATACAAGGGTGCACTGTTCCACTCCTCGAACTGGGACCACACTGTCGACTTGAAAGGCAAACGAGTGGCGCTTATCGGCAACGGCGCCTCTGGCTTGCAGGTTCTTCCCTCAGCCCAGCCAATCGCCAGCCACGTCGACCACTACGCTCGAAATCCCACTTGGATTGCAGACTCATTCGGTGAAACAGCGGGAGTCCGTCGACTGGAGGCCAATCTTTTCACTCCCGCACAGTTGGACTCGTTCAAGGACCCTGAAACGTATCTAGAATACCGCAAGGGGGTTGAAGCCAACTTCTTCCGGCGCTTCGGGTCAATATTCAAAGATACTCCTGAGAACGATGCCGTGAGAAAGAAATGGACCGAGCTGATGCTAAAGCGTATCGCGGAGAAGCCTGAGCTGGGCGACAAGATCATACCTGATTTCCCCCTAACTGTCGTCGTCCAACCCCTGGTCCCGGCTATCTGGAGGCTTTGACCCAAAAGAACGTTGACTATATTCAAACTCGCATCAAGCGGTTTACCGAGACGGGAATTGTTACAGAAGATGGCGTTGAGAGACAAGCAGACATCACTATCTGCGCTACCGGAGCCAACGTCGACCACGCGCCGCCCTTCTCTATTATTGCCGACGGCATTGACCTCAAACAAGCCTGGAAGAAGGATGGTTTGTTCGGGTTTCCTTACACATACATCGGCTTCGCAACACCAGGATTCCCCAACCTCCTCTGGCTCGGCGGACCATTCTCCTCTGGCCACAGTGGCACAGTCCCCAACAACGTCGAAAACCAAGTGACCTACATTGCCAAACTGCTCCGCAAGGTCCGCAGCCAAGGGATCAAGTCCATTATGCCCACTAAGCAAGCCGCAGATGATTTTGTCGAATACTGTGACAAGTTCTACCCGCGCACTGTCTGGTCAGCGAACTGTAGCTCCTGGTATAATGGCGGCCAACCAGGCGGGAGGATCCATGGCCTGTTCCCTGGAAGTGCTACGCATGCAAATATTGTTCGCAGAGATCCGCGCTGGGAGGATTGGGAGTATACATATGTCAACCCCAGTGGGAATCGGTTTGCGTACTTTGGGAATGGTTGGTCGACAAGGGAGTTGACGCCTGGGGCGAATCTGACGCCGCATTTAAAGCTGCCGGAGGAGGTTGATCTGAAATCTTATATGGAGGGGTGGTGGGATATTTAGGTGATAGAATCGGTGTTCAATTGAAGCCGAGAATTGTATATAAAGAAGAGAGGTCCATATCCAAAAGGGTTTCTACATGTTTTTGACCATTGACTGTACCTCGAGCTCTGGTAGTTAGCCACGTCTACTAACAGTAAGCAGTAAGCTATCAAAGGCATTACTGAGACTCACCATCAACGACTATGGATACCTATTAGGTTTTATCTTGCTAGCGATACAGAAGGCATGAAAGAAACGGACGTTAGTGAGTGAGTTGGGTGGGCGCGGCAGGAAAATGGTCATCATCTCTATAACTATAGTCATTTGGCAAAACACTAATTCTCCTTCTGATACTTGGGAATATCCTCTCCTGCTTTCCAAGTGAACTTAGCACCAGCGTGCGACTCAGGCAACCTGTTGAATCCCTTCTGCCCATACATGTTTTCACGCATAGTACCGCCCTTAACGGCATAATCCTCCCAGAAGAGACCCCTCCGTCGCAGCTCAGGCAGTAGCAAATTGATAATCTCATCAAATGTATCGGGCAGAGTAGCATAGCTGAGATTGAACCCATCAATATCGCCAACGCTCACCCACCGCTCCATCTCATCCGCCACGCTCTGCACACTACCAATGATCTTGACGCCATTCCCGCCAAGAACCAGGTACTCGGCAATCGTCCGCTTGTTCCATTTCTTGCCCTCGCCTCCGGGGACCGTGCTGGCCCAGTGGTTCACCATGCTCCGCACGGCGGGCTGCTCCACGAAGCGGAAGTCCTGGTCGTCGGCGTAAGTAGAAAGGTCATAACCCGTCCACCCGCCAAACAGAGCGAGCGCGCCCTCTTCATCGCCGTATTTCTTCAAATCGTCGAACTTCGCCTGCGCCGCTTCGTCGGTCTCCGCAACGATGACCAAGGCGCCCGCAATCACCTTGATATCCTGCGGGTTGCGGCCAAGGTCGGCGGCCTGCTGGCGCACGCTGTCGACAGACGGTCGGACGAGTTCTGGCTTTTGAGCATGCACAAAGACCGCTTCGGCGTGCTTCGCTGCGAATGCCTTGCCCGCGGACGATGTCCCAGCCTGCAGGAGGAAAGGTGTGCGCTGCGGACTCGGCTCACAAAGATGCGGACCAGGGACCTGGAAGTATTTCCCGTTGTGATTGATTTGCCGGACGAGTTTGGGGTCCGCGTATCCCTTCCCAGCAACGTCCGCAGCTCCATTCGAAGAGGCTGGCTGCTTCGTCCAGGTGACTGCATCTTCTCTCCAAGACCCCTCCCACAACTTATATGTAACATGCAAATACTCATCGGCAATGCGATAGCGCTCATCATGCTCGACCTGGGTATTCAGCCCAAAATTCCTTGCCGCCGAATCTAGGTACGAGGTGACGATATTCCATCCAATGCGTCCATTGCTGAGATGATCAACCGTTGAGAACCGTCTCGCCATCGCGTACGGCGCATCATAGGTCGTTGACGCGGTGATTCCAAACGAGATACTCTCCGTCGCGGCTGCCATGGCGGGCACGCTGTACAGAGGGTCGTTGATGGGGAATTGCGCGCCAGCGGGGATGGTTGGGTCTAGGTTTGAGGGCCCCTTGTACACGTCGTAGCCTCCCAAGACGTCGGCGAAAAAAATGGCGTGGAATTTCGCTGCCTCGAGCTTTTGCGCGAGTGCGATCCAGGTCTTGATGTCTTTGTACTGAGCGCCTTGGTCGGATGTGTATCGGAATAAACCTGGGTTCAGGTGGGAGGGAGAATGCATTGCGAAGGCATTGAGGATGAGTTGTTTCTTCTCTGAAGACATGGTAGCTGTTTCTGTCTCTATTTTGTTCTTGAGATTTGTGCAGTTGTATCTCCAAGCTGGTTTGATATTGTAGAGCCGGGACGACAGTCTAATAATTTATCTCATGGAGGGGCTCAATGACGATATTTATCTGTTCCTGCATACAAACCCATACCTGTTTCGACCGAGAAAAGCAAATCCCGTGAGGACCCCGCTGCCTGACGCTGGTTTGGCTATCGCCGCAGGCGAAGCAAAGACGTGAAATTGGAGAGCGATGGCGTCAGCAACAGGAGCGATGGTGTAGCTAGCGTAGGAGGGGCAGGGACGCGGCCAACAATAATGCATGGAGGGGCTGAGGAGGGGTGATATCTACGATAGGAAGCTACAATTGCCGAGCCCGGGTCTACAGAGCTGCATATGTGGTCTTTTATATTGAATCGTCGATGGCGTCGTGGTGGCTACTATGTTCGTCATGAGCAAGTGGAGGTGGTGGGCCATGATCTATTTGCATTATTAAATGCCATGAATTTTTTTTTCCAGTTCACAGGCTGTAGTAGGGATAACTTGCAGACACTTTGTCCTTCCGCTTCGAGAATTTACTACCATGAGTTGAGATGCTCACCTAGCTTAGGGTTTCCGGAGTCACGAACCCAAACTCAAAAGATGACAGCACTTTCTCACCTCAAGTCGATACTATTAAACCATTTACGAGAATAGAAGGAAAATAAACAGGAGTCCACTGAAAACACTCCTCCGCTACTACTTATATCATGAATCCTTCGAAGGAGCTAGATTAGGCGCTATCGGGGTTGGCTCACATATAATTGGTAACGATCTTCCGTACTAAGAGACGATGATTTTCTCAAGGTAGGGGCATTAAGGTGTCTAATAGCTGATATATTCAGCATACGAGGAATTACGAATAGCTATAGTCCTAGTCATTCTAGAAAACACGATACAACCTCTATAGACAGGGATATTTCGGGAAAACTGCGAACGTTTACTAGTACGTCCTGGTAATTAGGGTTTGAGAAACCATCGAAGAGTATAAATGGTGACATTAGTTTCGAGACGTACTGTAACACATTGAGAGACTTTAAAAATTCAGACGTGCAAGCGCATTCAATAAAAACTCGAACGGACCCGGAGAAAGGTGCTTGTACGCTTAAAATCTAGAGATGAATCTGAGTACAAAAAAGGAGAAGACAGGGTTTTCCAAAAGATTATAGACATAAGTTCAGACACGGAAGGGGAAAAAGCGAGCGATCAAGCAAAGAAAGATGTATATCCAGTGATGGTGGTGTGTACAGCACAAGCTGCATGAAAATCAATATGGCGGTCGTCCAATGCCTCCTCCGCTGACGTGTCGTCTGCTGGGACCAATTTGCACTTTGCCCCTTGGAGTCTTGCCGTTTGGTTTTGTCGTTGTCGGATGGTTCCCGTTTGCTAATGGGCTGTCTTCAGGAGATAGGAATCCATCCAAGAGCTTCCTCAGATGCTCTCGACTAACTGAGACGTCTGGGCCGCTAAAGTCGTGGTTACTTAGCAGGTCTGCGAGTCCAGCGTCCGCGCGCATCTCCGATGTCAATACAAGACTGTTGCTGGATCTGGTCTTTTTGCGGTTCAGTGGCGCGATAGGCTCGTGGTTTGCCTTGACGGACGACTGCTGCGAGGGACCCGGGGCGGTAGACGGGCGGTCTACTGAGTCGAGTGATTTCTCCGAGTCGTTAGGGAACATACCCGGGATGTTCAACGAGGTAGGAAGCGGTGGGACGGGCGGGATTTCCGATGCATCGGATTTGGCCACGCTCGGGGCCTGGGGATTATCCGCCGTTGGTGTCGCGTCCCCGGACAGTACAAGTGCTGATGCGCGGGGCGTCTCCATTCCATCATCATCTTCGTCGTCGGGGTTCAGCTCTCCATTCTGCGGCTGGATCGACCCGGCATCCCCGTCCACAGAAACAGTGGAGGGGCCGCTGACCATACTCTCGCTGCCAGAAGAGATGATACTGCTGTTAGAGGTGTCGAGACGTCTTCGCAGGGGACTCCGAGAGGAAGGTTCGTTGCTGATAGAGAGGACACGCCGCAGCTCGTTGAAACGGACGGGAGAACCTCGACTGGAGCTGTAAAGAGGCGAGCTTGTGCCTTCAGGGACACTCATGGGGCGGTTCTTCTGTGACATCGAGCCAGCAGGAGAACCGTTTGTGACTCCGTTGGCCTGGCCGTTGTTGCGCGCGGTCATGGTACCCCCACGAGAACCGCTGACCGATAGTGTCTTGACACTATCTTTCTCCGCGGCTGCCAGAACCGCTTCTCGAGACCAGGAAGACAGCATTTGTTCCTTCACCGGCGAAGGGAGACTGCCCTCTGACGGAGGCTGCGATATAGTATGGTTCAAAACGGGGAAACTGAAGCCTCGTTTCGGTGAAGTTTGCGGGCTCTGCGGGGGGACGAGACAGATTGGCGGTAGGACTTATCGATCTGTTCGACCAGCCCCTCAACGTTGCGGAAGGGAGTCAGAACGGGGGGTTCCGTGTCATCCCCGACAGTTATCTTCTCATCGTTCATAGTGATGGCCTCGAGGCCGCTGGCGGGTAGCTTAATCTTGGAGAACCATTGACCCTTGCGCTCTCGCTCTTCAATCTCGGTGCGAATTTCGGCTCCCACGGCAGAAGACTCCAGATTAAATTTCTCTGACAAAGCTGAAAGATAACCATGCACCAAGCTGCCAATGTTGACACGAGCTGCGGTTGTTTTCAGATCAGCAGACGTGAACAAGTCGTCTTGCAGCTTGAGAACCATAGGAAGTCCAAATTGGACAGCATTAACCCCAAGATTCTCGACCAGAGTTGCCAGAAGGAGATGAAGAAAAAGTATCTCGGAGAGATCAGCAGCTCCTTCGAGGGCGGAATCGTAGATGGCCAGGTGAAGAAGGCGCAGGAAATGGGACTGTGCTGCCAGCGCCACTTTCTCCCTCTGGTTGCCAGGAACGGAGGTGCTGCGCCGATTCGATGACTTGTCCGGGATGTCCGAATCACGCCTTGACGGCTGCTTGATGTACTTGGGCGTATCGACGCGCGCCCTGAGATTATCGTTGTTGGTCTCAAGCTGCAGCCATGACAAGAAAGCATCGGCATAGGCATGCCGGACTTCTCGATCCGAGTCTCGCAAAAGGCCCTGGGTTCCTTCCCACACATGGATGCCCACTGGGTTCCTTGACTCGACACCCGCCGCGGCTGCGAGTGCCCTTTGGTTTGCCACAGTAAGAATGGCCTTGACAGATCGAAGGGCGGTCAGTTTGATAGCAGCACGCGAGAAATATTCGGCATGGGGCAGCTTTTCATTATTGGCCGCACTCGTCTCCGTGTTGTTTTGGTCCTTTGGAGACGCTGCGCCAGATTCGTGGACGGTGGCCAAGGAAGATGGCACATTAGTATCCTGGTCCTCGGAGACGGGTTTAAAGTGCCGGAGGATGGCCCTCATCATGTCGGCCACTTGATCGCCATAGTATATATGCGTAGCGAGATTCCCGATGCACTGCTCTAGAAGGGCAAGCAGTTCTTTCCGTCGAGGAGACATGAACACGGCGCTGGTGTTGTCCTGCTTCTCCTCTGCGCGGTCCGGAGGCGATAGGATGTCCGACGCGTAGTGCATGAGACCGTAAAGAATGTCCATAATACTCAATCCAATCATGTTCACTGGCGACTTCAAGAGCCAGTCAATCACCGACAAAATGGTGAATGAAGATTCCAGAGCATCCTCCTTGGGAGTAGTGTCGTGTAGAATCTCCATCGCTGTGACCAATATCACAAAGCGAACCTGAACTGGACACCAATTTGCGATGAGCTCGATCAAAGTTGTAGCCCAGTTGCCACCTGGTTTGGGGGTGTTGGCCTCTCCATCGTCATCATCATCATCAGGTCGCGGAATATTTTTGTTCGAGATGAAACGCAGAATTATCGATGCGGCGATGCGGATCTGGCCGCGGTTACTGCCTGAAACGATGATTTGTTCCAGACAGCGCAGTGCCAACAGCCTCGTATCCATCTCTGCATGCCGGTCTGCATCGGCTGTGGACTGTCCTGCCAGTGTAGCATCGCCCTCCGCTGCATCAACGGTTCGGACTGTGGCGACGCTCAGCCGACGACGCCGGAGCCCCTCGCGCTCAGGCTTTTCAGAATCTCGGAGCTTAATTTGGAGATTGACCAAGATATTTTCCTCTCCCGAGTACAGATTCTCCAAAATGACCGGCAGAATAAGCCTGAGCGAAGTGCCCCCATCCGCCGCCAGACCGTCTGAACCAACCACGCCCTTGATCGCGCGCAATCCTGCAGTTCTCCATCGAATCGCCACTGGTGGGCTCATCTGGGTGCGCGACACCGTCGGGGAAGACGGATCGGCGAAGCCTGCATATGTTCGCACCACCTCGCGATACTGATGCACGAGACCCTGCTCCACGGCGATAGCGGCCATATCCTGGTGACGGCAAAAAGTCTCGAAGGTCACAATCGAGTCCTCCACCATTGTGATATCATTTGATCGCAGGACCGTCTCGATGACGGTGAGGACGGACCGGGCGTAGATGGGCAGATCGCGGGGGACTTTCTCGATGAGCGCGGTCATGATCTGGAGGGCTACCTGGACGTTTCTGGTTGATAGTTAGCCACTGGACCAGATCTGGATCAGGGTCATGGATACTCACCCCAGCCTGCGTCTCCAGACATCCCGGGCCACCCTCTTCTCGAGGAACGCGCCGACCTTGGTCAACTTGCTGCGGCGCGTGCTGGCATAGTACAGCAGATACGACAGTTCACTCGGGTTCGGGCGCACCTCCGACACGCCTTTCTGGTACCGGGGATAACACTTGAGGGTCAAGACCTGGTGCTTTGGCCGGCACGACTGGCGGACGGTCTCCATTGGAAGAATGTGAGAGGTGCAAGGACGCCAGCGACCGCACGAGTGTGTGTGGGTGTATGATATTCAACGAATTTCGAGATGTTTATAGTAGCAAGGCCATGGGCAATAGGGGGTGGGGGTGGTCAATGACAGTAGCTTTGGGTCAGGGCCGTTGGGCAGTTTGACGGGAACGGGGGCGATGAGGTCGTTGCGGTGGATCAGCAGGGGGGTGGGGCCGTCCACCGTTTGTCGCAGGCAGAAAGAGGTTGAAATTAGGAGGGAGAGAGTGAAGAAGGAAGGGAAAGAAAGGGAGGGAGGATGGAAGAGAAAGAAAGAGAGAAAGAAAGAAAGAAAAAGAGACGGATGCAGAAAGGAGGAAAAAAAGGTTTGGGCGGTTCGGCGGGCTTGGGGCGTAGACACGAGGACGATCACCACAAGTTGTCTTGAACTATGGTGATATTTCTCCCAATACAATAAGAATGCAGTAAGAATGACTAGGACTACGGTGATTCCGTCTAGCTTGAGCAATTGCATACTGTGTGTCTGCCATTTGCGATCATTGTTGTTATACCAGTGACTGACATCCCCGGCGCTTGGTCCTCTCTGCCTTTCCAAGGAACCTGTCGAACCTGTCGAACCCCCCCGCAATCCCTGCGCCAATTCCGTTAAAATGATATCTGTGCGCGCTCGGCTGTTGGGTCGTGGGTGTTTCTATAGCTGCGGGATCGACGCGGCTGATCGGAGGAGACAATACCTCGGTCGCACATGATGTAGACGGGCCCCTCCGTCGGATCTTGTCTGGTGGGGAGAAAGCTCTCCGGGAAACAACATCCCGTATCGTGCTGTTTGTCGGTGTGGGAAAATGATCGTTCGGCTGGGAGACACTGCCAGGTCCCCCTGTGTGTCGAAGCCAATAAGAGTTCATGATGCCGACTTCCACCGGCGGCTGTCACGTCTTCGACCCATTGGGCCCTTCCTGTGTCTCTTGCTGTCCCTCCACCGTTTCCGCGGGCGCACCAGGGACGCCCACCCCAGCGAGACTCTCAATGACCTGAGGCAGGATGATATCGCGACGAAAAGCGTCCTCTTGCAGCAGACGCAGCGCCCGTAGCGTGGGACCGGGGTGTGTCAGGAACTGCGCATATTGCGGCGTCTTCCAGTAGTTGTAGAGGTAGGCCAGGTACGCGGCGAAGGCCTGGGCGTCTGGCGACGAGGAGGAGTCGGAGTCGTTCTCGTCGGATTGCGAGATGCCCAGCAAGTTTGGGTAGGTGACCGCGAGATGCGACAGGTAGTAAGGGTTGGCGAGAGAGGAGACGAATTCGAGCTCGAGGGTGAAGCGAGGATTGGTCAGGGTGGGCGGCGGAGGTTGTGTCGCTGGCTCCATGGTGAAGGCTGAAGGAGAGGTGAAGCAGAAAGAGAATTGGTGGTGTTGCAGAGGCAAGTCTGGCGGAGCTGGGGCGGGACAGGTTTCTTCCCTCCCCGATCCCCTTCACCCACTGTTCGAGTACGTACCTGGCACCAGTAGATACGTGTAGAGTATTCGATTGCGTTTAGGCCGAAATTGCCGATGTCGATATCAACGTAGCTTTAAGCTATCCTCCTTGCTGCAGTAAGGAATGGTTTGTGAGCAGTCGGATATATATCTATGGGGTCAATGTAAACAAACCAAGAGCCCATAGGACAGACAGTAGAACAAACAAAGCTCTACATTGAAAATAGTCCACTTACCTGGGCTTACGACATCAAATTGGAACAACCTCGCGTTCGATGCAAGGGTAGGCGGGCCACAATTGAAAAACGCGTTGTTGAGGATGCCGACATAGCCGATGCAGTGCCTCGACTCTAAAGTTTCTGTCGGCTAGCCTAGAGCTGGACAATGTCTTGCTGATGTGTAAATGTTCTCGCTGTATTATCAAGGATCTTTGCCGAAGTCACGGTCTAGCCAAAGTAGTACAGGGTATGGTGGCACATCCCGAACACCTGCGGAATAACCGGACGAATCGGACCCAGAGACGGTCTCTCTATGTCCGCGCCGCTGTAACATCGTCTCGAGAATTCGGGTTATGATTCGGGAGGACTATCATAAGGTGAACTTCATAGTCGGTGCTGATCATGATCGACACCGTCTATGTCCTAAGCGGAGTCCTCAACCGCCGCTTTTTGCCCTGACAATTCGCACCGCAGACGAATTGAACCTCCCATAAGCCCAAGGCTCCTCAGAAAGCCCATAGCTAAGAGTTTTAGCATTCTCTTGGCAGATTTGGGCGTCTGAAAGGGAGTTTCTATTTATAGCAAAAGCATCTGTAACCACATCATCACCCACAAACACCTGGTTATTAGATCCACCAACACATCTATGTAATAGCCCACCACAGTCTTTCGCGAAGACGATGATCTCTTGCTGACATGCTCTCCTGCAGCTAGAGCAGAGCTACAGTAGAGCTACAGCAAGGCTACAGCAGCCAGGAACCGTCGGTCATCTCACAATGGACCTGATCGATGGACACGAGCATTTGAGCTTGGCCTGTTGAGACCTCCTTAGGAACCTGACCAACAGCCCAACCACCACTGGATTGCGAATGATGAAAGGCATACAGGGCAAGGACAGACATTCTAGGGATCGCCAAGCCAGGCCACGCAAGTCCCATCGTACCTACAGTGACGCAGGAGGTAGGGTCTTCCAAGGGCCGTGCGTTGGCCCTCGATGTTTCTTCGCGGTGTGGCCAGGACTATGTATCCATACTGCTTGCTACATTCCAAACAGGCATGACATCAAGGCTATGAATCAAGAATGCGAACGTCATTCCGGGAGTTGTACAGGCTAGGGCAAGGTCTGCCGAAAAGGGGCAAGTTCACTTAGTGGAGCCTCGGCGATCGGGAGGAAGCCCCTGGATTGTGAAGTGACACTCTAATCGAGTCTGGGGGAGGTTCTGCAGTGAATAGGTACCCTAAGAAATAATCATGTAGAAGGAATAATAATAATGTCCTTGAGCAATAGTCCCTAGGGCCTATGTACCCTACATCGAAGGTGCAGTCGTGTGCCCTTTCCCTTCCTCTGGCCGCTGATCACTTGGCTTCTTTACGTACGCCTAAACCACCCCCTCCTTCTCTTCTCTTCTCTTCTTTCTTTCTCTCTGCTCTTTCTTCCCTTTCGCACACCTTCACTCTCTTTATTATTCTGCCTTCTGCCCAGACTTCTTTCAACCATTTCCCCCCGAGGTAGTACTGCCTCCATCCCCGCTTCCTCCAACCAACAGGTTCCGACCGTCGCTGTTTCATCGCCTTGTTCTTGTCCGCTTGCGTCCCTCCCCCCAGCCAACCACACGCCCTCGGGCCACGCGCACACCTCCCCGTCATTTCACGCTCTGCTGCGAGATGAATGCTCCGCCAGTGCTTGGCCATCCGGCCGGCGTGTCACTGGCTCCGCCAGGTGCGTAATGCGGTCCCTGGTACCCCCGCTTTGTCCTTTCCCCCTAGGTGAAAATGAGTGTTCCTGGTTTTAAAACCGCACACACACACGCGTTGTAGAGTTTGTGAATCTCTACTCTCAAAACTGTGGCTGACTCGCTGTGTCTGCCTCCAGAGCGTCAAGGATCCCCTCAATCACCCGTCAATCTGGGGTCCAACAACCCATTCCGCAACCGCGCCCTGTCGCCGTCGGTTAGCTCTGCGACGTCCAATACTCGTCCAGAGCGGCCTAGGTCGACGAACCCTTTCCTTGACGAAACGGAGACTTTGTCGCCGCAGTCGGCCCCTGGTCTCTCCTCTGAAACCATGTTCTCCCCCGTCGAGAAGACCAACATGACGGGAAACACTCGGGAGCTTTTTGTACGTTCTCGTAGCTGCAGGGCCTATCATCATACGCTGACTTTCATCGCAGGAGAACCTGTCACTGAAGGAGACGATCCCCGCCAGCGCAGCCGCATCTGCGACCACCGCACCTCAACAGAATGGCACTCGGCCAGCGCCTGCTGCGCCGCAACCCACTCCACGGCGGCCGTCAGCACGCAGACCACCGCCACGGGATCGTCCGAGTGGACACGCTGCAGACCCGCGATCGAAGGATCCCCTGGACATATTCGCCGATCCTCCTACCCTGTCCAAGTCGGCGACTACTGGCCCCGGCCGCGGAGAGAGACCGAGGCGACCCCGGCGAAACTCAGAGTCATCTGTGATGGAGCGAGCATCGCAGCTCTTTGATGATGATGATGAGAAACGACGACGTGAAAGGCGCCATCGTGAGCGCGACGCTCGTCATCGAGACGGCAAGCAGCGGTCCTCTCGCAAAAATCGCCGTCTGGATATCATCGACAAACTGGATGTGACTGGCATCTACGGAACTGGAAGTGAGTTGATTTGATCACCAGGAAACGTAAACTCCGCTGACTTTGTGTCTCTTTAGTGTTTCACCACGACGGTCCATTTGATGCATGCAACCCGCATCGCAATCGCAAGGGCGCGCGCACTGCCCCGATGCAGGCCTTTCCGAAGGATTCTAGAAACATGGCCCTGGGCGGTGCAGGCCCGAACAACTCCAATATCGACTTGAACCTTTTCCATGGTAGCACCCCAGAGGGGTACAACGATTTCGCCAGGGGCGCTGTTACAGCGCCTCCACCCCGTCGCACCAACGAGCCGATCACCTTCGACCCGACTACTAATCTGGACCCTATTCATGGATCGGAGAGCATGGGCTTGGGCACGAGCACGTTCCTGGATGGAGCGCCGGCCAGCCGCTCGGCCATTGCCCGCCGCCAAAGTGAAAATGAGAACCAGATTGTTCAAAACGGCGGTCTTCAGCGCAAGAAGAGTCTGGCCCAGCGCATCCGCGGACGCACTACGGGCGCTGTGGGTCGCGTCGCCTCCCCGACTGACCCTACCTTTGCTGCACAGGCGCCTGGATCGAGCCATTCTACCGCTTCCAGGAATAATGAGAGGAACCCATACTTCCAGGACCACGACGAGGCGGGGGACAAGACGAGGGTTCATGAACTCGAAGTCTCGGGCGGGCGTGTCCGATCCTCGAGCAGCCCAAAGCAGTCGACAGGCCTGGAGCGCAAGTCCACGAACGACCGCTCAAACACTGGGGGCGATGAGTCGAAACTGAACCCCGGCGGCGGCTTCCTGAACCGAATGAAGAGTCTGCGCAAGCCACGCCCCGAGCGGCGCACCAGCGAGTAGACAGACCCTTGTCCCTATTTCTGGTTTTCCTTGTCATGATTTTCCTACGTGTAATACCCAGCACCGTGAGAGGGCCGCAAGTGCTCACGGCACATTTCCATGGCGTCTGAATATTGAATGGAGTAGATCGGTTGCTCTTTCCTATTCTTTTTTTCTTCTTCTTTTCAGGTACGAAAAATGGGGGGCTAGCTACATGCAGCTGCCGTAGTTTCCTGAGGCCACGATTTGTTACTCTTCTTGTATGTCTCTTGTGCACTCTAGCAAAACACTGTATCCTTAAACCCACCTCATGTTGGTGTCCTTGTCTTATTCGTGCGTCTATGTTTGGTACCTGGGATGATTCTATTTTACCTCCTTAAAACAGGTTTCGTTTCATTCACTTCGATCACGCGTCAGCCCCTGTGGCTGGAGAGAAAGACCTATAGTGTAGACTCGGGCCTCAGAATACCCGACTTCATAGATACGCACTGGCCGTCCCTCCGCCTTGCTCAGAAATAGCTCTATATGGTTCTCAGCCGCCAGCCCTGTCAGCAGTCCCGAAGTCGAGAAAATGCTACGCGCTGAGCATATAAAACTCCGAGATATAATATCTCACGACTGTATTCCAACACCCCCTTAGTCCCATAAATACCCAATCCTCCATTCAAGAGCCTCGGGGCAATGTCGTCTCAAACGGAAGGGCGGTTTGAGCTCCCTTTTTCCCTCCATTTCCCGCGGCTGTGGTTTGGACTCGCGCCTGGGAGAAACGCTGCTGCGCCAGGCCCAATTTTGGGTGGTGCTTGTATAGTAGTATAGTATATCATTTTAGAGATTTTGCCTCTGGCAGAATTGGATATAAAGCAGAGGGACGCGTTCCTGCTTTTTTATTTCCTATTCTTCATCATCATCATCTTCATTATTCTCATCGTCATGTTCATCCTTGAAATCGTTTTTGTCGTCATTGTTGTTCTTCTTATGTGTCTGGTCTGCCTCTAGGCTCTCCGTCTTTGCTACACACTCCTTCAGAAAGTCCTTTTGTCCACTCGGGCTCAGCTATTCTACCGACATCCCTCAGAGCCTTTCATTACGGACAACTTTCTTTGAACAAATCTACAAACACACAACCCATCAAAACAGCAACAGCAACAGAAAAAGAGAAAAAAGAAAGAAAGAAACCTACACAATAATCAGAATGGGAAAAGACAGATACAAAGTCTTCCTGGTGCAATTCAAGATCGCCGAAGACAAATGGGAATCAATCCTCTTCGTCCAAGTAGACAGCGCAACAGGAAATGGCTTTTGTCATCCCCTTCTCCCCCACATGGCGGGCACCAAGCTACCGGAGCCTCAAGGATACCCAAAGTATGGCAAGGCGGAGCACCCGAGACTGATAGGCTATACCGACAAGACGACATACCCTGATGAGTGGAATGACGTGCTGGGACCGGGCCAGTTTCAGAAGACTTATCGTATCGGGAAGCCTCGGTTGCATATGAACACGCTAAGAGATATTGGGTATTCGACTCAGTGGACATTGGACACCGCCATTCCGCGTCTTCTGAACAAGAATTTGCTCAAGGAGTGTTTGCTTATTTGAGATGGAATGGTGGCGAAGGGAAGAAGGATGAGGAAAGGGGGCGGATTCGGTGATTTGGGGTGATGTTATGGAACATGGGTTACGGTACTGAGAGATGCTGCTATGATTGGGGTTGGATGCGATGGCACAGGGTACTGGGATGGTTGGTACATAGCGTTGATTTTACTTAGATAGTTATAGATAGTTCAGATAGTTTACTAGAATACATGATCTATATCCTCGAACTATTACCATCGAGGAGTATGAACATCCACAGAGTAGTATGTCACCTTTAAAGAAACCGCAAATTACCTTTCCAGGAAGTTGCAGAGGAACATATTACTATTTGAGCGGGGATGCATTCACGGTCTTCATGATGTTGATAATAGAAAGGATATTTTCATTGCCATATTCATAAACTTGGGTACCCAATAACCAGAGACTCTGAAGGAACGCCGTAACAAGGAACATGCCGATAAGATGGTATTAGACGCAAGACATAAAGCAACCAAATTAATCCCGCACTTGGCTGCTATTCCACGCCGTTCTTGAAGATGCAACGCCTGCGCGGCGCTTGGATTGCGGCTTGGGTCTGGAGAGAGTGTACCTAAGAACAACGAAGTCAGTATTTGGGAGTGATTCAAAAACGGAGAGATGTACTTGGCAAATGTCCGTGAGAGAGCCCTCTTCGCGCTGACTTTCTGGCTGTCGATGAAGGAGTCAACCGTCACGGCTATGGCGCGGTCGATGTCTTGAGCGGAACAATACTCAGATAGACGCATCTTGCAGAAAGACTCGGCGATACGCATGATTGCTTCAAGGTGACGGACCTGCAGAACGAAAGTCAGCGGTTGCATTTCCATGAGTAGGTGTAGGGTAGGAGCCAACTTACGGTGATAGGGTAGGCGCCCGTGGCCAGAGACTCGCGCCGCATATCCGCGAACAGACGGGCAACCTTGTCCTGGTCGATCTGGTACAGTTTCGGATGGCAGTGCTCCCGAGCGTAGAGAATGTACTTTCGCAGAAGCTCTTGGGGTATTTCGCCCTCCTTCTCCTCGTCTATCTTGGCCTGCTCTGCTGCGCGTTTGGCAGCCTCCTCCGGTGTTGGGGGGAGACGGTTGCCGTCTTTGTCAATGCGATAGCCCTCAGTGTCAACGCGGTTGCCGTCTGTGTCGACGAGATTGCCATCATTGTCCTTGAGCGGGCGGACTGGGTTGGCGCGATGATGGGACTCGACCACGAAATTGGCCAGGCGCTCGTCCTCGCTCGGCTCAACGAGATCACGCACCACACAGAGGATATCGAAACGAGACAGGATGGGTTCCGTAAGGTCGACGTTGTCGGAGAAAGTTGTTGCGCTGTTGTAGCGGCCGTTTCGAGGGTTAGCGGCAGCCACGACAGCACACCGCGCCTGCAGAGTTGTGACGATGCCTGCTTTGGAGATGGAAATGGTTTGCTGTTCCATGGCTTCGTGGATCGAAGTTCGATCCTGGTCGTTCATCTTGTCAAACTCGTCAATCAGACAAGTGCCGCGGTCAGCCAACACAAGCGCACCACCTTCCAGTGTCCACTCGCTGGTAAGAGGGTCGCGGCGGACGCTGGCCGTCAGACCGACGGCACTGGCACCCTGACCCGTCGCAAACACAGCTCGGTGTGCCGTCTTCTCCACGTACTTGAGCACCTGGGACTTGGCCGTACCGGGGTCACCCAGCAACAGGACATTGATATCACCACGGATTGACATCTTGCCCTGAGCCTGTTTGCTAACACCCCCAAACAGTGACAGTGCCACGGCAGTCTTGACATCCAGATGACCATAGATACTAGGCGCCATGGACCGAATGATCTTGTCCACAATATCAGGGTCGCGAGACAAGGCCCGAATCTCGCGCTCATCCTCTTCGGTCAGATTGAACCCGGCCAACTGGTCGTGCGACTTCACCACATGGTTGGCTTCAATGATTGTGGCAAACACAGGGAATCCGTTCTTGTTGTTCAGCTGTGCATCGAAGCTGTTGCGGTAAATGCCAGTAATCTCGATTTCGTCCCCAGGCTTGGCCGAGTCGATCAGATCCGCAAGAAGGACGACTTCGCGCTGTCGTGGCAGTCGACCAGCTGGAACTGAGCCAGGCGACTCCTGGAGGGTCAATCTCTGGTAGTTGCGGTACACTGTCTTCTCGGAGTTGACCGTGAAGGGACCCCGGCCCTGGCAATTCTGACAGAAGGAAATCTTGACTTCCGTGCTAGCTTCTTGCTGGAAAGGACCCAGCGTAATGCCACACTTTTGGCAAAGGAACATCACGTATTTCAGCTGGGGGAATACTCCTGTTCGTCGGGTGACCACGCCGTTGACACGAACCAAGCAGTTCAGGTGTGATTGACGCAGCTGGCGCAGAGTGTAGGTGATGGGGACATCAGTGATGCGGACGTGGATCTCGTTGTGGATGTCGTGGTACTGCGGGTAGTGGAAGAGAGTGACATCCAGCGCGACTTGGTCGAACACCTTCAGCACTTCAGTGGGTTCGTTGGCGAGGAAGTACGAGAGCGCGGCCTTGGTCTCGCTCAGGTGGGCGTAGGAGACCTCCAAGGAAGCCGAGTTAATTTCACCGAGCGTCTTGATCCGGTTACCGTATACTGATTGACCGGTGGGATCGATGAATTCGGTCAGGAAGGCCTTGAATTCGCGGTAGATGGAGCGAAGGACCTGGGGCTGGGTGACCCAGTCTGTGATATTGGCCGCTTTCACGTCTGCCAATTCTTCGAGAGACAGCTCCTCCATGCCTTCGTCCGCCATATCCATGTCATCACCGTCCTCGTCATAGTGGTGTCTCCGACGACGGGGCTGGCGAGACAGATCCATCTCCATGTCATCGTCATCCTGCAAGAACGCGGCGGGCATACGGCGTCGACGGGCCAGTTCGCGATCGCGCTTGTTCAGTCGAGCATCTAACTGGCGACGGGTCGCAGCATCGAGTTCTTGATAATCCTCCTCGTCGTCAATGTACTCTGCGTTCTGGTAGTGCTCTTCCTCGCCCGCCCGGTAGTCGCGCTCGAAGTTGTCTCCGAACAGGTCGATACCATCCTCATCTTCAGCCAACTCGTCAATGTCATCAATGTCTTGCACCAGCTCTGTCTCCTCCTCATCCTCCTCGTCGTCGCCCATGTCGAAAGGGATGGGGGGAGGGGAAGAGCCCAGTGCGGCGGCTGCTCTCACGGTCAGTGTGGTCACCTAGAAGACAGGGGGTCAACAACATACGGCTTGATGGAGGGAGCGCCGCCGGCGAGGACATGTCATCTGGCTCTCTCGATCTCTTCCGAGTGTTCGCTCTCGGACCGCGGTTGGCGGCCGAGTCGCTGGGTTGGAGGGGACTGGAGAGAGGTTAGATCAGGGCGAGCAATCTTAGGAAACCGATACTGACTCCATTGTGTGTGTTTCAAAACCAAACCCAGAATGTAGTGGTGAGTTGGGTTGAGTTGGAATGTGTGCAACAGAAAAAAGAAGCAGAAGAGAAGGGAGACCAGGGAGAGACACGTCGACGACGCGAGTGGTGGAGTGGGTCAAGTCGCGTGTCGACGCGTTGGACAAAACCTCTTAAAGATGCAAACTACCAAAACACTTCTTGACTTGCGCCGTGAGCCGATTCCGTTTGACTGGAGCATATCGACACTTTCCGGTAAGTAACTAATTGGTCGCTTGTCCTTTATTTCCACTATTCTGTCTAATTTCTCCGGCCTTTCTATCTGGCTGTCCGTCCAGTTGATGAGTGGTGAGTTAGGGCTAGAGCTGGAAGGCCAGTGGCCCGTGCACTTCGCCATCAGCGAGGGATGCTCCGACCTGCACCTGCCGTTCCTCTCCTCTGAACTCTTTGGCTGCGCTGCATCGCTGAATTGACATCATGGATGGACCTACCCAGGCTGGAGATCTCCGCAAAAGCGATCACGCTCGTCGTGAGAGCCTGAGCTCCCAAGACTCGCAGACGGCGAAGCAGTATGCGCTCCCATTGCCACGCGTGTTCTCGCGGCTTCTGACGTGTTACCCAGGTTCATCGAGTCCCAGATGCGACTGGAGGCCGATGCGCGTGAAATACTCCCCTATGTAAGCGTGTTCGTTCATCACAAACTGATTCCCATCGCTGACGATGCTCATACACAATAGTCCTTCGACTCATGCACCTACGCCCTCGGCCCTCTGCGCCAGAGCCTCTTCGCGTGCCAGACCTGCAACCCGCCTCCGGAGAACCCCGACGATGCGTACACCCCTGCCGCCGTCTGCTACTCCTGCTCCATCGCCTGCCACGGCGAACACACCTTGGTGGAGCTGTTCAACAAGCGCAACTTTGTCTGCGACTGCGGAACGACGCGCCTGCCTTCAACCTCTCCGTGTACACTCCGGGATGATCCCAAGACCGGGAGGAAAGGTGCCCGCTCACAAGAGCCAGCAGCGAGCAACACGTACAATCACAACTTCCGGAACCGATTCTGTGGCTGTGGTGAGAAGTATGATCCTCAACAGGAGAAAGGCACCATGTTCCAATGTATGGGGCTAGGCACGGTTGAAACTGGGGGATGCGGCGAGGACTGGTGGCATCCAGAATGCCTCATCGGCTTGTCGCGGGATTGGCATAAGGCTGAGGATGGAGATGAAACACCTCTTCCACCTCACTTCCCGGCTGAGGATGATTTCGACCAGTTCCTCTGCTTCAAATGCATTGACTCGAACCCTTGGCTTAAGAAGTACGCGGGAACGCCGGGCTTCCTGCCTCCGGTGTTCAAGGAGGGTGGATTGAAGAAGACCACGGAGGCCAATGTCACCCCTGCAGACAATACATCTCCCGCAGAGCCAGCGGAGGGGACGAATACCAAGAAGCGCAAGGCAGAGGATGACGAGCCTACGGAGGAAGAACCCACTGCGAAGCGGACCAAGGATGACCAGCAGTCCTCCACACTCACCAGCATCCAAGAAGAGTCAGGCAAACAGGAAAAGCCCCCTCCCCCTAAACATACTCTCCTTCCATCCTCGGCACCTACCTCCTCATTCTCTCTCTTCCTCCAAGACAACTTCTACGAGAAACTCTGCCGCTGCGCAGATTGCTTCCCAAATCTTGCACCCCACCCCCAACTCCGCGAGGAAGAAGAAACCTACGAGCCACCGCTCTCCGACGACGGCGAGGCAAATGGTCCGGGAAGTACGGGGACGGGCAGCCTTCTCGAACGCGGCGAAGCCGCACTAAGCAACGTCGACCGCGTGCGCGCTATCGAAGGCGCAATGGTATATAACCACCTACGTGATAAGGTGAAGGAATTCTTGAAGCCGTTTGCGGAGAGCGGGCAGGCCGTAAGTGCGGATGATATCAAGGGATATTTTGAGAAGTTGCGTGGTGATGAGCAGGGGATTCAGGATGCGGCTGGTCAGGTGGAGGCTCTTGGTGGTGGCGATGATCAGGATGGTGCAGATGGGGATACTCGGCGGGAGCAGAATGGTAAGTCTTGTCTTTGAGTATCTCCCTTGCGAGCTGTGTGGTTGACCTGACTCTTAGGGTACTGAATATGTCTTTTCTTGTTTTTGGTTGGGAACATGGGATATGGGTGGGTATGCATGGAGGTTTGTCAATAGGTAATGGCCATGGAAATAGGAACTACATAGGCGTCTAACGAGGACGAACCATCATTCTTTTCATCTGATTGATCTATATAACTCACGTGTGGTTGTCGACACAGCATGCTATCTGATGTGCTCCGTAATATGTCCATTGAAGAAACGCGAAAAACCCCAACGCCAGTACAAACCCCGAAAGCCCCGCGTACCCATGCGCCGTGCCAATAATGAATGCAAATATACTTATTTTTGTGAATAAGATTCCTATTAGCCAACCCCCCTTAGTCTCGGGCGAAAAGTCGCATGGCCAGAAGTAACCAATTTGTGTTGCACGTTCGGGGTTAAGGAGGACTTTGTGAATATGCCCATCAGACGCTAGACCTCTTCCCGGTAATAGGGGGTCATCGACGTCGCAGCAGCCGGTCGGGTAAGAGTAAAGACTCCAATGATTCACTCATTCACTCCTTGAGCCGTTTCGACGCCCTCCCGATCAACGAGTCATCCGGCAGTCCACTCCGCTTCGTACCGGGGAGACTACCCGTGCGAATATCATTGTCGTCCTGCGTAACCCGGCGATGGGGGTACTTGCCCTCGACGCCATCGAAACAGTTTGCACTGATGGGTCCGCCATCCGCGAAATAGGGGTGCTCGAGTGCTTCTTGAGCGGTGATCCGCTTTGTCGGATCGTATTCCAACATGCGGGACAGCAGATCGAACCCGTCTGTACCCGGAGTTCCAGTGCTCGAGCTGGCAGAGTACCCGCCATTCTTCATGCAGCTCTGGAACCAGCCCTCGAGATTGGAGCCGCGATGGAAATGGGCTGGTTGGCGGTGGAGCACCAGGGACTGGAGCTGTGAATACTCGGGCATCGAGACGAGGCCCGGCCAGGTCTCGTTGCGTGGAAGGCCGAGAATCTCGACGATCTTCATCATCTGGTTCCGTTGGAATGGGACGGTCTTCTTGCTGTCCATTTTTGCCTCCTCGCCTTTGAAGATTGGGCGGAGGGAGAGGAGCTCGGCGAAAATGCAGCCAACGGCCCACATGTCGACTGCTGGGGTGTAGTGTCGACTGCCTAGCAGCAGCTCGGGTGCACGGTACCATATTGTGACGACGACCTTGTCACCAGAGAAGAGAGAGTTGAGGGGCTTGTAGAATAGTCGCGCGAGACCCAGATCGCCGATCCGGATGGCTCCGCCCGAGGTGACGAGGATGTTGGCCGGTTTTAGATCGCGATGGAGGACCCAGTTTGTATGGAGGTATAGCAGGCCATTCAATAGCTGGAAAAGAATCGACCGGACCATGACTGCTGGGATAGCGTGCCTTTGAGGTTGTGTGTGGTGATGGATGATTTGTAGCAAGTCGTGCTCGGTATACTCGAACACCATGAAGATGCATTTGTCCTCCAAGATGATTTCCTCCAGTTGTACGACGTTTGCATGTGATAATTCGGTGCATAGAGCCATTTCGCGGATGGCAGACTGCGACAGGCCGGTGTACTGGATTGACTCGCCCTCTTTGTCCGGCTTGAATCTGCGGAAGCAAATGGTTAGACGGGTTCAAAGGGTGCCGGCAAAGACCATACTTTTTTATCGCAAACTCCCCCTTCTGCCCATTTTTCCCGACGGCCTTATACACCCGGCCATAGGTTCCGCTGCTGATGAACCCGACGATGTGATACCGGTCTCGTACGCGTACTTTGCTGGTATAGCCCCCTCCTGCGGATCTCCTGGAATCGATGGCCTCTATGACGGAAAAAGTCAGCCCATGCACCGGCAACGAAGTGAAAATCAAGCAATGGGAAGCAACACAAAGATGAGAGAATCGACGTCCTTCCAGACCGCATGCGCACGTATTTCTCGAGCATAAAACAACCGCAAGGGCAAAAATTACCACGAGAATAGAATCCACCGACAGAATTCAGGAACGGAAAGCCCCTTCCAAACATATTGGAAGAGATACAGAGAGAGGTCACGATCAAGGACACCGGCAGAATTCCCTGCTCTTTTCTTTTGTCTTCCCTTCCCCTCCCCAGGTCAAGCAGAATGAAGAGGAATATTCATGGAACAACGAATTACCATCGACAGTGGCCTGCAAGCTTCTCTTGAGCGATTGCGCGGGCGGCCGTGATCGAGCAGAGAGGGAGCCGGAAGAGGGCGGGTTGGTCAGGCTCATTTGGGGGGAACGGATGTGGAGCAGCGCGGTGGGTATCAGGCAACGGCATCCATTCGGACGTGGGGAAGGTCGAGGGAGGAGGTTTCTCCACGAATAACGGATGACCGAGGGTATGAAGATCGATGGTGAGTGAGCAAGGAAGCAGTGAGGGACTGAATTATGAGTTGGGTTTGCGTAGAGTTGGTACGTTAACTGGGAAGGAGGATGGCTGTAGTTAGTCAGCTGGGGCTGTTCACCTTGCGCATGTCATCATCCATCATCTTATCTCCATCACCCAAGCAATAATCAACATGGCTGGACAGCCCACCCAGTCGAGGGTCACCCCGTACCTAGTCTACCTGGTCTTTGTTACCACACTGGGTCCGCTGCAGTTTGGATATCACTTGGTATCTCTCTTCCCGCTCTCTATATCTTGCCTCGCTAACTTGCGGTCCCAGGCCGAGCTTAATGCACCCCAAGCAGTGATAACGTGCGAAAAGAAAACCATCCATTCCGCAATTGCCCCTCATGGTCTACCACAATGCATCCCCATGGATCCTTCCCAATTCGGTCTCGTGTCCTCAATCTACACTCTCGGCGGCCTTCTCGGAGCCCTACTGGCGGGGCCCGTCTCAACCAAGTATGGACGCCTAGTGGCACTCCGAGCCACAACCATATTTTTCATTCTGGGCCCTGTGGCGGAAACTCTTGCTACAGAAATTCCTGTCCTCAGCTTAGGTCGGTTTCTCTCCGGGATTGGCTCTGGTGCTGCGATTGTAGTCGGCCCAATCTTTATTTCGGAGATTGCGCCGCCCAGTGCTCGAGGCTTCTTTGGAGCATTTACCCAGGTCATGACCAATGTTGGTATCCTGTTAGCACAAACGCTGGGGTATTTCTGGAGCGAAGGAAGCTTTTGGAGACTGATTCTGGCTGTTGCGGGTATTATCGGTGCCTTGGAGCTATTGGGATTGTTCACAGTGCCGGAAAGTCCTACGTGGCTCGCGGAGCATCAAAAGCCCAGTCAGGCCCAAAAGGTCCTACAACGAATCCGGGGACGAGATGCCGATATCGAAGCCGAGATTGAGGCCTGGAGAGGCTCATCGGGAATTGCCCCGGAGGAAGAATCTCTTCTTGCTCCACCGCCTGGAAGTCAGCCTCCCAAGCAGCCTCCGGTTACAATCATGCAGGTCGCCCGTGACCCCTACTACCGGCCAGCCATTGTCGCCGTGGTTGGTGTCATGGTCGCTCAGCAGTTCACGGGGGTCAACAGCGTCATCATGTATAGCGTGTCGTTGCTGCAGAGTATTCTCCCCACAACGGCCGCGCTGCTCACCGTGTTCATATCGGCCATCAATCTCATTATGACTCTGGCGTGTTCTCCCTTGCCAGACCGGATCGGCCGGAAAACGTGCCTGTTGCTCAGTATCTCCGGTATGGGCAGCAGCTCCATGCTCCTGGCGATTGGCATGGCCGCCAACCAGAAAATCCTGACCGCCATCGCCGCCCTCTTGTTTGTGGCAAGCTTCGCCGTCGGGCTGGGCCCGGTGCCGTTCATTCTCGCCTCGGAGCTCGTGGGGCCAGAAGCCGTGGGAGCCACACAGAGTTGGGCGCTGGCGGCCAACTGGATTGCAACCTTTGTCGTTGCGCAATTCTTCCCCGTCCTCAACCACGCCCTGGGTGGCCGCGGGGAGGTGTACTGGGTGTTCGCGGCGATGGCTGCCTTGCTCGGCGCATTTATCTACTACTTTGTGCCGGAGACCAAGGGCAAGGCGAATGCCGATGAAGTGTGGGGGCGGGCGGACCGTCGACAGGACTAGACAACCGTCTGGGGCTCGATGGGACGCCTGGTATTGTCCCGGTCGGTGTTATTATTCAATTGAGGATCTCATTAGCTAGCGATTCAGCTGCTGACGAACCGCCGTATTGGAATCGACGGGGTTTCAAACTAACTATATAATTCCCTTGCAGCTACGACTCCAATCTATAGACTGTCTATTAATAGACGGAAGGCAACCTTCAACACAACACGTGTGAGACGTCAAGGAATTCCCCTCCTCGATCCCTTGACCAGGTGTTTCTTGTAGATCCATCTAGAATCATACCCCTATCCTGAATGACCGCTCACGACCGTCGGAGGGTTCAATCCTCTCTGCTCGGAGTGGCTGTTGAATCCCTTGCAACCCCAATCACCTGGAGCGCAAAAACAAAAGCCAAGTCTTCCTGATCCCCACCAAGCGATGTCACCGGTGGAGATCCCCACGAGCCTCGCTCAATTCCCCTCAACAACAACACACACAACACTACTCTCGGACCCCCTTGACCTCCCTCCCTCCCTCCCTCCCTCCCTCCCCTTCCTTCTTCTTCCACCTTCTTTCTCTCCTAAACCACCCACCCATACCCCCCCCCCAACGGCCAATGCCCCCACTAGTATCAGATTAATTAAACCCAATTGCCGCCGACATACGCGGTCTCGGCTCACCGGTCGCTCCGACTTGCCCGGTGTTTGGGCGGCGATTGGGTCCGCTCGCTTGGCCTTCTGCGATCGACCCGAGCAGATCGTAGATCACCCCAGGCCTGTCAACCTGAACTTGTTTTCTCCCACAACGGGCCTCGGACGGTCTCGGGCCTGCCCCTCTCTCTTCTTGCCTTTTTACCTCTTCATCCTCTGCCCGGCCGCACCAGCCCACCCATCCCGTCATGGTCCGGTTACCGCTGCCGCACCGGCTAAGCTCACACCTGTCCTCGAGGAGCGCGGCCTCGACCCCAGGCCAGAGCAGAAGCACCAGTCCCATGCGGCCGCCGGAGCTCAAGCCTCTGATGCTCAAGATCACCGTGATCCGTGTATGTGCTTTCCTGGCAATGCCCGGTCTACCCCACCATCGAGCTAACCCGGGACCTCGTCACTGCAGGGAAGGAATCTTGCTCCCAAAGACCGCGGCGGAACGAGTGATCCAGTAAGACACCTGGCCTATATCTTCCTTCGATCCAATTCGCTCACAATGCCACCTGGCAGTATCTGGTAGTGAACCTGGGAGACGCGAGGCAGTCGACGCCGACAATACCCAAGACCCTCAACCCAGAATGGAATGTCTCGTTCGAAATGCCCGTAATGGGCGTCCCGCTATTGGAGTGTATTTGTTGGGATCATGACCGGTTTGGGAAAGACTATCTGGGGGAATTCGATATCCCCCTGGAGGATCTCTTCTTGGAAGGCGAAGTGGACCAGCAGGTGGGATTGATTGACAAAAATACCGAAAAGGGACTACAATGCTGACGGAGGCCTCAATAATAGCCGAAATGGTATACTTTAACCTCGAAGCGGAAGCCGACAAAGAAGAAGGACAGCGTGATCTCTGGCGAGATCTTGCTCCAGTTCTCGATCTCGGATTCTGGGAACCCCAATGCATCCCCCGCGGAGATCAGTCAGAAGTTCAGGAGCCTGGTGTCTGCAGGCGAGGATGAGGACCAGATCCCTCCCGGCGAACTCGACGACCTCGACCGTGATGAAGAGACATCCGATGAGACCGACGACTTATCGAAACCAGAGGTGAGGGAGAAGCGGCGGCGCAGACTCCGGCTGGCACGCTTGAAGCGCAAATCCCTGGCGGCTCGTGCATATCAGTTCTCGGGCTCGGGGACTGGAGTACAGGGAATCATGTTTATGGAAGTTGTCCGAGTAACTGATCTCCCTCCCGAACGGAATGGTATGAGCTTTTCCTTCCATAACTACTGCAAATATTGACCGGCTCTCAGTGACGCGCACCTCGTTCGACATGGATCCCTTTGTGGTGACTTCTCTTGGGAGGAAAACGCTTCGAACCCCTGTCGTGCGCCATAACTTGAACCCGGTATACTATGAAAAGATGGTGTTCCAAGTGATGCGGCACGAACAATTTTACACTATAAGCTTCACGGTGATGGACCGAGACAAGTTTTCCGGCAATGATTTCGTCGCCTCGGCCGGTTTCCCATTGCAGACTCTCATCCAGTCTGCCCCCGAGGCAGACCCGGAGTCGGGTTTGTACCGCTTTGTAGAACCACCTTCATCGTCCGAGACTAGTCCAGTCAGCAAATCGAGTCCCCGATATGGGCCCAGCCGTTCGGCTTCATCATCGAATCTTTCGAAAATGTCACGGCCTACCATGAAGTCTCGAAACTCCGCTACCTCGCTGTCCACTCAGTCTATTCACGACACGCCAACTATCCTTCCACCCACGAGTGTTCCGGTCCCCGAACAAGGAAGTTTCGAGCTTGACAGCAGTAGCACGTTACAACCCCCATCCACGACCACAGCCTCATACGAGAGTGATTCGGCCATGGATGCAGACGGGTTCCGGTCCTACGTTATCCCTCTGACGCTGAAGAATCGAGACCGATGGGAAGACAAACACTCGCCTGAGTTGCACATCAAGGCGAAGTATTTGCCGTACAAAGCCCTCCGGCAGCAGTTCTGGAGATTGATGCTGAAGCAATATGACGCGGACGACAGCGGCCGCATTGACAAGGTCGAAATGACGACGATGCTCGACACCCTGGGCTCCACCTTGAAAGAGTCGACCATTGACGGCTTTTTCTCACGGTTTAGCACAGAGGACGAGCCTAATGACACGATCGACTTGACCATCGACCAGGCCGTGATCTGTCTGGAGGATACTCTCCAGATGCTCCAGAAAAAGAATGCGGTTGCGCCTACTCCTCGCAAGCCCGCCCCTGCCCCATCGTCGAGTGAGGAGCCATCCAGCGGTGATGAGCTAACCATCGAAACAAGCACCACCCACCCGGCCAATATTGACCCCACCAATACATCAATTCCGGTTTTATCCAGCGAAGAGCAGCCCAGCTCAACGGACGAGTATCTCCAACCCGACGATCTCGCGGATGAGAGGGGCGTGGAACACGTAGTCGAAATTCGCGAGTGTCCGCTGTGTCACCAGCCTCGTCTTGCGAAGCGCTCTGATGCCGATATCATCACACACATTGCTACGTGTGCGAGTCGTGATTGGCGGCAGGTTGACAACCTGATGATGGGTGGCTTTGTGACCTCCAGTCAGGCCCAGCGCAAGTGGTATTCGAAGGTGATCACAAAAATATCATACGGCGGGTATCGACTCGGGGCAAATTCGGCCAATATTCTGGTCCAGGATCGCATCACAGGACAGATCAATGAGGAGCGCATGAGTGTCTATGTTCGGCTCGGGATTCGATTACTTTACAAGGGTCTCAAGAGCCGTGACATGGAGAAAAAGCGAAGTATGTCTCTATCCCTCAATTTGTTTTCTTGTTTATTGTCTAACGATGTTACCAGTTCGTCGCGTTCTACGGTCCTTGAGCATCAAACAGGGCCGGAAATACGACGATCCTGCCTCGGCCAGCCAGATTCGGGACTTCATTAATTTCCACCAGCTGGACATGTCGGAGGTTTTGCTGCCTATCGAGAAGTTCCGAACCTTCAACCAGTTCTTCTACCGTGCACTGAAGGCCGATGCGCGACCGTGCTCAGCGCCCAACGAGCCCAGGGTTGTTGTGTCCCCGGCCGACTGCCGCTGCGTCGTCTTCGACCGGCTTGACGAAGCGACCAGCATCTGGGTCAAGGGCCGAGAGTTCTCCGTCGAAAGACTGCTGGGTAATGCCTACCCAGAAGATGCAGCACGGTACAAGAACGGTGCCTTGGGCGTGTTTCGACTGGCACCCCAAGACTATCACCGCTTCCATGTTCCCGTTGATGGGACCATGGGCGAGCCCAGGACCATCGAGGGCGAGTACTACACGGTGAATCCCATGGCTGTTCGCTCGGCGTTGGATGTGTATGGTGAGAATGTTCGGGTTCTGGTTCCGATTGACTCTGTTGTGCATGGCCGCGTCATGGTCGTCTGTGTTGGCGCCATGATGGTCGGCAGCACGGTGATCACCCGACGTGCGGGCGACAAGGTCGCACGGGCCGAAGAGCTGGGCTACTTCAAGTTCGGAGGCAGTACGCTCCTCGTGCTGTTTGAAGAGGGGGTGATTAATTTCGACAAAGACTTGACGGACAATTCGAAGGGTCCCCTGGAGACTCTGGTAAGTCATTTTCTTCAAGGCTTTTCCTTCAATACTAATTGATGTTAGATCCGAGTCGGCATGTCCGTCGGCCACAGCCCAGACATCCCCCAATTCGAGCCCGACATGCCCAAGAAGGCAGAGAACGTGACCGTCGAAGAGATGCAAGAAGCCAAGCGGCGCATCGAGGGCAGCCTGGCGCCCCCGAGCAATCCATCCATGCTCGCTGCCATCAAATGAAAGTCCAGCGATTGAGCGGATGGGCCTTCAACTCCCGTCTCGCACCGGAGGCTTTATCTTATATTTTCCTCATGTTGATTGCATGCACATATTCTGTGTGGTTATTGAACCCACTGGCGTTCAGAGAAGGGTTTTGATTTTCTGGTCAATCATATTATCATCATCATAGCGTTTGCCTACCTGTCTAGCACGCCAGAGACATTCTGTGCGGAGATAACAAGGACATGGACGAATGGAATACAGCATATGCTGCTCGGTCTCAATTCTTTATGAGTAGAAAAATACATAGTGACGAGGAACAGAATAAGCCCACATACATACTGCAACGCGATGCCCAAACGGGACTAGCGCCCCACGCTTCACCAAAACAACCGCGACTCTCGGCCCCTCTTGTCTTGCCTCTTCTTCAAGTGTGACTGTCCCCCCATTATTGCATTGCAACATTCCTTGATTGATGCTCCGCCCATCCTCCGCTGTCGCCCAACTGTCCGTGATCACTCTCTGTCGCGTCCATCATTGCGTCCGAACTCGCGCCGCCCCAGAAAGACTCGCGTAACCCGTTCCTGACATGACCACCGCGGTCCTGGCAGCCCCAACGACCAAGACCAAGCGTCGCGAACCGCTGCGGACGATCGGCATGGCGGCTTCTCAGGCGCAATCGCGTCCTGCGTCGTCCGCCGCCGGCAGGGGCAGAGGAGAGGAGCGACGAACCACGCGACTTAGCGCGACTCAGCAGGGATTGGAGGGGGAGAGTCCGAGCCACGACGGGAAACGGAAAGCTGGTGAGTCTTCCTCCGAGCCCCGGCCTTCTTTTCAAGTATTGATGTGATTGTGATTTGGTAGATTACGAAGAGGATATCGGGGGATTCAAGTTTTCACGAGTTTCGAACAAAAAGCCTCGTCCGTCCCTTGAAGCTGCTCCGGAGATTCCCGCGCCCGATGATGCAGAGAACGCGCCGCCGAAACCATCACCGAAGAGAGGACGGCCGCCGAAGAAACGCACGGAAGAGGGGACCGCGGTGCCGATGAAAGGGACGACTACTGAGATTCCGACGCGACCAACTCGAGGCACTGCGAAAGCTCCATCTGCGGAACCAGAATCTCCATCTTCCAATGCGCGCTCCACGCGAAGTCGAGACACAGCAGCGGAAGCTCAGCCTGCGAAGAAGAAGAAGGGGCGTCCAGCGAAAACACAAGCCAGTGAGACAAATGGCTTCAAATCACCTCCTGCGGGTACGAAAGTGGCACTCCCACTGGCGGACACTCCAGTTATCCAGCGGAACAAGGAACTGAGAGGGACGAAAGGGAACAAAGGGCGGAGGCGGAGTAGTTTGCAGATGCGAGGACGGAGAGCCAGCTCTTTGATTGATTCGGGTGCTTCCAACGGTAGGCTTTTTGTGTCTGGAATTGGATCACCGCAACCACGCTAATACATACGTCTCATACAGCGCTGCCGCATCGAGAGGTCAGCACAGCAGATTTCTATAAGCATATTGCCGACGATGGTCTCCCGGAACCGCGGAGGATGCGACAACTTCTTATTTGGTGTGCGACGCGTTCGATCGGGGAGAAGCCGTCTGGGGCGCACTCGGAAGATCAGAGTGCGCGTATGGCAGGTGGGTGACTATTGTCCGGTATACGAAGCGAATGTTCTAACCTTACTTTTCTAGCTCGTGTGATCCAAGAGGAGCTGCTTAAAGAGCTCGAATCAAACTCCGAACTTTCTAACTGGTTTGGTCGAGAAGACCTGAACCCGCCAGCGGTTGTGGTGAAGAGATCGAACCCGAGGAACGTGCAGAATGCGGATAAGATCAAAGAATTGGAAGAGCAAATACAAAAGTAGGGAGTCGCTTCTATCGTGGGTTGATCCGTGCTAACAAATTCCTCCGCAGACTCCAACGGGAGAGGCAAGCCCTCAACGCTCTCCTCAAACAACCATCAATCCCCTCGATACCACAGGCAGACCCTCCATCTAAGCTCCCGCGGAAGCCAAAACGACCCTTACAGGAAGCCGAGCGCGAGCCGAGCATCGACACATCCCTCCTCGATCCCTCGCAACAAGCAATTTTAGCATCGCTCCAGCCTTCCTCCAAATCATCCCAAGACGCTTCGTCTTCTTCCCCGATAATACTGCCACCTTTACCCCCTTCGGCCGTCTCCACGCGCCTTTCCCGAATCACGTCCGGGCTCGCTCCCACCCTTGACGCTTTCGCTGCAGGAGTACACGACATCGAACTGTACCGCTCGACAGCAGACACTGTTTCCTCTCGTATCCTGCGCATCTGCGCACAGCGCCTTGAAGAGCGCGATGCACTCATTGCGCAGAACCGAGCTGCGATCGAGAGCGGTGACGGTGAAGCGAGTGCTGCTGCGTCAACAGCAGGTAACCCGCGGGAAGATCTGGGTGTTATCCTGGGTGCATTGAGTCGGGTTGAGAGACGGTAACTTCAGTCTCTCACTAACTCACCACTACTACTTTCCCCTTCCCCCTTCTCTCTTGTCTATTTTTTCCCCAGCGGCTTTTCCCCCTTGTCTCTCTTTTCTCCTATTTCTGTTTTTCTTTCACGGATGGTATTTGATGGACATGAATCTCGATGAAGAATCCCTCCCCTACAAAGTGGGGATGTGTGAGGACGGCGTAATTAACTCATCGGCTCGGGGATGCATTGCATTGTTTCCGCAAGCATCGGCGTTTGGGGTGTTATTTTCTTCTTCTTAGGGCGCGGGTTAGGACGAACGGTGGATTGGTTGGAGGATGGATGTGTGGATATTTGAGTCGAGTAGAGGTAGTGGCCTCATAAGAACAGAGTCTTCAATACTACCTACTTCTTTGATATGTCTATGTGTTGTTAGCTTAAGCGGGCAAAGGGTATTGGGATAAGCAAGAGGACTTGCTTGGGCAATGGTGTCTGACATTTTAAGTGAGCATTTAGATGGGTTCTCATGGTGGCGACACGACTTGGGGCTAGTAATCAGGTCTGATATTACGTGCTAATTTCAACAATATCCAATCCAAAACATTACCCTACGCACGGAGAATAGGAGATGCTCGAAGTTTCAATTCAATTGATAGAGAACGAAATGAAAATGAAAGAAACGACAAGCTGGTAGTTCAAGGCTATGTATCTCGCAATAGATGACAATTGGTGTTTACAGCACCAGCAGTGAAAATGGCAATGAGTACGCAATGCAAATAAGCGCTTCTCATGCGTTCATGCTTTCGCTGAGACAAGACACGATGCAATTTCAAGTAGACACAGACAAGACATACCCCAGTAGAGGAAGACTCACTCAGGAAACAACACAGCAGGATATAGCCCAATTTATTCAGCGCAGAACACCGAGTGCACAATGGACGAAAGACACACACAAAAACAGGGTAAAATGAACAAAGGACCAGAAAACTGGGAGAAGAGAAGAGGCCTCGATGGGTTGGTTCGTGGCTCGTGAGAATCGTAGCTTCTATGTATGTCCGCACAGACTGATATTCGGGAATTATCCGAGTCGGTATAGTATTTCGGTAAGAGACACAGTAGGAAAACCGAGATTCCAATTTAACTTTCCAAGACTGCGTAGCATGACTCAATCTGCGGGTTGTTCGAGATGCAAAATGTTCAAGAGAGTCCCTGGAGAGCCGGGAAGACGCTGAAGGAACAGGAGAATTATAAAGAGACAACTAGAGGCAAGTGTTGGTGTTGGCTTAGTTAAAAGCTAAAGAGACCACTGCGCTTCTTGCCCAGCGGATACACCACTAATGCCGCCAGGAAGAGACCAACGGTCGTCCCAATAGCGACCTGGACCATGCCATATCCAATATCGAAGACGACGCCGTAGCTCTGGTTGCGCGCCTCAGCAGCAGACAAGTTCTTAGCCGCGTCGACGAACCCCTGCGTGCCGTTGTTGACGACACTATAGGGAGAACGGGTCATTTCCTCTGCGGAGGTGATGCCTGAAATCAATGATCCACTTGCCGCAAGACCGGAAGGCACTAGGACAAAGATCGCAGGTAGCATGGCAGCGGCGGCAAGGCCATGTCTCAATCGGCTGTAGAAATTGCCAATCACGCCAATTACAAAGGCTCCTAGCGCGTTGGAGACTTGTGTGTTCGAGTAGAAGCGCTTCGAGCTGAAGTAGCTGACCACGTACCCGGCCAGGGAGATCACCATCATCATGGGAATCTGTTTCCACTTGGCGCGGTTGACAATTGCCAGACATGCGGTGAACATGAGCACGAAGGGGAATCGCTGTAGGTACTCGTTGTTTATTGGACTGGGCGCGCAATTGTAGCTTGTTGATGCTTGGGAGTCTAGCAGTCCGTACACTGCTGTGCCGATGGTGATTCCGAACCCTAGGAAGAGGGAGTAGATGATGGCATAGACCATACGTACAGAGCCAGCGACGATGCTGCGCGACTGAAGTTCCAGGCTCGCGCACAGCACGGTATACCCTGGCAAGATGAGCGCAATGGCTGACTGCGCCAGCGCGGAGAAGCAGAAGAGCGGCTCGCCGTTGTATCTGATGCTGCCAAAAGCACGCGCCAGGAATGAGGTCAGAACTGCGGCGGATATCTCAAACACATTTGAGTACAGGCTCGACTTGGGCGAGAGAACCAGTTGCAGCACGCCCAGGAGACATCCCAGCAAAAAGGCGATTGGCATATCAATGGGCCGCGCGTTGAATGCAAAAGGTCCCACTGATGCACTGGCACAGCCGTGCGCAAAGATGAGAAAGAGGATGTGGAATTTGCTGCTTTTTTTCGTCACCTCGTCCAGTCGCTGGATGGCCTCCTCGACGCCTATCACGTCATGAATCACCTCCTTGTATATCTCGTGTACGTCGGCGAGTTTTCCCAGGTCAATTCCCTGAGTGGACCTGACAACTTTAACCTCCGTCGTGTGTGTGGAGGCGTCGTCGAATGAGATGATCATGCATCCAGGAATGTACAAGAACTGGCCCTCGATCTCCAGCACCCGAGCCGTCATGCGCATGTATTCCTCCAGGCGGTGGGTTGGCGCCCCATACTTCATTAGTGCACGACACAGACGAATCAGATACCGTTGGCGTGAGAGAAGCTCTGCGATGTGGACTGTAATGCGAATCTCGTCTTCGAGCTTGGATTTCACCATGCGGCGGGTTAAGTTGGTAATGGCACTGCTGCTCCTGGACCGCTTGAGCATGCTGATCGGGGAGCTGATGGAGCTCTTGGCTGTCGAGCCGCTGAGGGAGGTGCTAGACTGGCTGCGCGATTTCTCGTACCACTTCCTGGGTCGGTGTGGTTTCCAAACAGAGTCTGGGGACAGGGTCCGTCCACTGAACTCGGAGGAGCTTCCTTGTCTCGATCGACCATAGCGGCCCTGGGGATAATACGGGTCCATTTTGCTCTTGCTCTTACTATTGCCGCTAGCCTGCTGGTCGTAGAGCTTGAGGAGGGACGATAGAATTCCCCCACGGTAATGTTTCGGCCGCTCGACATAGATATCAGGATCCCTCTCTTCGACGGGGGTGACCTGGCCAGAAAATAAACCCGGCGAAGGAGCACGAACGCGGGCAAGGAAGTTAAAGTCTGAACGAGTCATCTGTCGCACAATTTGATGAGCCTCGGAGGTGTGCGGTGTTGATCGTCCGTCTATAGAGCCGGCTTCATCATCTGTCAAATCGTCGTAGAGCTGTTGTTTCTCAGAGAAGCTGATCATAGGGATATCATCCCCATCTTCAACTGGAAAGACCACTTCAGTCGGGAAAAAGTTGGCCAATGATGCTAGACTGGACCGTGGACTTGGCTTCGGAGATTTTGGAGGGCAACTGAGAAGGGATGCCGGCCGCTGAAGTCTTTCTCGGGCCAAGTATATGGCCCGCCCTTTGTCATTAATACCGGGATTATTGATCTCATCGTCTCCGACGATCCCTGCTAAGCTGGTCTGTGAAGAGATCTTCAAGCCTGTGACATCTGTCGACGCTCCGTTCTCCGCTAAGGGCGCGAGCTGGGCGTCCATATCCAGGTTATATGGAATGCTGGCTGTGGGCGACGGCTTTTGCGGCAGCACCACATCCCTTCTGTCCACACGGGGTTCGATTGTAGATCCGCCGATGACTTCTGGCGACCCATCGCCACCTACAGTGAATTTGACGCGATTCGTGCTTCTCAGAATTCCCGCATTCCGGTGCTTGCCCTGAGCGCTCCAGGCGTCGTTCGATCCCCGTTCCTTTTTGGTCTGCTGCTGCTTTCCCGGTGGGTATCTTTCACTGAGAAAGGTTGTGGGAAATTCTCGTGTCCCTGGAAAGATTCTGCTTGATCCAGTTGATGTGCTGGATGCACTCGACCGGCGAGATGAGGTGGGAAGATCGAAATACCCACCCGCCATAGCGCGTCCCCCTGAATAATTTTCCGAATTCTTCTTGTCGTAATAGGTAATTAGCTTAAACAGCTCCTTGGCTGGCGCTCCAGCCTTAGCTCCAGCAGCCCGCGTGGAAAGTGCAGGGTTCGTGGTAGGTCGCAGCCTGGCAACATGTCAGCTATGTGAAATCACATCATCTCAGAGGGGGCCACATGGGTTTACCAGGACAAAAATGAGAGGCACGGACGCCTGCTAGCCTTGCAGCTAGAGAAATTGCCTGGCCACGCCAAACTGGAGCTCTATGGAGGAGATACAATAGAACCGGGAGACCCGCTGCCTGGAATGATAATTATGTCACCGGTACATAATCAGATGTCGCGCAATATCGCCTTGGAAATTAATGACATCTGCACAGTCAAAGAAAGGGATGTGCAGAAGGGCAGGGCTCGCAGTTACCGACATGTATAAGAAAGTTGCGTTAGGGAGAGTGACCATCGAGGGGCGGGAAGGTGTAGTATTTAGGAGGGTGAGAAAAGCCGTTGGACAGGGATCTAGTGTATAGAAAAGCATAATCGTCCTTGATGGCTCTGCGGTAGAGTGAATTTTGAGCCGCGCTTAGGCTGATAGTGGTTTGAGACTAGAGACACGGGAAGGGCTCGCGACTCCATGGATGGAGATGGAGCCGGGCTCTTTTCTTGTCTGAGGGATTTCATAGACGGTCTGGATCGCAGGAATCCAGCTTAATCGGCTCAGGGTCTTGGCCTTACTGGGGCCACACGGGGCCCGGGAAGAGAGGGCAGGCCGAGTGTATTGCCAAAGAGCCCAGCAGTCAACAGCGGGTTCCACGGGGTCCATCGTGAGGTACCACAGCCTGTGGATTGAGGGAAGTGGAGCTGGAAAGAGATCGAGATTGATAGACGCCGTTACTTTGTTTAGCGCTAATTTCCTGTCTGAGACAAAACATATCGTGGTCCATGGAACGACGATCGAACTAAATCGATTATCAACTTAAACCAAACAATCCCCTTGTCATTGACATCATGAAAAAATCATCCGACAGGTCCACCAATTCCCAGCATGCCATACAATCAGATCGTGTCTATTTCAATAGAGATCATGGTAGTCCTGCCCTACATCTAAACATATTCAGCCCACGTAATTCTCAACGTCCTGGTAGGTATCCTGGTGGAGATCTATTGTCAATTGCGCAATTGTTAACAATGTGATTTTATTCTTGATCCGACTAACAGATTGGTACCTTTCACTTGCAAAATACGAACCAGAGTCATCCACCGTCTCATTTACTAGAGGTTCTTCGGCCGTACAGAGTACTACAAAGAAAGTTGCACCATTGTCCAGGGCTATAAGAAGGCAACGCACATGCGCAGGTTCAATTACCCTACTTCCATGATGTCAACCAGTGTATGAAGCAGTTAGGCTCTTTCCACGTCGTTGTGTTACCCACGGAGCGGCGCGACATCCACCTCGGCAAAGGGAATCTAGTCATAGGGGTCTTGTCTAGAACCTGACTTGCCAGAATATACTTGAATGTACTTAAGCTTCGTGTGGCTGCTGACCGAACCTTGTTCGGTCTAGATCAACGTTCAGGGGCGACATCGACGTCCCAGTTGCTGGGCTGAGATTATGGCTCCAGCAATCGGCCATTCTGAAATGATGGCACGGTGTTTATGGCCGTTGAAAGTCTAGCCATGGCTAAAAGTTAGCTTTCCCCGAACATCGAGGGAAAATACTGCGATATTTCCAGGACATTCTCGGCCGGGCTTCCATATCGAAAAGCAAATATCCATGTATAATCGGCTCCCATGGGCTTGAATAGAACGGAACAGGATGTCGGAATTCGCTGGACATGCAGCCTTTCACATATAGTCCCATGTTCGCTGCAGCGATACGACTGCACAATCCTTCCGTGCAACCCCCCTGCCCTCCTCTTCGTCGTCGTACAGCCCCCTCCAGCGGCCGGCCCTACCGAAGATGACCGTACCACCTGACAAGATGCAGGGACCAATACCTAACCTTTGCCGGCAGAACAGAGAGGTCGTGCCCATCATGGTCATATGCATGTCCCACCGACACCGTCTGTCTCTACCCTCGGGTTAGTGCAGCGAGGTTGAATAAAAGTGGGCTTTGACCAAAGGTTCTTCTTGGCCGGTGCGGGTGGGTAAGCAGTCTATTTTTTGAGCAGATCAGAATGGGTTTGTCGTTTATCATAGATTGTCATTGTATGTTACAGTATGTTTCGTTCGCGAATTTTTTAATCCATGAGTTCATCACTGCCTGAGCATGACTCCACTAAGGTCTAATCTAAGTAAAGGGCTGAGAGCCACAGGCCTCGTCATAACCACCAGGGCTATTAGCGTTCTTAAAACTGGCATTTTGGTAATTAGACACGCAGCCCTTGAGTCTGGCCGGATATTTCCTAATCCTCGTGTCGCCCATTATGTGTATGAGCCCTAGATGAAAACACTCAGTCAACAACTCAACCACGCAATATTGAATAAAGAGCGAGAAGACCAATAGAAAGTTGCCCGAGTCAATTTGCCAGCACGCGCTCCACCTCACATTCCGACCGGAGAGTATCCGGATATCCTGTCAAGCTCTAACACAACCTGGGATCCGCCACCCTCTTATCACACTTAACTCGTTGAATTTCGCCACGGCATGATAAGATTGCGGATTCTGTCATGTGGATAAATATTAGTTTTCTTTCTAAGGATACAGGCATCATACCTTCGGCTGCCAAAAACAATGGAGGGCATCTCAACGGGCCACATTCTTCGGTGACATCCGATGCAAAAAGCCAGTTGATGTATGCGAACTCGAGCAAATGGGAGCTTATCATCTGACCCATCCGCTAGGACACTTTCCGGAGAGTACTTTTGACTCAGTTCCTCTGTCTGACACATACGAAACAGTAGGCTGTCTACACTTGTTTAGCTTTCATTCCTTGTAAATTGGAAAAGAAGTCGCCACGTATACTACGTGCCCTCACCTGCCCCGAGACATAATCACCAGACAACAGCAGCAACACAATATTACCTAACAGAAACATTGTTTATGACGATGATGTATAGAGGTAACTTGGCCTCCGGCATCATGCATTGTGCATCTGCCATCCAACGAGCTGATCTCATCTGCAACCTAATTGACGCGAACTTATACTTTCCAGTGTAATTATTGACATTTTCACTGCCGCAGAGAGTTTCAAAATTCCTCTGTTAGCCGTTTTCCACGTGTTTTATCAGCCAAGGAAGACAAAAGGTTGTTCTTCGGAGCTTTGCATTTGTGCTCATGATCAGGAGCCTCGTATAGTTTTTGTAGAGTCTACGATGTGATAATGTCAAGATACTCAGTCAGACTCCTAGTTTCCAAGTTCAATTCCTGAGTCATCATGGTTTTACCACTGAAAGGAGAAGTATACAGCAAAAACCTTAGATTGATATTCCAGTGCTTTGGAGCATAAAAGTAATACTATGCAGAGATGAGTTTTGTTTGACAGTGGTTCTACTGGCTACCCTGATTCTTCTCAAAGTCTTGAATCACACGCGTATATAGATGCTCATCAGTCAAGAGCGCCCAACCTGTCATGGCCATGGATTTCCCCGACTTCAGTGTACGCTGGAAGGATTCCTCTGTTGCAACAGCTGCCGTGAATTCATGGGTATGATTCTGGGCTGCAGCTGGAATTCCAATCAACGCGTGTAGACTTGGCAATGCGTGGGAAACATTTCCTTGGTCAGTGGAGCCAGACATGGGTTCATCGTCTGCCACCAGCATTTTCTCCCCTTGCGCGACTGAATGGTCTCGAAATTCCTCGCAGAGCGGTTGGTTAACAACCAAATTTGCATACGCCTTGGTCTCCTCGATTTGGATCTTGCATCCAGTCGCTAGGGCGCCAGCTTCCAGGCATTGGCGCACCCGCTGCCCAAGCGCTTTAGCACCTTGAATTGTGGGGCTCCGTATGGTATACTTCGTCTGCACCTTCTCGGGGATGGCGTTTGTAATATCAGGTGCGTTTAGAATTGCGCCGTGGATCCTGTCGGTTGGCTGGATTTGCTGACGGAGCATTGATATGTTGTTGTACGCAGCCACCACCGCATCCAGAGCATTAACACCCTCCCAGGGTGCGGCACTGGCATGAGCGCTAACGCCTTCATAGGCGCCAATAACATCATAACAAGCGATCGAGGTTCGGCCTGCAATGCCCCTCGCACCAAGCTTCAGAAACTCGCTCTCTGCCATTGGATGCCTGAAAGAGAATGAGATAAAATCGCTACTTGGTTCGTTTGGTCCAACAACTCACATCATTAGAGACACATTTGCCTTCTCATACGCCCCAGCCTCCAATAGGTCGATTTTGCCACCCCCGTCTTCCTCAGCTGGTGTACCCAGCAACTGGGCCCGGCCCGGGAGGCCGAATTTCTGGGTAACATATGAAAGGGCAATGAACCCGGTCACGCTAGCAGTCGCAATGAGGTTGTGACCGCAAGCATGACCTATGCCTGGCAAAGCATCATATTCAGCGTTGAAGTTGATGCATCGTCCATGGGAGCCACTGGTCGCTTCAAAAGCTGTCGATAGCCCATATGCATGCCGGGTAACTGCAATTCCGAGCTGCTCAAGAAAATCGCAGATGGCATTGTGGGCGTGATGTTCCTTGTACGCAAGTTCAGGATGGTCATGTATCTTGCTAACGAGTTAGTTATTCTGAGCAATAATGGTCCTCTTAGCTGCACTCACACTGTGATTCAATTCCTTCAGTGCTTTCGTTTGGCTGTCAACGTACTCATCCAACGCTTGCTGGATCATCTCTTTTGTGCTTCCAGACATAATGCTTAATGTAATCTTTCTGACTTGCTCGCTCTTCGTGTCAAGGCCTTTTTGGGTGGTAGATGTGAGCGAGAAGACCAGATCGCGGCGATAAACCCGGTATAAAAAACCGGCAAATGGAACGCCCTTAGCGCGTAAGGGGCTGACCTGCAATCATAACCGGTCAAGCCAGAGCGTCA